CAGCCAAAAACTACTACACTGAATTTATCAACTCTTTATCATATCTGGATTATTTCTTTGATTTACACAGTTAATAAAAAAACAAAAGATAATAATAATAAATAAATAAAATAATAATAATAATAAATTAAACCTGATCATGAATATAATATAGTTGATGTATCAGGAATCTTGAAACTGGAAGATCACTACCGCATTCAAATTCAAAGAGAGATTGCTTAAAAAAAATATCAAGAACCAACCAAATTAAATCAGGTAATTAATTAGAATCATAGACTGTTTAAATCCTGGAACTATATATCATACATGATACATGAAAGAGAAAATCTTGAACACATGCAGGTAGGTGTACATTAATTCAGATGCCAGCTGAAAATTACTACATATTACTAATTACCTGGAACTAGCGCATGCTCGATCTTGGACGAAATATTGACGTAATTAAAAATAATAATAATAGTTTTTTCCGGAGAAAAGCATACAAGAGTGATATTGATTCGGCTCAAACCCAAAAAACTGCTTATTTAATTTTGATGGAAAATTAAATATAAATATTGGTCTTGAGCCAAAGCAATATCACACCTTGTCTACTTCTCTCAATCATGTCTATTAATTACTACGTAAGAACAAATGGTAATAATGGAGAAGTGTAATTGAGGAAATGGTGTAACCCCTCGTTTATATAGAGCGAGAGAAGGGTTCCGAATTTATTTATTTATTTTTAAATGCTAATTAAACTGTGGTTGGATCCTCCAAATAAGGATCCCAATCGACATGACTAAGAAAATTAAGGAGCATCATTAATTATTAATTACAACTAATTTGAGGTGGAAAAAATTAGTATTATCATAGATTTTGAGGATCCACGATGTTTATTCTTTTCATTGTTTAATGGGAAATCGCACGTGAATTTTTGTACGGCGTTTTGTTATTCAACAATCATTACAATATATTTCGTGGTTTTAACGTTGTCCAACCAAACATATTTGATGTATAAGATTCTCTATATCCACTCTACACTACAGTTCTCTACTGTTTTCTCATGTGAACCTTCCAATTAATCTATATAAGTATATATATATATATATATATATAACAATATTGTATTTTGCTCTACAATTATAAAAACGTCACTCCTCCTAGTTTAAATAATTATTTAGAAAAACAAAAAATAAATAAAAAAAATATATTTTTTAAAAAGAATCAAGACAACGAGAAAGCATAGACACGACGGCAACCGCAATATATTTATTATTTTATATAATTATTTAAATTGGGAGGAGTGGTTTTTTTGTAATTGTCAGACCTTAGACCAAACGGTGTTAAGGTCAAATGTCTGAAAACTAACAGCGAGGGTCTCATTGAGACAATTTTTCAAGTACATGGGAGCAAATCGGTACAATCAAGAGTAGAAGGGAGTAAAATAATATCGAGATAAAATACAAGGAAAAAAGTGAAATTTACCTAATATTTATAATTAGAAGGAAAGAGAGACACCAGAATACATGCATGCGGTGTTCCAGCATATTGTGTGGCCCTTTCAAATTATTGAAAGAAAAACTCACATTAATTGTGGATGAAAAATATTTGCAAGTTGATTATAAACATAATTAATTAATTCTGAGGATATATATAATATATAAATGTCATATATGCTTAAAATATTCTTTACATCTAATCTATGTAATTAATGGAAGGGATTAGTTTAATCCGGTCAACAACTATAATGTACATAAACAAACATATAGCGGTGAATCTAGGCACCTTATCTGAAAGACAATCAGAATCTTTTTCCTTCAACAAAGGTTCGGATTCTCCCACTCTATTTTATTTTAGCGTAAATTACAATTACCATCGAGTTATGGTCAAATTACAAAAAAATCCCTATTGTTTGGATAATTACAATCATCCCTCAACTATAAATCTTTTTACACGTCCACCCTTGCGGTTTCAAATTTCGTGGAATTTTCGAGATTATATGGATTATAATCCCTTTTGTACCCATTTTATTCTATCCGAACTCCACATTTTAAAGCAAGATGATCTTAATACGTGTTTTTAAGCTTGTATATATTAGATTGTGGTGCATCAAAAACTGTATTCTTACACAAAACGAGTACAAACTAGACCACATTTCACGAAATCTAGATGATTATGTTGAATTTGACACCATAAGTGTGTAGATGTAAGAAAAATCATAGTTGAAGGGGGTAGATGTAATTATCCAAACATGAAGGTTTTTTTCGTAAATTGACCATACCTCAGGGGTGGTTGTAATTTACCCTTTATTTTATTCCATCCATTCATGTACGACTAAGACTTCGTATTGACAGAAAAAAAAAAAAAAAAAACAAGCTGATGACGGAAGTACTGCTGAGAGAGGGGAAGAAATAGAAGAGAGAAGCGGCACATTCAATCTAAGTGTATGGTCAAGTAGAAAGAGTAGATTTTGAATGAATGTACGTCCACGATTAAACTAAACGAAATAATCTGGATAATCAAAATTAAGATGGTTGACTTTAAGCTAGGCTTTAATTGACTTTGGTATTTCCGAACCGTCGAAATTTATTTAAATATAGTCCCGATTGCAAATCACTTGAAAAATATGTGTGACAAAGTCAACTTAAAAAACATCAATGGAAAATAAGGGTTGGGGTAGGATTCAAATCTTAGATCTCTACTCTTAATAGTCGGAGAACTCTTGAATTTATTTTTGGGCTGGGCTTAAATTTTTTCGGGCAGATAAATAACTTCCCCTTGGGCTTTTCTTTGAGTAATGGCCCAATCACAATTAAGTTTAAACAATTAAAATAAATTGATAATTAAAATAGATTATTAGAAAAATCATGAAGGTCAAAATTTGACTACGAGTTTGGCTGCCGTCGCAAACGCGACTTTAACTTTTGTTTTCTCCCTGAACCGGCGACGGAGCAACGGAAAAAGGTCTCTCGCACTTCTCCTCCAGTTCTGTGCAATTCTGATGGCCTGAGGATTCAGATCTCGCCGGAGAAAATCACCGGAGATTTTGCTGTTGCTGATGAGAGTTATATACGAATAGAATTACACGCGTCGTTAAATGGAGAAGCGTATCGAAGAAGTACTCTTCGAGACGCGCCATCACGCTTCGAGACCTTACTCTTCAAATTATCCTCCGCAGCAACAGGTACTCTTTTGATTTTTAATTTTTAATTTCACCGTTTGTGAATAGTGAATTGGTTTTTAGTTTCAATTGAATTTCTGTGTAGTTAATTATTGTTATTTTTGATTGTTTTTTGGGTTTTAAGCCTAAAGAAGGTGGCGGAGGCAGTTTACTTACTTATCTTCCATTCCGAGGTATATTTGATTTTCTCTGAATTCGACAATCGATTCATTTATTTTGTTGAACTTTAGTGTTTTATCTCAGTTTTATGACAACTTTGAGCGAATAAAATTTTATTGTGCTTGGTTCAGTTTTGATGAGAGTGAAGTGACTTATTTCCTTGCCGCAATTATTGTGAAATATTGATTAAACGGAATGCGATGTTTGTGTCGTGAGAACCTATGGTTTCTTCAATCATTTCGTTTACTTTTTTTGATGTGTGTGCTTATTGCTTATTAAGTTGAAGACTGTTATAGGAATGTGCCAAGTTTTGAGTAGTAGTTCTAAGTTTTTATTGGGATTAGAATGTTGATAGTTTTCCTTGTGTATAACTTACTTCTGTTTCTATCTGCTGATTGGGGTCATGTGTTTTGCTCACACCCGAATGGCCATCACATTTCCCTGCTAGCATTGTCACCTTTTCTTGCTTACAATTATTGTCATACTGTCGCTTCAACGAGCCTAAATTTCTGCATATCCAACTTATATCATCACCTCAATGCAATCAATTCCATCTTCTCCAACTACAAAATGAATATTCCAAGTGATGCTGTCAAATAAAGAACTGCCTAACAGCTTCTCCTTTATTTTGTTTCTCTATTGTTGTTTTGCGATGGAACCTGTGCAGAAGTATTTGCTTCTGACTATGTTGCTATACATACAACAACCACTAGTCAGTTTTGTATTACCAGTAGTAAAATTCCCTTTTCATCCTTTTCTATTTTCTTGTTTTAGCTTTTGGATTAGGTCAAATTTTTGCTTTCTTTCAGAAGGTGATTTAGTTTTTGTTTGTTTGGTGGCTTATGAACTTAACTGCTGATAAATTATTATGGTATATTTATACTCGAAGGAATTACTACTCAACTTAAAGAGAAATGGAGTGAATATAGGCAACCGAGAAGATTGAGAAGATTAGTTTCCTTATTTGTCTCTGGGAGAGGTGATTATATTGCTGTAGCTTCCGGAAATCAAATAACAGTTTTGCAAAAGGATAATGAGTACCAGGAGCCAGTCGGAATCTTCACATGTAAGATTTACTTGTCTCTGATATTCAATGTCAAAATATTGTTTAGGGAGGTAGTACTTTTCATTTATGTTACTTCATAGGATTACAAAATAAAATCTTCTTTTGGAAGTCATGCTTCTTCTGGCTTAACTTCTTGCTCCTTATATCCTTTTTGTAGAAGGTAAAAATTGTTAATGGGTGTAAAGTGATATGTTGAACATAACTAGAAAAAGTTGGGAAGTTTGTTTTACTAATAGCTAAATATAAGTTATAACAGAAGATAGCTGTCCTATTTTTTTTAAATGTTGGAATTACTGTACTACGACATATATACATATGCACCTATATATATTGACCACTTGGGTAAATTTATATGCCTTATGAGGATTGGTCAGTCTCTTCTTATATAGTATCTTCTTGTGATTGAGATCATGAAAAGCAGCCAGATTCCCTTGAGTTTATTAGTTTGGTATACTATTTCTGAGAAACATGTTTTGGGTTTTTATTGACAAATCATTTCTTATTCATTATTGAGATCATTGGCCCTAAGGAGGATCTTGGCAGATCTGCCAAAGTAACTTACAATGTGTTAACCAGTTTTTTATGGTTGGACAATTTTGCAGCAACATATTTACTGTAACTGCTGGTTTTGGCTGATGTAGGTGGTGATACTGGCACATTCACATGTGGAGCTTGGTCAGAATCTCATGAATTACTTGGAGTTGCTGATGATACTGATACCATATATATTGTCAAACCAAATGGTGAAGAAATGACCAGAATTACAAAGAGGCATCTGAAAGTCTCCTTACCTATTGTTGGTTTAATCGTGCAGGATGACGCTTCTGGGAAGAAATCTTACTTGTAAGTTTGACTAAAGCTTTTATTCACTAGTTCAGCTGACTAGACTCTTCGCGTCTTCTAACTTTTTTTTTGCAGGTGTACCTTCACTATTATTGTTTCAGATGGTTCATTTCATAATATTGAGATCTCTAAGGATCCAAGTGCTTCCATATTTTCAAAACAAGCATTGAACAATGCATCGGTGTCAAGACAATTTCCTGTGGAAATTTGTTGCTGGGACTATCATCCAGAACTTTCTTTATTTGCAGCAGTCAGCACTGGTATTTTTTCACTTTCTCTCCAAATCCGTGGTTTGAATTGTAGTTAAATCTAGTACCTTGCTAATGTTTATTCCAAAAAAAAATGGGGAATTGCATTAGTAGCATAAGGTTTATGGGAGTATTATGACGTTGTTTTATTGAGTTATTTGACTTTTCCAAAAAGGTTGAATATGTTATGGACTGTAATCTTTGTCTTAACACTAAGACATTTGTGTAATAAACCGACATAAAAAGTTTTCATAGTTTGTGAGTTGTGACTGGCAATTGAGTTTATGTGCAGTCTTGACTTATTTGTCCAGATAACAATTTTATGCTTGTCAACAAATCAGATAGACAAAACTTTCAAAACTCCGTTTATTTAAGTCCTTGATTTTTGTCCTTTTCGTTTTCTAATTATCATTTTTCCTCACGTTCTCTTTCTTTCAGGACAAGAAATGGGAACCTAGATAGCGTCTAATATTTGACTTTTGTGACGCGTTTCCTGCAGGACCCTGTTCTATATCTATTTGGCGAAGAAAAAAGAGCTTACAGATGGAGTCGGTGGTTTTTACTGAATTTGAAGGTTTGTATTCCATGTCAAAAGAGTATCATGGTCAACTCACATCTCCAAAAGTGCTATTCTCGCCATGTGGAAAATTTGTCGCTTCCCTGGATATGATGGGATGCTTATACACTTTTCTACTTGATGAAGAAAAATGTTCTCTCTTAAAACTTTCGGATGGTAAGAGCTGCAACTCGGAGGCGGCAAGTGAAATTTCAAGCAGTGGGACAGATGTTTTGCGAAATATTCTGGATTTTACTTGGTGGTCCAATGATGTACTTACAGTAGCAAGAGAAAATGGCACCATTATGATGGTTGACATTCATAGCCATGTAACTGTATCAGAGAGCGACGATGCATATTCAGTACCCCTATTAGAAAGAGCGCAGCAGAACCCAGGGCTGATTTTTGTTTTAGACAATGCATCCGAGGATAGCTATAGATCGTCTGAAACGAAAGGCCTTATTAAGCGTGTCACAGTAGAGAGACCCAATCAGTTTGATTTTTCCAAGCTGAAATGGAGTTTGGTATCATTGATAAAAAGATCAGTTCTTGAAATTTATGATAATCTAATTAGTACTCGAAGGTATCAGGCTGCTCTTGACTTTGCTGATCGTCATGGATTTGACAAAGATGAAGTGAGAAAGTCACAGTGGTTATCTTCTGCCCAAGGGGTGCATGAGATAAACACTATACTGTCGTCTATCAAGGACCAAGTTTTCGTACTTTCAGAGTGTGTGGATAAAGTAGGACCAACGGAAGATGCAATGAGGAGTTTACTTTCGTTTGGCCTTCGCTTAACGGACTCTTATAAATTTTCCAAGTTGGATGATAATGAGAATGGGCAGATTTGGAACTTCCGTTTGGCAAGACTCAAATTATTACAGTTCACAGATAGACTAGAGACATTTCTTGGGATAAACATGGGCAGGTGATAATTCATGATTACCCTTTACCTATCATCAGATGTCATTATTGTTTATTTTTTATTTGCATAAAGCTAGAAAAAACTTTTTCTAGGTTAAATATTATAGTTTTCTCACCTAGTAATTTGTTTTTTGAAACATTCTCTTAGAGTCGCTTCAATGTGCATGCAAACTATTTCAAAATCAGCTTTTTAGAATTTCTTCATATCACTGTTGAGGTCCAAGTCAGTCACGTAAGTCAGCATCTTGAAATATATCTATGTTCCTGAATATTTTGGAAGTCTCATGTAATAGCTTCGTGTTCATTAGCTACCATATCCTTGCATCCATTTGATTTGCCAAAGCTTGGCCACAATATTAACACCTTAACTTTATGCTTCACTAGTGTGTAGGATATGCATGTCTATATATATAATCAGATCGAAGGCAAAAATTGTGCGTGTGTGTGCATGTACATTTTACATTAGTAAGAATCTATCTGCATCTTTAGTCCTTTTAACAATTTAACAACAAAAAAAGGAAAAAAAAAATCAGATGAAAGCACAAACTGCAACAGTTTCATTTACTTGCAGCTTAGTGACTTAGCTTTGCAGGTTCTCTGTGCAGGAGTATAGTAGATTCCGTGATTTTCCCATCAGCAAAGCTGCTTTAGTACTTGCAGAAAGTGGGAAGATTGGGGCCTTGAACCTTCTATTTAAGCGTCATCCTTATTCTTTGATCCCTTCTATGCTGGATGTTTTAGCTGCTATACCTGAGACTATACCAGTTCAATCCTATGGACAGCTGCTTCCTGCAATTTCTTCTCCTTCAAGTATAGTTCTTAGGGATGAAGATTGGGTGGAATCTGAAAAGATGGTGATGCTTATCAACAATCTTCATGGGAATGAGAGCAGCATCCAACTTATGACCGAACCCATTATAATGAAACACATTGCATTTCAATGGCCATCCGTTTCTGAACTTTCTACTTGGTACAAGAAACGAGCTAGAGATATTGATACCTTAAGTGGCCAGCTAGACAACTGCATGTGCTTGATTGACTTGGCAATTCGTAAAGGAATCTCTGAATTGCAGCAATTCCTTGAGGATATTTCGTACTTGCACCAGCTTATATACTCTGATGAAAGTGAAGATGAAACCAACTTCTCTATGAGCCTGGTTACCTGGGAACAACTGCCAGATTATGAAAAGTTCAAGTTGATAATGATGGGTGTAAAGGAGGATAATGTAATCTCTAGATTACACAAAAAGGCTATTCCATTTATGCAAAGGAGGTTTCATTCAGTGAGTAGAGATGATGCTACTGCTGGTAATCTTACATGTGATAAGACTGTTGACTCATTTCTGATCAGATGGCTGAAAGAAATTGCTACACAAAGTAAACTAGACATGTGCTTAGTAATAATTGAAGAGGGCTGCAGGGACATGGTTAACCATCAATTTTTCAAAGATGAAGTGGAGCTTGTTGATTGTGCTCTCCAGTGTATGTATTTGTGCACTGATATAGACAGGTGGAGCACCATGACCACTATTTTGTCTAAACTTCCACAAATAAGAGGTAAATTTTCAGTTTATTTTGTATTGTTCAATTGTGATTGGGATTTCAGTGCGAGTTAATAGGGCCAAATGTAACTGAATGTTTGTGAAACTGACAGATCTTGAAACTGAGGATATCAAGCGCAGGCTCAAACTTGCTGAGGGCCATGTTGAAGCAGGACGACTGTTGACAAATTATCAGGTTGGTTATGTTGCTTGGCTTAACACTTACTCTCTCTTTTCTAAATCAGTGGATTAAAATTATGCTTGCTTCTCTCTATGTTCCATACATTGATCCAGGATGTAGCTGAGCATGCTTCCATGACTTTTTGGTAACATTTGCTTTTCTACAGATCTAAAGATCTGTACTTCTGGACTGTCTAACTTAAATGCTTAAAATCGCATCTGTGTCAGGAGAACACTTGTTCTTACATTTTCATTAATATTATTTGCAAATTATGTGTTGAACTCAAAGGAGTATTGAAGAAAAAAACTTGAAACTTTTTGATAACGAATTTTTGGAGCACTTGGGTCTTTTCATCCACTGGTCATGCCAGTCATTAATTCGGGAGTAGCTTAGTGATAACGGGAGTCATTATTAAGATAATTATGCAAATGCACTTTTAGCATAGCTTATGCAACTGAACATGCCCTAGTCATGCCAAGTTATGCGGGCTGGATGTAATATTGTTTTCTAATTTTGTTATACAGACAAAGGTTGTTGTCATTCACTTGTATCATTTTATTTATTTTTTGTCTGCATACAGCAAGAGTTGGAAAATTCGACAACAGATTTTCTCTCTTTTAATAAGGGAACAACAGTTTTCCTCCATAATAGGAATATCATAGGCTAATCTATATTGGTTCAGACATCATATAGTCCGAACTTGTTTCTCTTGTTTTGGTTTATTGAGCTCCCGTCTTGAAAGAGACATGTGGCAGTGGTGGCCATTATTTGCTTTAGTAAATGCATGATCTCGAGAATACCCAGTTTGGGGCTCTTGTCATTTTAGCTAATGCATGCATTTATAGAATTTCAATGATGATGTTTCGTATGTGTTCAGGTCCCAAAGCCCATAAGTTTCTTCCTAGACGCGCACTGTGATGAAAAGGGTGTGAAACAAATTCTTCGTCTTTTACTATCAAAATTTATTCGATGGCAACCAGGTCGAACAGATCATGATTGGGCAAACATGTGGCGTGATTTGCTATCTCTTCAAGAAAAGGCATTCCCATTTCTAGATTTGGAGTATTTGCTGATTGAGTTCTGCAGGGGATTGCTTAAAGCAGGAAAATTTTCATTAGCAAGAAATTATTTGAAAGGTACCAGTTCAGTTGCTTTGGCAACTGATAAGGCTGAAAATCTTGTTATTCAGGCCGCGAGAGAGTATTTTTTCTCAGCACCTACTCTTGCATGCTCTGAGGTAATTCTTAAATCTTAGCTCTATAAAGATTGCTAGAAGGCATACAGTCAATCATCTCCGTGTGGGTTTCTATGGTCAGATATCTTTTACTAATGAGTAAATTAGCTTCTCTGTACTCGTAGAGTAAATTATTTGTGTCAGACATGACAAGGACTCCTTATAGTGTTTTATGATGGGATCTAGTTGATTAATTCAGTTGTTGCCTTGTGCCTTCAAGATTGTCTAAGTAATGTGTATCCATAAGAAATAAAAATCTGAAATCACTGGTGATGAACTATCCTGTTCCAGGTTTCCTGTAGTGCCATGCTCACCTTGCTTGCTGTTCTGCTTTTATTTGCGAATCTTCTGACTGCTATGCCATTCATTAGTTCAGTCATGGCAAAATTTATTTTACTGCATTTTCAAACTTTGGCTGTAGAAAATTGTCTTCTTCTGACACCCAAAACAAAATAATTGATCAAACTTCTGGAATTTGTATCCAGATCTGGAAGGCTAAGGAGTGTCTGAATATTTTTCCTAGCAGCAGAAATGTCAGGGTGGAAGCTGACATAATTGATGCCGTTACTGTTAGACTTCCAAATCTTGGAGTAAACCTTCTTCCCATGGCATTTAGGCAAATAAAAGATCCTATGGAAATCATTAAGCTGGCAGTTACAAGTCAAAGTGGAGCTTATCTAAATGTTGATGAACTTATTGAAATTGCTAAGCTTCTTGGATTGAGCTCACAGCAAGACATATCAACAGTTCAAGAAGCTATAGCGAGAGAAGCAGCATTTGCGGGAGATGTGCAGCTAGCTTTTGATCTATGTCTTGTGTTAGCCAAAAAGGGCCATGGCTCTATATGGGACTTGTGTGCTGCTCTTGCAAGAAGTCAAGCCCTTGAGACTATGGATTCAAAATCGCAAAAGCTGCTTTTAGGTTTTGCTTTGAGCCACTGTGATGAAGAATCGATTGGTGAGCTTCTTCATGAATGGAAAGATGTTGACATGCAGGACCACTGTGAAACTTTGATTACGTTGACTGGAAGAGAGCCTTCAGAGTTCTCAGAACAGAGTTCCGCAGGAGAATTCTCTGGGAGGATCGATGTAGGTTCCAAGGACAAGGAACCCCAATTTGGAAAAGTTAAAAGTTTACTTTCTTTGGTTGCCCAAACTCTTTCCTCACCAAATGAATATGACTGGGAATCCCTTAAGGAGAACGGGAAAGTGGTTTCGTTTGCTGCCTCTCACCTCCCATGGTTGCTGAAATTGAGTGAAGATGCAGAATTTGGGAAAATGCTTTCTTCGGACTCGGTGTCCACAATCCAACGTGTTAGTGTAAGAACTAGAGCAGTGATGGCTATTTTAACATGGTTGACAAGGAGTGGCTTTGCCCCAAGAGATGATATTATTGCCTCTCTGGCTAAATCAATTATAGAACCACCTGTTTCTGATGGTGAGGACGTTATAGGTTGTTCTATTCTGTTAAATCTTATAGACGCCGTTCACGGAGCGGAAATAATTGAAGAACAGCTGAAAATAAGAGAAAACTACAGAGAATTTTCTAGTCTCATGAATGTGGGGATGATATATAGTTTGTTGCACAGTCATGGCATTCAATGTGCGAATCCTGCTGAAAGGAGGGAGCTGCTGCTGAACAAGCTTCAAGAGAAAAACAAACTACTCAGTTCAGGTACTTCTAATCGCAAGTGAAATCTTGACAGTTTTGACTTATTTATCTTAAATATAATTTACTGGTGCCAACGTGATTTGCGAGGAACTTTTTTTTTCATCGATGTGATTTTCTTGTGAAACTTGTTGAACTCACGTCGTTTCAAATTCAGATGAATGCAATAAAGTACATGAAGCCCAATCTACATTTTGGAATGAGTGGAAAGTCAAATTAGAACAACAGAAGACTGTAGCAGATAAATCGAGGGTATTGGAGAAATTAATTCCTGGAGTGGAAATCTCTCGGTTTTTTTCAGGAGATGTGGAGTATATAGAAAGTGTTCTATTTTCTCTTATCGAATCAGTTAAAATGGATAAGAAGTACATCCTGAAAGATGCTCTCATCGTAGCCCATACCTATGGCCTGGATCATAGCACGGTACATTTTTTTTTACTATCTAGTCTGTTATACGTTGTGATTAATTGTCGTGCTAATTGATTTTTTACTTGTCTTTGTTTAGGTGCTTCTGTATTACCTGAGTACTATACTTGTTTCTGAGGTATGGAGTGTTGATGATATCATGGAGGAAGTTTCAGATTTTAAGGAAGAAATACTTGCTTGTGCTGAAGAAGTCATTAAATCCATTTCTTTGTCTGTTTACCCTGCAATTGATGGTTATGATAAGCAGAGACTTGCATTTCTTTATCATCTACTCTCTGACTGCTATACGCACCATGAAGAATCGAAACAGTTACCACTTGCAATTGACCAACATTTAGTGCAACCAAGAACCGTTGGACTAGCTCAGTTTTGCAAAATTGTTGGGCAAGAATGCAGCAGGGTCTCCTTTATAAAGGGCCTAAATTTTAAAAACATTGCTGGGTTACAGGATCTAAATTTTGGTTCCTTCAACGATGAAGTATGTGCTCAAATAAATGAAGATAATGTTGAGCCATTAGCAAAAATGGTTCAGAACCTTGTTCTTATCTATGGTGATACTGCACGTGAGGATCTTTTATCATGGAAATACGTATATACACATTATGTGGTGAGCTCTTTGATCAATTTAGAAGATAAAGCTGAAAGAGAAACTCATTTTCAAAGTTCTGAAGACATTTACGCCTTCATAGATGAGATAGAGCAGATGTATGGTATCTGCAAAAAGCACATTGGATTCATGGAATATCAAGGTGTTTTGGACATCGTGCTGCGATTTTTCACTATCATCTTACCCATCCATAAAAATCTGAGGAACTTACCCGGTGATTTAACTGGGAAAGAGTGCCTTGTGAAACTTATAAGCTTCTGGCTCAGGTTGATGAATGATACTGAGGATCTGTTTTTGCTGGATTCGTCGAGTGAAAGGTTCTATTCTGAATGTTCAATTACATGTCTCAGAGTTTTCTTGGATTTGCTTCTCAAGGAGATAGTATCACCTAATCAGGGTTGGGGCACCGTTGTTAAGTACGTGTCCGGTGGTTTTAAGTGCAGTGTTGCAATCGAAACTTTCAATTTTTGCAGAGCAATGATTTTTAGTGGCTGTGGATTTGAAGCCATATCTCATGTATTTTCCAACATTTTAGCACAGTTCCCACCTGGATCATTTTTCATCACAACCGATTTGGAACTTTCTGTAAACATTCAAGATCTTCCAAACCTGTATCTGAGCATACTGGAAACTGTTCTACAAGAAATAGCTCGTGGGTCCGCCGAACGCCAGAGTTTACACTACTTGCTATCGTCTCTAAGTAAACTTGAAGGTGACTGTGAGGAGCACCTGAAGAAAGTAAGGCTCGTTGTTTGGAATAGAATGTCTACTTTCTCTGACAATTTGCAGCTGCCAAGCCATCTTCGTGTCTACGCCTTGGAGCTCATGCAATTTATTTCTGGTAGAAAGAGAAATTTGAAGGTTTTTTCTTCTGAGGGACCCACATACCTTCTGCCATGGGAAGCCTGGGATGATTTGCAGGATAGAACTATTGATCACGAAAATACATCCGACGACCCAACTGTTGTAAAAGATTCATCGAGTAGGTTTTCGAGTACACTTGTGGCTCTTAAATCATCACAGCTGCTTTTATCCATTTCCCCTGGCCTTGAAATCACACCAGAGGATATACTTTCTGTGGATTCTGCAGTTTCCTGCTTTCTAAGGGTATCGGAATCGGCCACCACTCCATTCCACATCAGCTCTTTGCTGGCTGTATTGGCTGAGTGGGAAGGACTCTTTACCGCCAGAGTAGATGACGGTGATTCTGCGGAGGCACCTGATGCTGTGAATAACTGGAGCAGTGATGACTGGGACGAGGGCTGGGAGAGCTTCCAAGAAGAATCATCAATTGAGAAAGAAACAAAAGAAAGTAATAATAATACCCTTTCGATTCATCCCCTGCATATTTGTTGGATGACAGTACTCAAGAAAATGGTAAAATTCTCCAGCCAAACGGACATACTGAAATTACTGGACCAAAATGCTGGCAAAAACTGTGGGGTATTACTCGATGACAATGATACTCGAATTCTGACTCAAAATGCACTTGAGATGGATTGCTTTTTAGCTCTTAAGATGACATTATTGCTCCCGTATGAGGCAATACAGCTGCAATGCTTAGATGCGGTTGAGAACAAGCTCAAGGAAGGAGGCATATCAGAGGACATTGCTCATGACCATTTCTTTTTTGTTCTCGTTTTATCGTCTGGGATTTTACCAAATATTATTACGGAAGCTTCTTATGGCACCACGTTTTCTTACCTGTGCTTTATGGTGGGTAACTTTTGTCGTCAGTTTCAAGAGGCACGTGCATCGACAATTAAACATGGGCCCTCCATTGGAGGTGAGAGAAATGAAGACAAGCTCGATTTCCTCTTTGTGAAACTTGTGTTTCCGTGTTTTATAGCGGAGCTTGTGAAGGCGAATCAGCACATTTCAGCTGGATTTCTGGTCACGAAATTCATGCATATGAATGCTTCGCTTAGTTTGATCAATATTGCAGAGTCAACTCTTCGAAAATATTTGGAAAGGCAATTCGAAGAAGTACAAGAAAGAAAGTCGTCGTGGGAGAATTCGAGCTTTTGTGAACCCCTGGTAAATACTGTTGCCAATTTGAGAGGCAAGTTTGAAAATTTGATCCAATCGGCACTCTCGTCGCTGCCAACTGATGTTAGATAACTAGTGCACTTTTCGCCTTCACACATCTCTTGTATACTTGCTGTACTTTTCTATCAGCTGGAAAAATTGTGTTGTGTTTCGTTAATCTTACAAACCGTTGGTTTATACAAGGTTAGTTATATATGGACAGTTGGATTGTTTGTAGAAATAAATTCTTTTTTCTTGTAACTTAGTTTTCTTTGTTGCTCTTTCAAATGAAGGATTTTTATTTTGATGAAATATTTTGTTTAAAAATTATGTCACTAATTTGAGTAAAATTACAAAAAATCGTATACTATAGTACACATTTTTTGTCTAAATAATTGAAATGTTAATTTTTTTCAATATTTTTTAAAATCAAATGTTTTTTAAAAATATGCTATTAGTACATTAAAAAATTATTTCACTAACGAAAATTATTTCTCTTGAAAACTTTTTTAGCATTTCGTAAGCTACGGGTAAAACAGTTAACAGGGTTCTGACACGTGTCAGATAGAACGGTCCGCTTACTGCCAAGAGCAACTCTCGGAGTTACAAAGAGCCACCAGGTTGGCAAAACATATGCAGATATTTAATAGACTACTAGAAACAGCGAATCGGTTGAAGAATTTCGATATCTCAATCTCTCTCTACTCTCTCTCTCTCTCTCTCTCTCTCTCTCTCTCTCTCATGAAAATCGAGATATGGAAAAATTGCCGACCGATCTTTATCTGAAGATATTCTGTTGGTTGGATCATCAAAATCTCGCAGCTGCTCAACTTGGTCAGTACTCAATTTTTCTTCTCGGAAATTCCTCTGATTCACTTTATCTCGTCTCTAGGGCGAATTTTAAGATCTTAATTCGATTTGCTGAAATCTACTTCAATCGTACATTTTTGGGGATAAATCTGTTTTTTGTTTTGTTAATCAGGTTAATTAATTTCAATCGCACAATTAATGTTCAATTAATATCAGTTAAGAAGAACTATTTCGTTCCCAAGTCTTCTGAAAATTGATGATTAATTTCCAGGCATCTATTTTTCGTAATTCGAACAATTTATTGGACACCAGCTGCAGCAAGCCATTATGTGCAGGAAAACAACTAAGAAATATTGGAAATCATGATTGGAAAAAAATGTTGATTGATCTCTTTTAATTGGCATTAAAATGTTAATTTTACGCACCATCATTGCAATCAATTGATCATATTGAAGTAGATTGCAATCTGTATATCTCATTACAGTGACAAGAAAAAAATGTTTGTTTTTGTGGTGAAAAGTGTGCAGGAAATGGAGAGATTTAGGGTCAGACGAGATGTTATGGTGTAATCTATTTAAAGAAAGATGGGGAATTGATAATGCCACATTTTACGCCCCTGTAGATTCTAAGTCGTGGAAAGATGTCTTCATTGTTCAAGACCGCTGCGATCGAGTTGGATTGTAAGTTTTCCGTTCCGATTTTTGATGAACTGATATTCGCAACAGAAAAGACATTGTTGCCTGTAGTTTTGCAAATATAACATTATGTGGACTCTGAGCAGCGTGATTTTGTTCACGTACATGACAGTCGATTTTTTATTTTTTGTTTCAGGGGGTTGAAGATAATAATGGAAGGAGATGATTGTTTCTTAGTTCATCAAGGTCAAATTCAACGGCATTTAGGTTCAAGAGAACCAGAATCACGAACATTTAACTCAATTAACAATAGAGGAGAAGAATCCATAGATGAAGAGCAACCATGCTCGAGCATTCTAGACAAGATCCTTTTCTTCGTTGGGGACATGGAAACTGCTTCATTACATGCGAAACGAAGCCGGTTGCTGTAGATATCTGTCTGACTTGACATGGATTTGACGTAATGCTTTTGTTAATTTGTATAATTATCTTAGTAAATGATGTACCTTATGTTTTTTCGTTAAAAATATGTAAAGTGCTGTGATAATTCATAGTCCCTTTGTAAAATATGTAAAATGTCTTGTAACAATATAACAAATTCAAATGCAAATAACAGGACCTTGCATTCCACAATAGTTTCCCTTTCTATTTTGCAATGAACAGCTACTATTTAATTTCCTTTATCGTCGATTTCTCCGAACGAGCTGTGGATTTTTACCACTCAAAATTTACAAATGGTGAAGTAGATGGAAAAACACGATACGACAAAACATTTGCAATCAAATGTTCGACCGGGTGAAACCAATGTGATTTGTACACTTGCAGTAAGAATTTATTTAAATAAAAAAAAAATAATAAACAGATATGCCGATACAAAACTAGGAACTTAAAACCTCAATTAGGAGAAAAAAATAATGTAGATATCAGAATCACGAAAAGAACGGTGATTATTACAGCACGAGACAAAAGCAATAGATGGTACTATGTTTTAAAATTGCACATTACCCACATGAGAAAGAATCCAACTAGTAGATTTTTCCATGTGTCTGGTGGCACTTCTTTGCATGTATGGCTGCTAATTTGTTAACATTGCAATAAATTGAAATTTATGCTCAACTACGCAAACTCCTATCTGCAGATCATAGCAGTAACTGGATGATCTAGTTGAAACCAATCGATTAAGTAACATTTAATGGCTCATCCTCCGCATTTCTATCTTTCATCATAGCCCAATCTTCTGTCTCTGCAAACGAATACGACGAAAGGAGAGAAAGGAGACATGTCAGAAGAACGTTATATTTTCATAGAGATTTACGTTCACAAGAAGATGTGCAAAATTTCCCGATTTTGTTGATGTTGCACCACAGGGTTTTCATTAGGTGAAAGACTTGGTAAAAAAAGTAATGTAGAAGCAAATACATTACTTACTTGGCTTTTCTCCAAGTGCCGAGAGACGTCTCTGCAGAATGGAAGCTAGAAAGAGGAAGATGGAGCACATGCCAAACATAACTGTGATGGGGAATGCATTAACCTGCAAACAGTTCAGATAATTGTTAACACCTATCAACCTGTAATCCTTAAACTGGTTCATAAAATCAAACAAGGCATTCTATCATGGTACGGAAATTAATTTAGTATTAGGAACGAGTTCTAATCCTCTTTTAAAGAAAATTTTGATTGCGTCAAAGGCAATATATGTAGTTGCATATTTATTCATTCGAAAGAGGAAAAAAGAAAAGGATAATTATAGAGCAAAGATCGAGAAGACATACATTGTATAGCACAATGCAGACAAAAATGTTTAGAGGGATGCGGAAAAAGTTCATGATGGTGCTTCGTGCCTCCTCAGGAATGTACTGGGATCTCATCTTCATAATGGACGGCCAGAAAAGACCAACACAAGCTTCAAAAGTGCAAAAGCCAAGAAGTTGAAGACAGCCTGCAAATGAGATGCTGCCACCTTTGACCCCTGAAGGAGGTATCAAGAACTGTCATAGAGTGGTAAGAAGGAAGTTAGACGGAGTCCACTACACCAAGATAAAAATCAAGCAAACGAACAAACAGAAACCTGGACATACATTTGTCAATATGGGAAGCAAAAGAGAGGCAGAAGAAACAACAAATACAATCTGCATGTAGCTCTCCACTTTAACTGAGCTACGTGCCAACAAGCGAGCTGCAATCGAGCTTCCCAACATGGAAGCCAACATGAAAGTTGCAAAAATAAAACCATGGGGTATATCTTCATCGTTTGGACTGAGAGCAGGTGTCCAGAGGAACACGAAGGTGTACATAGAACCTTCAAACAGAGACTGTATTGCACCAAGCAGTGCAATCTTCTCATCTGACCAGGAAAATCATCACATCAGATCACAAAAATAGAAAATCCATTTTAAACAATTAGGAAACGAAAAAGAAATTTAGATCCATTTGCTTCTCTTTACAAGGAAACAGATTCGCTATCAGTTTGCATATTTAACTTCAGAGAAATAGGATTACCTGAAGCAATTGCTACGGCTGCGCCCTTGAATTGAGTAAGCAAGTCTTTGCTCTCAGAAGGGTCCCCATAGTTCTCGGTCCATGATGACAATATTACAGCCATTCCAATAGCAAGAAAGATGCCAGCAGCATCAAATGGAGATACAGGCCCTAAATTCAATGAATCGACCAGAAAATTTCCAAATAACCCAGCTACAATGGCAACAAGACCGTTGCCTAGGAATATTGCCTTGGAGAAAGTTAATGAGAGCCATTGTTGATCGAAGCCCCTCTGTGAATATTATAAAGTATTCAAGATTACAATCAATAAATAGAAACAAACAACGACTTGTAATCAGTGCATGAAACAAAGACCATTTCATCACCTTGAAGTGTTCTGCCACAAGCCACGACTCGAAAGCAGAAAACAAGAGAGATGTGGCAATACCACCCAAAACACGTCCAACCATCAGAACTCTGTATTGAGGAGAGTGCTTGGTAATGCAGCTCAGTATATACGTGATGCAATAAGTGACACATGCTCTCTTCCGGCCCCTGCAATTTCATCACGGAACTTAAAATGGGGAGAATATTTCAATAAAAAAGTAAATTTACATTATTTGAGGAGATTATCTCACTGTTTATCTGCTAGAGATCCAACAATGGTTCCAACAACATGGAAGACCCAAATCCCGCAATAAAGAGCTGTCCGATTTCACCTTTTCCGAAGCCATAGGTACTGTAAAGGTAGTAAACGTATGGACCCTGCAACCAATCACCAGCTATTTTGCCACATTTAAAGTAAACCGTCAGCAACGCAAATATCATGTCCGATATATTTCCAGAATTAAAAGAAATTTCTAGAAGCTCTACCCAAGAGAGCGTGTAACTGAGAAAAGAGCAAATATGACAATATAATGGATTGCATGGTGATGGGAAACTTGGTTTGACAGTATAATTTATATGCATTAAGTTACACTGACCCCACAATTAACTCAACTCGGATTATAAATCGAAATATAAGTATAAAATCGAGAACCAACGAGAGTATGTGTTCATGCAGTTCCTAAACTACAAAGAGGTGATGGAGTATTCCATATATATTATAATTTATGATTGAAATTGAACATGGTCTCATGCAGTTCCTTTATTTTACAATCATTAATGAACTCAATTAATATATTTACTTTGATTACATCATCACAACAAAGTATCAAAGGCAGCTATTAAACTTATTAAGATACTCAAAATCGGTTTAAATTTTCGGAAACCATATTCAGCAGCATAGATCACCTTATCAAAAAAACACAAGCAGACGAGCTCAAATAAGGATCTAGATCCACCAAAAAAACAGCATTGCCAAATTCACAAAAGTTAGATCCTAAGAACAGAGCACTCGAATCGCGTAAAGTTTACGCATCCAGCACACAGATCACACGCAAACGCTTCGATGTACAGAACAATAATCACATATTAGCCATCACACTGGATTCCTTTAGAACATGGATCTACTATATTAGACAAACATTTTTACAAACACCTTACGAACATCAAACATAACGGAAAAGGACATAAGACCTACGTGCAAAGCGCCAAAAAAAAAAAATGCTTCTAATTATCGACACAGACCTCCTTCATAATTTTTATTGGAACCGAGCAACATGAAAAAAATTCGCTAGCATTTTCGTTCAGGCTGTAATAGATCAAATCAAATTGTGCAGAAAATGTGTGAAATGCCTAGATCTCGGATCAAGCAACGAATATACGTACCCATCATGAGAGAATATACGAGAAGGTAATTGTTCTTGAAGGAATTGAAAGACGACGAAGTATTAATCCGATCTTTGTTACTTTTGCTCAGCTCCACCGTCGCCACCACCGCGGCCAACGCCCCAAACACGAAATAGTAGAAAATCTCCATTTTTCTCTACAACAATATTTTTTTTCTTCTCTTTCGTTCAGGAAAAAAAATAAATTAGTAAAAATTGAAGGAGTGCAGAGAGTTTCTCGAAATGCAGTGCCGATCAGATTTTCACGTATGCCGCATCAATAAATATAGTTGCGAGTGTGTGTATTGTGTGTAAACAGAAATGCACACACTATAGCGTGTTTCTGTGTGTGTAAAAGTAGCTACGTTGTTATGCTGATACGATCTTATTCTGTATGCATGTGTGATCATGACACGTGTCGACTGTGGAATGTCGATTGGTGTCGGTAATTGGGAGTTCAGGCTGATCTAACGGTGAAGTGTTATACATGCATTTTCGTGATCTGTGAATCTACACCGTTAGATTTGATTTGCGGGACCGTCAATTAGCCGGTTTTTTGGGCCTAACTTTCATTTCAACAAAATAATTAAATACGACGGAATAAAATCTGATTAAAAAATATATAATTTTTTTTAAAGAGGGATGTTGCAAAGTATAAATGTCAAATTCAAAGGAGTTAATAAATGTCACATGGGATTGACATGAAAGTTTGTAGCATGACAAATTGGAGACCTAAGACATAGGACTTTATGCCATCCTCCTCGTTACTATTATTTTGTAACATAATTTGTTATGGGTGTGTGGGGGCCCACCACCACCACATGCCATACTCGTGGTTTGTTTCACTACAAATTAGTGAAGTTGCTTAATCACTTATAAGTTGTTTGATGTGAATTTGAGGTTTTTTTGTTTTTTTCTTTTTCAAATTAGTTGAACTCAAAATATTAGACGTCACATTTTGTTTACTACACTAATCTTGAATTGACAACCAAACGGGGCATGAGACTCAGTTATATGACAATTTTGAAATTTATTCTAAAATGCATAATTAATTGACCTCGGGATAAATGAAGTACGCTATCCATAACAGAACATTTATTGCGAAGAGTTTGTAGTACAAGGGAACGGACTCTGAAGCAAACAAAGGCTCCATCAATATTCCAAATTTGGTTATAGGCTTATTAAACTTTGGGCCCATAAATAAAAATATATTGTTACTTATGCCAAAGTGAACCGACAATTAGGGATGGCAATTTAATCTATCCCACCAGGTATCCACCCCGCACCGCTCCGGAGTAATTTATGCCCCATCAGTTAATGGAGTGGTACGGGTGATAAATCTTCGGGTGCGAAATTTCTAAAAGCCAACTCATACTCGCCCCATGGTCATCCTACCGACAATAGCTTTTACCCTACATACTAATTATTATTGTTCTAATCTAACATTTATCAAAGCACATAGTAACTCATCTTCATTTACACTACACAACAATAGTCTGGTTGATTTTTTAGTTATTTATTTTTTGTTATTAATAATTTTTTTTGATTTTTTTTTTTTTGAAGTAGATAAATTATGCTTCAATTGCACTCCAAGTCAGCCTTATAAGCTCTGCCAGCTCAGCCCATACTGGGAATAGGCTACTCTGAAACGAAATTAATTAATTAATTATTATCCTATTTGATAAAGAGCCAAATGAGATAGGATGAAGAAATCCCAACTGAAAGGAAATCATTCACCACCACCACAAATTCAGATTCTAAGGAGCCTAAAATATCCACCACTTCTCCCAATAATTGGCTCACTGATTTCCACCCTCAAGATATTATTCAATTTTTAATCATTAAAAAAATAAAAAAATAAAAAATCTAAAGGCAAAAAAAAAATTGAATTTGAATCCCAGCTCAGAAACATAGATGATCTGAATTAAGATACCAGCTCAATTGAAGGAGTGAAGATGGCAGCAGTTACTTCAATCAGCACAAACCCATCATCTTCATCTTCCCTGTACAATAAATTTCATCCTTGTTCTTCGAGTTTCTTTGCAACAAAAGTTGCTACACTATCCAACACAAGAGAAAGCTCAAGCAGATATAGATCACTCATAATCCAAAATGGTACTGCAACCAAACAGGCAAATACACCAGGTATTCATTTACTATATCTCTTACTCATAATTCTGCATGTATGTATATCAATCAAGATTATAACTTTTTGTTTTGCTTTTTTCGTATTTGAATGTTTCGGTGAATCAGCTGAAGTAGACTGGAAGATCAAGCGGCAACTTCTGCTCGAGAAAAAGGTAACACAGTTCATCTCAGATAAAATACAATCCTTTGAATAAATAGATACAATTCAGAACAAATATAATACCTCAAACAACAATCGATACACGAAATTCAAGAATGTCGATAATCTATAGATGTTCAATCTGCAATAAAACAGATAAGAGTTGCAACATTCAACATTATGTCGGAATAATTAGGAGTGATTTTGCAGGTAAGAAGTGTTGATGTGAAGGAAGCATTGCGACTTCAATCAGAAAATAAATTTGTCATTCTCGATGTACGACCAGAGGCAGAGTACAAAGAGGTTACGGTTGATTAATGCAGAGTTTTCGATCGTAAATTTACGTGCCTTACTATAAATCTAATGCCATCTTATTATTTGGTATAGGCTCATCCAGCAGGTGCTATTAATGTGCAAATATACAGGCTTATAAAGGAATGGACAGCTTGGGATATAGCTAGAAGGGCTGCATTTGCTTTCTTTGGCATCTTTTCCGGAACAGAAGAGAACCCCGAGTTTATACAAAGTAATTCTTTTTTTTAAATATATATATATATATAGAGGAAATTATTCTTCTACTATATTTGCTACGTCGATTTACTAAGTTGTATCATTGTACACCTTTGTCTTTTTTACAAGCAGGTGTAGAGTCGAAATTACCAAAGGATGCAAAGATTATAGTGGCTTGTTCAGCTGGAGGAACAATGAGGCCGACACAAAATCTTCCGGAAGGACAGCAATCGAGGTTCACTGATCATTTTTGCTATTTCCTAATTCAACGCAAAACACAAGTAACATGCATGAGTCATGACAATACTTGATAATGCAGGTCGTTTATAGCAGCGTACTTGTTGGTACTCAACGGGTATACAAACGTGTTTCACTTGGAAGGAGGGCTTTACAAGTGGTTTAAAGAAGATTTGCCGACAGAATCTGAAGAATGAAGTCAAACCGAAAGAAAAAAGGGAGTGTTTTTGGATGAGATCATTGTTGTTCCTAAATAGGATTGTTTTTAGATGTTATTGTGTATCGATGATAGTAGTTAGTTCGATGACAAATTCATCAGACCAAATGGCCACAATGTTTCAATTTCACCAAGAGATTTGTTACTCCATATATATATCACCCCATTAAGACTTTGCGGATGTCAAATCAAAAACAAAAGGGAGAAAAACATCTTTAAAGATCGGAAAAGGAATCGAACCAGAGCAGCAAGAATCCATCTCTGACTAAAGTATCCATAAAAATCCTGCCAGAATATCAGTTAGTAATCTCAAGAACAGAGCCCATATACACAATTCTTCCTCTGTACAATTCTGAACGTTATATATCAAAGATGGGTCCCACAGGCGTAATAAGAGCAGTAAAAGAAAAAAATGTTCTTGTCCAAAAACGTCTGAATCTCACAACAAAAATGTTCTTTGATACTTACATAAGTTAAATTAGGATGCCTCCACAAGCCGATAAATTGTGATCTCCTGTTGCTTGAAATATCGACGATCCTCTTCATCAACAAGTACAAGGTTTAAGTAGTATTTCACACTAAATTTGTTGTTTATGTTTCTGTATGTTGGAGTCATCTCATATGGGCTCAGGAACAATCTAATTGGAATCGATTCACCTGTCGAACCAAAAGTGTTTTATCGAGTAAATCATCTTATTTCATCAAATAATACAACCTTTAGCAATTGATAAGAAAAATAATAACAATTTAGAGTACCTCGGACTGGAGCACCATCCATCAGTTCAAACTTTGCAAGTGTCTCTGTCTCGACATGGGTGTTGGCCCCTGACCCAGTTGACTCTCTGCGCCTAATTTCGAGATCCATATTTTTAATCTTGATTCTTACAAGAAGAAAATATATTTTCCCTAGTATGACATCTTTCAGATGATACCTAGATACATATTCAAGTTTCCAATCAGCAAATCCACATGCACTAGAGTTCAATGTAAGAGAAAATTAGCACTCATACAACAAGAACACTAAATCGAGGAAGGTTTTACTGGTTCCCAAAAACATTATGTGAATACACCAACATTATAAAGAGAAGTGGATGAACGTAGCACAGATAATGGCATTGTATTGAACAACCAAAAGAACCATTGTGGAAATACATTTTATCCAAATAAAGAACTCAGTTCTAACCCCGAACGGAGATAGGTCAATCAGAGGTAAAATGGAAGTAACATACTTGCTCTTATTGTACTCAAACTCAATATGAAGGCAGTCTTCGATTCCAACTTCCATCTACAAGTAAAAGGTCAAAGATTACAGCATATACCTTTATATACCTTACAGCATAAAGAACGACTGGACCATGAACTAACACACCAAATAGTGTCCAACTAAGAATAGACTGTAATACCTTGATGCTGTTGTTGATTGGTGGAAGAGGGCTAAAATTCCTCACCTGATCCGTGAAATAATAGATGACTTATCAGCACGACTACATTACAGAAACAAAAACTATTGAACTCCTCAAGACAAAGTTTCGAGTGCAACAAAAATAAGTGCCCACCTGTTATCTTTGGAAAAAAAATTCTAAATTACTATTTAGCGAGTACAAAAGCAGATTAGGTAGAGAACTTGCTGAGAATTTACAAGCTGGTGGGGACTATAACTTCCTACAATTAACTTGAAGAAATTATATGAAATTCATTTCTACCTAAAGAATGGTGCATGCAATTTTTATTTTTATTGAGTTGTGATTCACTAACTAGGTGAGTTAAACTGTCTCATTGCTGGAATAAGCCATACTGCCAATTGCATCTAAATGAATTATACATGCATCAAATACTCTTCAAAACATATGTGGGCAGCAAAGCAATACACGGTATCTAATTTGGAAGACATTTCATTAGGATTAGTACCACAAAGTCTTGATATTCTGTAATGCTGCCGGCATAACCTCGACTTATCGTGACTTTTAGGACATACCTGAAACAAGCAGAAAATGTTGATGAAGTAGGTCGATCATCTAACACTAGAAAAAAACAGTTGACAAAAACTAGTGCCAGAAGTGGCCCAGAACCATGTAAAAAGATGCATACAGAGGGACACAATCTTTCTGTACTTGTCAATATATCCAAGTCTATGTAATACTTGAAGTGACTTTGGCACTACAGTCACAGAAACTAAGAAAAGTCAGAAGAACTCGGGTATTCCTGAAAAGATGCTAACAAGAGAAAGAAACATTTAGAGTTTTTCTTTTTTTTTTTTTTTTGTGCATCTTTAGAAATTTACTTGAAATACTTGCAAATAATTTGATAAAAAACAAATTTATTTAACCAACACGCGCTGACTCCCACCCCCATGGTCAAAGACACCCAAGAGGAAAACGAAAGGAAAAACAGAACAAGTTGACTCAAGACTGTGATGTTTTTAGACACAAGAGTGTATTGTATCAAACCATTTAAGATAGAAAGAGTAACTCACCTAAGGCGTACATTAACCCCATTGTATGTCTCGTATGGCATTTCCACAGTTGAAAATTCAAATGGAAATGTTTTCCTTTCATATATTTCTCCAGGAACATCCAGTTCACGAACTATACATACAAGAACCAAAATATAAGAAATACTGAAAGAGGAACATTTCCTGTGCTTACAGCCTTACAGGCAAGTAAAATGTGGCATAGGATAACAGCAAAGAAATATAAGTAAATTGAAATTTACGGAATGGTTCTCAAAAAAAAAAAAAAAAAAAAAAGAAATTTACGGAATGAATGATCTAAATAATAATCTTCATTTAATGTTAATAATAACAAAAAATATAACAATCTTCATTTTATGTTAAAATAACCAAAAAGATGAAATATAGCTTTTATATAGCTCCTTTTAGATATAAAATCAAAACAATTTTGAACTTACCAAGAGAAGTGAAATCGTAGAAGTTGCCTTTGTCAAAGTACATTTCTGCAAATACAAAATTATTTTGACAAAAGGCAATCAGACAAAAAATTTCTGAGTAGTAATATATATATTTCTCCAAACTTTGTGTATTCTTCCAACGTCATTTATGAATTTTGATTACATACCTATCTGGCCAAGAAGCTCAATTTTAATTCCGTTGTGCTCCACTTTTTTCCCTGAAACTGGTTCAATCGAAATCTGGAAACAAATGTACATCATCACGATAAATAATTAACTCTGGAATACGAGTAAAGTTGGGAGCTATGTGGAATATATAACATAAATAATGGCATGAACACATACCGTGCCAGTAATGTTTTCTTTACTTTGGAAGAGTGGGACCATTACTGTTTGACCATTCTCCTTCTTCAACGGAACCTACAGTACGGAATCAAAAGAAAATGTAAGTAACTACTCTACCATTCAATTATAATTTTTTTTTTTGATTAATCATCACAAGTTCAACAAAGTGAATACCAACACAAGAATCACCAGACAGGACAAACAGACACGCAATAAAACTGTCACGTTAACATTCTCCAAACAAATCCATCCTCGAGAGTTCATATTAAGAATAAATACTCTTTCAATGCAGGAGTTAAAATTTTCAAATAATATCGAGTGAGATGATGAGTCAAGTACATAGATAAGCACTAAAAGCAAATTGTTCCTGGTTAAAGTAAAAACAGTACTTAATCCTCCCCGACATTCCAAAATCAAGCCCTTATCAACATATTTAGCGCAAGTCTGACTGCTAAAAAGATAATCTAAAGCACAACATATTAAAATAAATAAACTACCTGCTTTCGAGATCTTCCATCTGAAAATGTAACTGAAATGTTGCATGCCGACTTAAAAGCTCCAATTATAAAATTCTGAAAACAGAAGTTGACAATTCACTCAATACAAAAAAACAATAAACAAAGAAGTTGGGGGGGGGGGGGGGGGGGGGGGGCCTAAAACGGGAAGGGGGGGGGGGGGGGGGGGGGGGCGTACAACGGTAAGGCAGGCAGTGAAACTTTACCATTGCTAAATTTTAACCCTTAAATCAATCCAATTCTCCAATAGAAACACCTGCAACAGATTCCATTTACAGTTCATGCTCCGATTATAACTGCATATGAACAATTACCGGAGATCTAACCAGAAGAACACAAACTGCATAAAGATGAAATGCAATGCAATACAAATTATTCCACTAAAAACCCTAAAACGATCGATTTACGGTACTAAATCCCGATACTAAAAAAATGAAGGAAAAAGCAGTTTTACGCGTGAATTGTAGGGTGACTTTACTTACTGGATTTTCCAAGAAGATCGAAGAGTGAGTTCTCTGAGAACGTGAACTGCGATCACGACGAAGGTTTAGACTTGAGAGAGAGAAGAAGAAAATAAGAATATTCTTCGAAGTCCAGACACCAGCTAAACAAACGACTTTCTATTAGGGTGTGTTTGGATGTGACTTTGGGAAAACGGCGTGGTAAGGAAGATCAAAATGAAATTACTCCTAATTCCATTTTGCTTTCCGATTAATTGCATGTAAAGTCCGTCAATTTCAGAAAATTATATATGTATCCATATTGAAGTTTGATATTGTTAACTAACACCTTACAATGAAATTACACTTTTACCCTTAACTAAATATTGAATAAACAATAATATCATCCCCTGGTATTAGGCTTAGTTAATTGTAACTAAAAATTGAATTCAGGCTCATTAGTATCTTTTGCACCAGAATATATTTAATAATAATACTGAAAAATTAATTTTGTTGTTTTACTAAAAATGGGAAGTACTATAGTCATGATTCTTAAGAAGAATCACAACGGCCCTACACTTCATCCAATAATCTGAAAAGGGTGTTTGGATAATTATACGTTGTATTTTAATGATTTACTAGATGAAAACCATTAAATTTAATAATAAGGTATGATTGATACTATATTAATAGCAGAAGGAGATTCCAAGTTGTAGCTGCATTCAAATTTGAGATTACCAACCAAAATAAATCCATGATTCAATATCAAGACTGGATGCTTGGCATAAAAAATTAATAAATAATAAAATAAAAAGAGTTGTTTTTATTCCACAATAATATTAACAAATTTAAAAGAGGAAATATTCAACTCTTAACTACTAGCATCTAATGTAATTTTTTCACCAAGTACATATCAAATCAATTCAATTTGGTGGAATAAGTTCTCGTTCTGGTCGTTGGGAAGCAATTTCCAGCTAAGCTGCACAACACGGCTCAATTAGTAGCTTAATTAACCTCGGTATGGTGACAATAATAATACCTGATGAATGTGACAAAAGCAATTTTCGTTTTAATTTCTGCACTTCGATTTAATCTAAGGTTTCATAATCATCTGATCCTCTTTGCACCGACAATCCAGATAATATGTTGTATTCATTTGCTGCAACATTTGTCTTTGTTGTTGTCGCAATCACTCTCTCCAAATCCAACTGTGACAATGGCCTTGCCTCCTGAATACATAAATGCACGACATTTGAATAAATATATGCATAAACACATGGGATTGAGTTTCATGTTTCCTATTTCGATACCTGAGATAGGTTTCCGGTTTTCTCATTATCCAGTAACTCCCTAATTGGGAAATAGGCTGCCTTTTTGCAGAGCTCGAGCAAATCTGAACCCGTCGAGCCATCACATAAACCAGCTATATGGTCGTAATCAATACCATCTTTAACCTTCTCGTCTTTTAGTATCACCTTCAATATAGCAGCCCTCTCTTTGCGATTGGGAAGACCGATTTCAAATGCTTGAGGAAGACGTCTCAGAATTGCTTCATCGAGTTTTGATGGACGGTTAGTAGCAGCAAGTACCATCACTCGAGCATGTTCTGCATGAACAGATTTCAGTTACGATGATCATATCATTTATCGAGTACAATAAACGAACGAATATTCTACCACAATTTCTCATCATACTAACATAGCAGAAAAGAAAGATTTTTTTTTATTAACAGCATACGTACTGTCAGTGGTGAACCCATCCCACAAAGCCATGAACTCGGTCTTCATGTTAGTCAATGCTTCGTGATCTGTAGTCTTGCGTTGGCCCAAAAAACTGTCCACTTCGTCGATGAAAATAATAGATGGCTGGAGTTTGTACGCCAAGGTGAATACAGCAGTCACTACAGAATAATTTGGAACTTTTTAAAAAATTACGTGATTTAAAGCTTATTAGAACATATCACAACCGCGAAATTCAAGTTTCTTGATCAACAAGAACAAGTTCCAGAGGCATCTTCCATATGACAATATACCTAAACCAAATGTAACCGGGAAAAGAGTTAAGAGGTAATCAAATACAATATGCAAACCTAATTTCTGAGCATCGCCGAACCATTTACTCATCAGATTGGATACTTTCACATTAATAAAAACAGCTCCCGACTCTTTTGCTATTGCTTTAGCAAGCATTGTCTTCCCAGTTCCAGGCGGTCCGTATAGCAAAACACCTTTTTGGGGACAAAGAAGCTTCCCACGAGAAAATAGCTCGGGTCTTCGCAGAGGAAGAATAACTAGTTCGTACAATGCTTGTTTAACTGCATCCAACCCTCCGATAGAATCAAACTTAACATCAATATGGTCTGGATTCACAACATCACAGGCCACAACATCCTAAAATGAATTCACACAAATAATAATAAGAACGACAAATATAATATCTAGCTGGTAAAAAATCAACGAACTAAATTCTCTTCTTCCAAACAGACAGCTAGTTAAATCGATTATGTCTAAGATTGCAACGATACTTAAACCCTTACCTCATCTACTTGATATTCAGAAGATTCGACTAATAGTAACGAGATTCGCACTCATAAGTAAAGCTGTTGCAGAGGGCGGACATTTTGATTTTGGTATCTTTTGAGATTTTGCTAAAACGTCCGTTTTCTTCGTAAATAAATTGTATTTTGTTAGCCTAAATCTGTAAATTACCAACCAAAAACCATAATTACCAAACCCCAAACAATAAATTACCCTGTCAAGTGTTAATAGCCACATAAAACTTGCCAAATAAAACCTCCGAGCAAATAATACAGAGACTTAACCAAAATCTAGCCCTAAAAGAAGAAGTTGAGCACCGAAATTTCCACAATTCAAACATTAACTCAGAATAACAGCAAAATACCAGATGCAATAGGCAAATACATCGGTAGGTACAAACTGAAGAGCTAAAATCGTAACCTCGTACGGATTGGTCTGGATAAGAGGTCGACCCAAGCGTTTAGCGATTTCCTTTTTATGCTCTAGGGCTTTCTTCGAGGAGTCGCGATTGGGGTCCAATTGCCTGAGCCCAACGAACAACACCAAGCAGCTCAGAGCTGCGCTCGCCGCGTACAGAATCAAGTCCTGCAGCCTCGTATCCGATGAACCGCCCCTCATCTTTCCCGAATAACTCTAGGGTTTAACGTTCGGAAAAATGAAAATTGTTGTATTTTGAATATCTGGATGTTGAATTTTGAAGAAAATGAAATTAGGAAAAAGTGTTGAAAGACAGGCGAAGGATGGCAAATCGACGGAGGCTGCTGACGTATTAACGGGCCGATTCCAAATGGGCTTTTCTCATGTAGGCTGATGTGTTAGTACTATTAACGGGCCGATTAACAAATGGGCTTTACTCAAGTGGGCTGATTTTACTCAACTGATTAGGTTAAATTAAATCTATTTTTCTATTTAATTAGTGAAACACATTTATATTTAAGTAATTAGGTTGATACGTTTGATGACTTGTACTGTGACAATGCGCACGTGTACAAAAATGTACCAAAATCAGTGGAGGACACTGCGTTCGAACCAGTGTGAAACGTGCGCCATCTGTGTGTTGTTCGAAAAGTGACGCACGCCTTTTGTATTTTATTCGTCAAAGGAGAAAAGGTGCTTTTTTTTTTTTTTTTTTTTTAAATGCGGTCAACCGGACGAGAAGAAAGGAAGGCGCAATTATAGCCCACCACCTGTTCGAGGAAATGACACAATGGAATTCGCTTAATCTGACGTCATTTTTCGGTACGAAAAGTTAGGAGTAAATTGTAATTATGTTGGTATATTGTACTGCAGAGTTTTTGAGTAGTACATGTCGCCATCATGTCAAGATTTTCAACGTTGGTTGCCTTTTAAGGATTCTATCTCCATTCAAATCGGAGTTTCGCGTTCATATAAATAAAAGCTCCCTTTTGGAAATTGGGGAAAACGATTGATTGTCAGCTTTTTATCTAACCAATTATATATATTTTTTTTAAATTGTGGGGGTTTTTCAGAGGTTTCATTTTCATCAGATCATCTGATTCGCGACGAGAGAACATCTTTCTGGGTAAGAAAATCTTCTGTTGTGATACAAATGAACTGTTTTTATGTGTTGTTATATTTTTTTCCGCCAGGTGTTTGATGATAAAATTGTTCGTGTGATTTTTGTTGAATCGAATAGGGGGGAGTGATCGAAAAATTGGTCGGAAATGGGGTCGAATAACAGGGCGCAAACTATGGAAATTGAAAGGGATAATTTGGATGAAATGACGGAGCAATGCGACGATTTGAAGAGGGTACCGCCGTGGAATAAGCAGATTACGGTTCGAGGGATCGTGGCGAGTTTATTCATTGGGATAATTTACAGTGTGGTTGTGATGAAGCTCAATCTTACAACAGGGCTTGTCCCAAACCTCAATGTATCAGCTGCTCTTCTTGCATTTGTGTTTGTAAGAGCGTGGACGAAGCTTCTCGAGAAGGCCAATTTCACCGCAACTCCGTTTACACGACAGGAGAATACGATTATTCAGACATGTGCAGTCTCTTGCTACAGCATTGCTCTTGGAGGTCAGCAAAACCCCCATTAAAATTATGTATTTATGCACTTTTTGTTCGTCAACTTTGATTTTCTGATGAGATCGAGTTGTTGATTTTAATTGTTGAATTGGTTTTTTTTTTCTTTTTTTTTTGATTGAATGTGGTATTAACAGGTGGATTTGGTTCATATCTGTTGGGATTGAATAAGAGGACATATGAACAAGCAGGGGTTGATACAGAAGGGAATCCACCAGGGAGTTATAAAGAACCAGTGCTCGATTGGATGATTGGATTTCTTTTCGTTGTTAGCTTTGTTGGCTTGTTGTGTTTGGTTCCTCTTAGAAAGGTATGAACTTGTTACTATTTCCCAAGCCCTTCGTTCGTTTATTATCCTACAAACTAAATCGTGGATTTTTTTCGTGAATTTGTATTTCGGTTTCTTGATTTGCATCCGAGCCCTGTTTTTTTTTTTGGGGCAGATCATGATCATAGATTACAAATTGTCTTATCCAAGTGGAACCGCAACTGCTGTTCTCATCAACGGATTCCACAGCGCTAAAGGGGACAAAATGACCAAGTACGTATTGAATCAAATCGTTTCTTGTTCAAAATGAAGGATCTGTATTGGATTTTAAAAAAAAAATCACTTAAAATTGTCAGGGAAAAGTTCTAGTAATTCGAAATTTGTTCACGGAAATTCAAGATCTAACCTTAAGTATTTAGTGGGAGGAGACTGAATAAGTTCTTTTCAAACTTCAGGAAACAGGTCCATGGATTCACAAAGTTTTTTTCACTAAGTTTCATATGGAGTTTCTTCCAATGGTTCTTTGCTGGTGGAGATCAATGTGGATTTGTCTTTTTCCCCACATTCGGATTAAAAGCTTTCAAACAATCGTATGTACACGAATCTTATTCTTTGTCTTAGATTTTTACAAAGATGTAACTAATTTGAGAGTGATGATTGAATTTTGCAGATTTTACTTCGATTTCAGTATGACTTACGTGGGAGCAGGAATGATCTGCTCCCACCTTGTGAACTTGTCTTTGCTTCTCGGAGCAGTCCTCTCTTGGGGCATAATGTGGCCATTAATAGGTAAAAAGAAGGGAGATTGGTTCCCTCAAAACATCAAAGAAACGAGCATGGAGAGTTTAAACGGTTACAGAGTATGTGTGTGCACGCAAGTTTATTACTATTCTTCATTGTTTTCTACACGAATATTAAAACCCACAAATCATTTTCCATCGACAGATTTTTATTTCAATAGCCCTTATTCTAGGCGACGGTCTCTACAATTTTTGCAAGACCCTATGGTTTACCTTCCGAAGCATGCATTCTGCATTCAAGAAGAAGAATCTCCAAACAGGTTAAATAACTCCTCAAATAATTTCATTTTGTCTTACGAAAACATTTCTAATATTCCGATAGAAATTCCCTTTCCGTTCGATTTCAGGCCATTTATTCGGCCAAATTTTTTTTTTATTTTTACAAACCTTACTAAAATAAAATTTGTTCTCTTACAAACACAGCTCCAGAAAGCAAGAACCAGACCCTAGAAGCACGAAGAAACGAAGTATTCATAAGAGACACAATCCCTTTTTGGCTAGCTCTCGTGGGCTACATTCTGTTCTCAATAATCTCGATAATCGTGATCCCAATTATGTTCCCTCCGCTAAAATGGTACTACGTCTTAGTTGCATACATCTTCGCACCCTCTTTATGCTTCTGCAACGCTTATGGAGCTGGACTAACCGACATGAACATGGCATACAACTATGGTAAAGTAGCTCTCTTTGTGCTGGCTTCAATGGTGGGCAAAGAAAACGGTGTAGTAGCTGGATTAATCGGGTGCGGTCTAATAAAATCTATGGCATCAATTTCTTCCGATTTGATGCACGATTTCAAAACCGGCCACCTAACCCTAACCTCACCACGGTCAATGCTGGTCAGCCAGGTCATCGGAACTGCCATTGGCTGTGTTGTGGCTCCTCTAACCTTCTTCCTCTTCTACAAAACCTTCGATGTGGGAAACCCTAATGGAGAGTACAAAGCACCTTACGCGCTCATATACAGAAACATGGCAATTCTTGGAGTGGAAGGTTTTTCAGCTCTTCCTCATCACTGCTTGCATTTGTGTTACGGGTTTTTCGGGTTTGCTGTGCTGGCGAATTTGCTGAGGGATGTGGGGCCAGGGAAGTCGGGGAAGTGGGTCCCGTTGCCTATGGCTATGGCGGTGCCTTTCTTAGTGGGGGCTTATTTTGCTATAGATATGTGTGTGGGGAGTTTGGTTGTGTATGTGTGGCACAGGATTGATAAGGTGAGAGCTCCTATGATGGTTCCGGCGGTTGCTTCGGGTTTGATTTGTGGTGATGGGCTTTGGATTTTGCCTTCTTGCATTCTTGCGTTGTTCAAGATCAGCCCTCCGATCTGCATGAACTTCTTGCCTTCGAAAAGTAGCTGAGGATTAGAACAAAAACTTGTTTGTAGTTGCAAGATGACAGTATCTGACATTTTATTAGATGTTAGAGTAGAACATGGTTGACTTGTGTAACAATAAGAATGCAGTTTTAGTGTAATAATGTGCCAAACATAGTGCAAGTTTTGACTTGTAGAACAGAAAGAAAAGAAAAAAAAAATACTTACAATGATTGTCTTTTTCAGCATGAACAAATTGTGAAAGCTAAACTCTGCACAAACACTCAGAGAAATCTGAATAGAAAACAACAACAAAACGAGATCTACCGCCCGAAATTGGAATGTATATTCCCTTTCGTCATATTCCAATTAAAAAAAATCTCGGTATTAACAAGGCCACATGGGAGAAAAACGTTCGCAATCTTTGTACACACATCATGTTTTTGAATTATGTCTTTATTCATCAACATCCGTCGATTAAAAAAAGATTTGATTTTTTTTTAAATCGACATCAATTCGAAGGTATTTCATGTTAACCAGCAACCAGGATTTGTTCATCGTAAATTGTCGGAAAACTACATACAGTGACAAAAGTGGTTCAGGACTAACTATAATCTAATCTCAATAATGAAAAATCGTAACATACATAAGATTTAGGGACAAAAAAGAAAGGTATCAGAATTAAACAAAAGTGAAGAATAAAAGCTTCTTGTCTGAACAGTTAATATCAACTCAACGTGTTGAAACAGAGAAGACCACTCTTGGTGCCACTTCTTTTTAAAGCACTAGTGCCAACTTTAGAGTTAAAAGATTCAAACATATCACATGATTGTCTTTTTCACCACAAAGTTCTTTCTTCTACAAGAATAAAATCCCATCACAGATTTATACCTTCCAACCTCAATCTACCACTAGAACTGAAAATTAAACTAAACTTACTCGATCGATCGTTAAAAATTCAAACATTCTCAAAAGTAAATGATTGAGATCAGAATAAATACACCATAATGCACATTTGATCTTCCGTCGATTAATGAACGGTTACAAGAAATAGTGAAGTCGAAGTAAAACAGTAACTTGTTATGAAAAGATTGCCTCTAACAATCTAACATCTTATTCAACCCATAAGTGTCAGATAACAATCGAAAGACTTAAAAAACTCTCGATCCAACAAATTTAACGAGCATGATTTCTCGTATTTTACAACAGCATGAAAAGGACAACCACAATAGGGTTATAATGAAGGGTGAGAATTAAACAAACGGTAACAGAAGAGATAGTTGTTTCCATAGTCACAAATTGACTCGTAATTTTCTTCCAAAACCCTTATAATAAGCAGAAAAAAACATGCGTAGGTAAACCGATGTCAAGATAACTCAACAGATTAAACCCATTAATTTAATTGTTCACCCATACTTTTGCAGAACACTGCAATTTGCAACAACCTCATAATTTAACTACAAGACTTTTTTTTTATCAAAGACTGGTTCATAATTAGAGCGCAAATTGTCTCATTCAACATTTAATCAAAGGTTATATTCTTCGTTTAACTCGTCTTTGTTAATCAGCTTCCATAAACGTGTTGATCTTCTTACCGACGACGGTCAAAATTACTTGAAATTACCAAAGTTCTCTATACTAATAAAACATTTCGCTGACCAAAACTTTCAATCTCATCAGTTGAATGAATCAGAATTTACCAGATAACAAATTTTAAAACAAAAAACCGAGTTTTCAACACAATGGATAATCGATAATCGTACGGTACAACCTGGTATTTACCAAACAAGGCACAGCTTATTTGACTCAAAACAATGAAACATACAAATTCATAAAGAAAAAGAAAAAAAAAAAAAAAAAAAAAAAGACAGAGAAACATTTTGATAACAGAGAATAAAAAGCTTCAAAATTTGTGGTTATGTTCCATCCAATTTTGTTTGGGGATCAATCAATGAAACCTGTTTTCTGGAAAACGGCATTGCGGAGGCTGCGGAGATCCCGTCCTTTCAGCGTTCTCCCCGCGCCTTCGAACACCGAGTGTGTCACGTGCGACCTGGCAACGATCACGTGAGGCGGCACCATCTCCTCTTCCCCTGCCACCTCATCGTCGTCCTCCACCGCATCAAACCAATTCTCCTTTTCAGATTTGCCACGGAATTCCCTCGGCCATAACGGTACGTTCACCGGAGCGGACTGGCGGAACTTTGCCGGAATGTGAGCATCCTCCTTCCGCATCGCTGGGTGAATTTTCTTAGGGTTGGCGGTGGATTTGCGGCGGATGAGGTTGTGGTGTTCATCGGAGAGGGCGGCGGAGAGGCCGGATTTCACCGGATTGAATCGGTGGAGATGGTGGTGCGACGGCGGAGAAGGGGAGGTGGAATTGGAGTACGAGTAGGAGTCGGAGGAGACGGCAAATGACCAGACGACGTCGCTTTCGTTAAGCTCGAGCGGGTCATCGTCCCGGGTCGGGTCAAACGGTACGGATTCGGGTTGTTTAATGGGTCCAAGGAAGCGGAGAGCCGAGGAAGAAGGGGGGTTGCTGATGGTCATTGGGGTTGACTCAGCATCATCTGGCAACAACTCCTCCTCCTCCATGCGCATTATATATATATATATATATATTTATTTTTTTTTTTTTTTATTCTCTCCTATTATAATTTATCATTCTGAAATTAAGAATTAACTATTAGTTAATTCTTTGTTTAAAAAAAGAAAAAAAGAATATTCATTCTAATTTTGTCTTCATTATATATTTTTATTTATAAGAATTTAAAATTGCATTTTATTTTTAATGTTTTAAGATGTGTGTATGAGTGGGAACATGAGTGGAGACTAAGGACTAGGGAGCTACGTCGATTGACTGATTGAGGGGCTATTATTATTTTAGTTAGGGGGTTGGTAAATATTCTCAATCTTCAGGTGGGGTTTTTGCCACCTATTTTTTTTTTTTTTGTTTTTTTTTGCCACCTATTACTCCTTCCAATGGACAATTTTTAATATAATATTGACAATATATTTCATAATTAAAAAATATATAGTAACATTAAATGTAAAATACATCTCACAATATATTCGAGTCGACGTCGCACATAGTTAATTTAGTGTGTATAATTTACACCTCCCACACAGTTCGAGAGCTATTTCACGAGGGTATAAATGAATCTTCGAAAAAAAATAATAATGAAATTAAGTAAGAGAAAAATGGTGAAGAACATAAGATAAAAGCCTAAAATCATCCATTAACTTGATAATTTCTTCAAAATTGCAGAAGGTAGCCCGAGTCATAATAGTTTTACTTTAATTGCTAAGATGGGCCCAATCTTTACAAACCTTGGCAGATATAGCCCAACTCAATAAAAGAAGCATAAATAAAAAAGGAAATCCAACAAGGTAAAATCGTCGAAGCCCAAAGCCCACAAGGGGAAGCCTCATCCGCATTTAGCGCGCGTGGTTTACACCTCACTGAAATTTATTTATTTTATTTATCAAAGTTCAAAAAATATAAAGAAAAGAGGCTCTTAATGTGCCATTTCTTGTTTAAATTTAATCAATAATTTGTTTGGTGAGAGCTTCATCCCATGCTTCTCATAATTATATAAACATTTCTACATATTTTCCTTTTTTAAAGCCAACAAAAAATTACGATATTAAATATTCATAATAAAACAATTAATTCCGAACATTCCAGAAAATATGAAAAATACCACAATTACAATCCTAGGGGTGCGGGGGTGGGACCAGGGACCTAAACTATCCACATAGTCAAATTCGAGGACCAAATTGTCAAATTTGCACACGTCTATAAAATGACTCGATGATTTCGATTATGTTCACTCTCTCTCTCTCTCTCTCTCTTGCTGTAAAAGTCAATTGCCGAGGGAGAGTTCTTTTCCAGATTTCTCTCTACTCTCTCTCTCTCTGTTGTAAACTCTTTATCACTGAATTCTTAACGGTTATTATAATTTTTTTTTTTGTTTTTGCATAATTGGTTTGAATCTATTTGCTCTGATCTTCTGTTTTGTGTCAATTGCTGATAATTTGTTGTGATTGGTGAGGTTTTATCAGCAGCGGTGAGGTAATAATGACGTCAGATTCGAAGGTTCATCTGTTTGAGGAGGTTTCGAAGCATAACAAGACGAAGGATTGCTGGCTAATTATCGACGGAAAGGTCCGATCCTTTTTACTATTTTCGTTTTTCCCCCTTTTTTTTTACTGGAAACTAAATAGGATTAGTGTTTGCTTAATTTTTTTCCAGCTCTTTGGCCTTGTTTTTTTTGGTGTGTGTTGATTCGTTAACCTTTTTGATTCTGATCCATTTATGTTAAACACGCGATTAGTATGACTAAGATGATATATCAAGCTTAATTACGTTTAGTTTATTGCCTTATTAAACCAATGAAGATCATTAGCCTCATGATGTAACTCGTTGTATGTTAATCGGTTGTTATGGTGAATTCTTCTTCTTTGGGGGAGGAGAGAAATTGACGGTTGTTATGGTGAATTCTTCTTCTTTGGGGGAGGAGAGAAATTGAGGTCATGCGAAAGATATAGATGCTCGGTACCGTTGAATAAGTTGGAATTTAAGTGATATTTCTATTTAGTTTAAAGATTTGATTCTGTGCGTCTGTCAACGAGGGGGAGCTTGAAACTTGAAAGGAATGCGTATTACATAGACAAGGAATGCGTATTCACTCAAGACATCTTGAAACTTGAAAGGAATGCGTATTACATAGACAAGGAATGCGTATTCACTCAAGACATCGCTTAATTGCTTTGGCAGGAGTGGTTTGTCGAAAAAGCCGATCTCTCTGTTTACAAATATTCAGAAATTACATTGATTCTTTTTTTTAGCCGTTGGGATTTATTATATACTTTTCATCTTTTCGTTTATTTGGAACTAATTAGGATTTGGAGATGGAACCTTTTCAGTCTGGACTCATGAGGCATATCTTTGTAGCTCTTGGATATTGCTTTGTTCTTCGAGTTTTCTTGTTATATCCTCTTCTTCTTTTCTTGAAAAAATATGCAGTTGGTAAAAATGTTTAAGATTGAATAATAAATTTTCAGGTTTATGATGTAACCCCATTCATGGATGATCATCCTGGAGGTGATGAAGTTTTGCTATCAGCCACAGGTAATGTCGTAATAAATCCTGTCCAGTCACATTCATCAAAGATAATGGTTCTGCTCAAGTGAAGGCTAAGAATAGCTATTGACGACTGGATTCTTTTTGTAATTTGGCAGGGAAAGACGCAACCAATGACTTTGAAGATGTTGGACATAGTGATTCCGCTAGAGAAATGATGGACAAATACTACATTGGAGAGATAGATAAGGCAACGGTTCCCCTGAAACGCACTTACGTAGCACCACAACAACCAGCGTACAATCCCGACAAGACTCCCGAGTTTGTCATTAAGATTCTGCAGTTCCTTGTGCCTCTCTTGATCTTAGGCTTGGCCCTTGCTGTGCGTCACTACACCAAAGAGAAATGATTTAAGTCAAACTCCTCATTATTTTCGTTTGTTCTTTGAATTTCTTCAGCTGCGGTGTGGAATGAACTATCTTATGTCACCCTCTTTTTCAGCCAAAATAACTCCCGGTAGTCGGCTGAAATAATTTAGATGTGTTTTATGGGGGTAGTTTTTTTTTCTGTATTTTCAGAGACTTCTTTATTCAGTGTTTCAGAGTCTTGTCTAGGTACCCTTTATGGGGTTTGTATGTTTTACATGTGTAGTTCATTCTGTTTCAGAAAAGTGAACTCATAGCCCTTATACTGCTGCACATCCTCAGTCGATTTCAATCAATGATATGAAATTCACCACACGCGTGAATTCATTAACTCGAGCAACTTATTGAACTAAATAATGCAAAGTTCCACCTATCGCAAAGCCGATATAACCTTGAAATGCGGGTAGAGTCACACACAGTCCAGATTTTTCTCAGCACACAATTGTACAGATACTCAAGTTATAGAAGTCTTTCTAAGAAATATAAAAGCATTCACAGCAGCACGTTGCATTTAGCTTTGCTGCCACGACAAAGTACCGTCACAAGTTTGTTTACTAAAAAAAGTACCACGTAGAGAAACTTTTCAGTAATAAGCTGCAATAATAATATTGAGAATGATAAATAAGCTGGCTGAACCTTTTTTCACCATAGCATATCACTCTATTTTGTCATGAACGGTAACCACCAAGTCATGTGCATCGTCCAGAAGCTTCCACACATCAAGATGACCAGCCATAGCGTTACACTCCCTTAAAATCTCGTCCATGCTACTATACCTCTCTATAATCTGTTTCCTCCTCTGCAGTACGGAAGCTGCAATCGCGTACAGTAGCAAATCATCCGTCGGTGGGGCCCGCTGCCTAATCCTGCTCCAAGCAGATTTCCCAATCCCAGCCCTGATCGCAGCCTGATCAGCCCACATGACCTCCCAGAGGCACAGAGTCTGCTCGAACGAAAGCTCCCTTCGGAAAAGCACCACCACCATTCTATACACGAAGAAGCAATCCTCCGCCTGGAGGTTCACCAAATGCCTGTAGAGATGCGAGTCCTTGTACTTAATAATTTTCGAAACCGTGTTCAACTGTCTTCTTATTCCCACTTCATCCAGCCTGAAGTTGTGGCGAGCCTTCTTCATGAAACCGACGAAGCACCAGAAAGCTTCGTGGTCCTCTGTCATTACAGATATTATTGGAGAAAGCAAATCACTCATTCCCTGGCAATAGCCGATTTCAGGGTCGTAAAGTGCGTAGGCTTCTAAAATGGCCACTAAACGTGAAGCGTGGAAGATTCTAGCAGGTTCTAGATGATGGTAGTCTTTCAATCCAACAACCTCCGCAATACGATGTGCTTTGGACTCAGATACTGCAGCTTGTACGGGCGAGTATTGTATCCACTCCTCGTTTGCTCGAATGGCGTCCAGGCGAATGATCCGCTGCCAGGTGGTGAAATCTTCTCGGCTGCGGGATTCGGACTGGACTTCCATATCCTCCTTTGAGGATTGATTGTGATCAAAATCCTCTGTGGTTTCTGTGAAGGTGAAAGTTTGGCTTGCTTCAGGGTCGTCTGAGGAGTCTGAGTCTGACGAGTCCGAGTCGGGGGCAACATTTGGGCCTGTAATACGCTTCAAATCGGAATATTCCTCCATCGCTGAGGTGGCAGGCTGGTATTCGTCCTCGTTGTTAGGGATGGCTTCCTCGCTAGAAAGGGATTCTCTAGCGCTCACAACATCTTCAGAGGCGGGAGAATCCATGCCTTCAGTGAGACATCCACCACCACCTCCACTGCTTGTTTCACCACTGCCGTATGGCTTACAAAGTTCGCTATTGTGTTTAAGAAGTTTGCGACACCGCCTTCGCAATTTCTCGTATTCCTCTCTGCACACACCATAAAAATAAATTAAAAAAGAAAGTAAACATTAGTACAAGAGGAGGGGATGGTTATGATTAGGAAGCTTAAGCAATAATAGTTGAAGTTGTGCCTGCACCTATTCTTAGTTTTGGTGACATCTCTTTCCTTTGCAGAACTTGTCAGGTCATAGCTGCAACAAGAAATAGAAGTTAACTTTAGAATCATTGAAAGAAGCTAATGACATCTGGAATTTCTTCAACTATAGGTTATGATTAAAATTGAAAGATGCAAGGTTCAGTAAATTAAAAGATGTGAGTTGCCGATTACAGAGAAACGCAACGGCCTTGGCCTGAACCATATGTTTCCCTCATCTAGCCACAATATAAGCACTTTTTGAGAAGTTGTATCAGATATTAAAGACATTTAACAATTGATGTGAGTTGTAAAAATAAATTCAGTTTATATTTTAAGACAAGGGTATATTCATTCAGTTTACTCAAAGCATTAACTTGGTGAATCAACTTACACTCCGAGAAGAAAAGGCCAAACCTCTGCCCGAATACTAGGATCAACACCCTACATAAAAAAATTGAAACAAATCAAATTCGATACTTCATATTCATACAGACTAGTAGAGAAATGTGGCTGCAATCCAGTAAAGATGAAAAACAATGAAGCTATATGAAAGCACAACTCACTCCGCTGCGAACTTTCTTCAGAAATTTAACTCCATTGTCGCGGAGTTTTCCATCTGGAGTGAACAAATTTCTCCACTGCTGAGGTGAGAGTATGTGTTTTCTTTTTCTACGCGACCATGGAGATTTGAGACGGCCCCTGAAAATGGAGAACAGCACCACTAATTATTCACTTGATAAATGATAAGACAGTGTAAACAAAATAACGTGAGTTTCAGTCATCAGAAGAAGAGGTTTCATGTCACAACTGATGTATTGCTAAAATTACACGACACGAATGACCGAACATGAGCTTAAGGTAAGTGTTAAAAAAGTTTTCAAAGAACAAAAGTAATGATCAGAACAAACTTCATTATCAAGTTCCATCACAACTAGCTGATATATGAACACAAACTAGCTGGTCCGAATGACCAGAAGATAAGCTCATCCAACTTCCTCAGAAACGGGAAGCCAAAGTAGTTTTCCATACAAACTTCTGACACTCAATAAGTTTGTGATAAAGCTAAAGAAAGAGTAATTAGTCCTACAAAAAATATCTATTGCTTTTAAAAATGGTATAATATCAACATGAACTATGAGTCCAAAATATCTGCTCGTGTGGCGACCTTTATTTGACAAGTAACTCCTAAAATCTGAAAGAAGTCTGAAATTCTAAACCTATAGCACGATAATTCCTTGATTGGACACTTAACTCTTAGTAGGGAAGACATGCAATAAGGAAGACAGTCTCTGTGGCTGTAATGCGGACATTTCAACCATCACAATGCAATATGAAGCAAGGCACTGTAATTGAAGTATTAAGGGCCGGAAAAAAAAATTGCTTTTGGACAGAATACTCGAACGAAAACCTTTTTCGCTTTTCTTTCATTTTTCCTTGATGGACTAAACTGCAAACAGTAAGCATCCTAAATTCAGAACTCACACTCAGAAGTTCTCAACTAGTTTGAAACTCAACGTCTATGAAATACATAGAACTTAATTTCCGAAAATCCAAAGCAAGAACAAGAACAATAAATTTAGGTGTTCTCATTCACCAAACACTACTAAGGTATTTCAGCAAATGAATCCTTCAACGCTGTAGCCCAACTTTGACCAACAATATAAAAATCAGATTACCAAGTCAAACTAACATTAGCTTTTCCTCATCCACTACCAAATCAACTAATCTAAGTGAAACTTACTTAACACCTAAAATCACCGCCAGGAAACAAATGGCTGCGTGCTGAGCTGCAAAGAAATATTGGATTGAGCAGAAGAGTTGAGGAAAATAAGGTATAACATCAAGATCTGAACTTAAATCCCCCAAACTATATAGCACTGAGATAGAATTTAGAAAAGATATAAAAAAAGGAAGTGATTTCAATGAAGATCAATTTAAAGAGAGGAAGAAGAGACTCACCGATCAGAAGAAGAAGAAGAACAAGAAGCCGGTGAGGAGTTGGAGGAAGCTACTATGAACAGAACCGATCTCAAATGAATCCACGACGAAGATGGTGGTGATGACGACGTATTTGAGGATGATGACGCTGGCGAAGATTTTGACGATGACGAAGTCTGACTTCGTCTTAGAGCTTTCATCTATGGAATTTTTTATTTTCCTTTTTTTTCCCTTTATTTTATTGTCCTAATTTCCTTCTTCTTAACTAAATAAATTACTCGCCCTAGGGCTAAAAACAACTGATTCAGAAATTTTCCGGCGATAACTTCGCCGGTTACTTTTTACCTAGTAGTGTAGAACACGACGGTGGCTAATGCGAAGCCAGCAAAGGCCGTGAAGACGAGGGTTACGCCGCCAATCGCCGCCGCATCCTTCCAGATTCGTCCTTCCCCACCACCACCAGCGATGAACACCGCTCTGCTTAGCTGAAAAATGCCGTCGGCGATGGCTTGGACCGCAGAGGCGGCGCCGGCAGGCATGGGATGGATGTCCGAATTGACGAATTTGCCCCTGGGAAGCCTCAACACGCCTAGTGGATTTTCCACCATCAACCAAACTGATAACACCGCCTGCTTTAAATGTCCTTCTTTGTTCCTTTTTCCTTCAATTTGATTTTCCTTTTTATCACTTTTGTGCTGCGCTATTTATTGGTATTTTCCTTTGTCTTTTTCTCTCGGTCAGTGATCTATCGAAAGATTTTCTCTCTCTAGAGTTCAGAGAGAGAGAGAGAGAGAGTAAAGTAAACCGGATGAAGACTCCTAATAAAAAAATAAAAATATAAAAGAAAAACCTCTCTGCGTTGATATTTATATCGTAATTTATGGGGAAATACACTTTTGCCCTTTTCAGTTGCTCCGAAATTTACAAGGGTTAGGATATTAAGGGTAAATTACAAACACCCCCCTGAGGTATGGTCAAATTACAAAAACACCCCTCTTGTTTGGATAATTACAACCACCCCCTCAACTCATCAAATTTAGTGGAATCTTCGAGATTATATGGAATATTATCACTTTTGTACCCGTTTTATCCCATTCAAACTCTACATTATGAAGCAAGATGATCATAATATGTGATTTTTAGCTTGTATATATCAGTTTGTGGTGCATCAGAAACTGTATTTTTTACACAAAAAGAGTACAAACTAGAGTACATTTCACGAAATCTAGATGACTATGTTGAATTTGGCACCATAAAGGTGGAGGTCTAAGAAAAAATCATAGTTGAGGGGGGTAGATGTAATTATCCAAACAAGAGGGGGGTTTTTATAATTTGACCATACATCAGGGGGTGTTTGTAATTTACCCGGATATTAATAATAAGATCAGGTCCCGAGGCAAAACGACGTCGTGGGAGTGCGCGTTTTGTCAACTTGATGCTAGTTCAAATTTAAAGGTGATGTTTGTTAAACTTCCCAAGTAAATTTCCTTTTTCTTTTTAAAATATGTGTTTAATATTATTCAACTTATTTTTAAAATTAAATCTGAATATTCGTATATAATTTATTTAACAGATTTATCTTTCAAAACACGATTTGATTAATGAGTACTCTAATGAAATTTATCTCAATCAATTTATAACTCAAAATAAAAGTACACATTATTTGCATTCATTTGCTTCAATAATTTGATGTTTGGCATGCTTAGCAAGTTATTCCATGATTCCAACTCCAAATAACAAGTTAGAAGAACCAATTTGCCATAGTTTATTTTTATTTATTTATTTTATTGTATTTTTAATACTTTTTTTAACCATTATAACGGGGTTGTCTAAAAAGGCTACACAAATTAAGAATAGTAATACATAACATTCACTTCAATGTAAAAGACCAAATTTTCTATTTACTATGTAATACACAATTTTGAATTCACTCGATATTTTAAAGGACAATATAATATTTATTACAATGTACTCTTTTGAATTTGAAACAAATACATGTATAAATGCATAAGAATTTATATGAGGACTTTGACCACATCTCGATGTACAATAAATGACTAGCTAGAAGAAAAAACATATTGTTCATCTCAAAATTTAGTCAAACGAAATTCGAATACTTATTACTTATTTGTACGTGAGAACGAGGTGCTATAAGTTACTGAGATTGTAAATTTGTTTCAAAAAACAATAATTAGATAGCTTTTGCAAAAAAAAATCAAAAACAGAAGTTAGTGACAGTAAATTTAATCCGTTGTCGGACAAAATCAGTTGGAATAATCCCGATTATTCCAACAACTTCGATTACTTAAAATTGACGCAAGTCATGAATAATTATTAATTAGGATACGCATTCATGATTTTCATCAACACTCCTTAATCCTCATTATAAAACCTTTATTTTGTAAATATTAATAACATATAATTAAAGTATGGGGAGGATAAAGTATTGATAAGGATGAGTATTTTACTTTTGTTTGAGAAAGAGACGTTAGCCTTATTTTATTCACTTTATTCGTATTGCTGTTTCTTATATTATTTGCCTTTCACATTTTTTTAGTGGGCAAAAAACGGAGGCCTGATTTAGTTGACCACTATTCATCACATTGGATGAAATCTTATTGGCTTTATTTCCACTACAGATCTCTCAACTTTTTATTTTGTTGGGGGGTCCTTCAAATATGGAGAAACTGAAATTTCAGCGAAAATAATTTATTTTATCACAAATGAGGACAATTATAAAGCCATGTACTTGTAAGAAGATCAAAAATAAAAAAAGAAATCAGTCCACAAAAATCGGAAATTCTCGAGTATAGATTATTATTGAAATAGAAAAGTATAGATAGAAACTAACACACCACATACAACATCAATCATACGCGTATATATGTAACGCTTATTCATCGGAGAGCTCAATTACACTTACAGTTTAGAAGCAGCATCTTTGTCCAAGAACCAAGTGAGCTCTCTCTCAGCCGAATTTCATAGAGTATAGATTATTATTGAAATAGAAAAGTATAGACAGACACTAACACACCACATACAACATCAATCATACGCGTATATATGTAACGCTTATTCATCGGAGAGCTCAATTACACTTACAGTTTAGAAGCAGCATCTTTGTCCAAGAACCAAGTGAGCTCTCTCTCAGCCGAAACTTCAGTACAAGGAAGAGGAGGAAGAGTATGCTTCTCGTTTCCCAATGCTTTCTTCGTAGTATCCGCCAGCTCAGCACCAGTGACCACCATTGCAATGTCCGAAGCAGAGTTGATGACTGGGAATGTGAAAGTGATCCTAGGTGGCGGCGGTTTGGGAGAGTCAGTTATGAATGTCACCCACCGTTTCTTTTCGTACCGTTGATTGTGAGAGGGGAAAAGAGACGCCACGTGGCCATCGGGCCCCATTCCGAGAAGCATAAGGTCGAATTTAGGGAAGCCACTGTCTGAAATAGGTAGGGTTTTTTCCTCGACCAGATTCTTGATACGCTCCTCGTAATCATCGGCTGCACCTTCCGGAGACTTCTTGTCGTTGATTGCGTAAATGTTGCTTGGAGGAATAGGTACCTGAGAAAAAAAGATGATGAATCAACATATGCATAAACCCAGATTGATTGATTTTTGACTATGCATTAGTATTATGCTGTAGTCAATTAAGAATCACTTCATCTCTCGAGGAAACCGACGTGGCAACGAAGATTAAGGTCGGAAATTTTCGATTTACCAAAGCAATGCATTTTCGTGATTGATTTTAATCTAATTGGCCTGGCTCTTTCGTAACATGTATGTTCCATATACTTGTAAAAAGAAATGTAAAATTCTCTTTCTCTATTGCAGGAGACCATTTTTTACAGCAGATACTAAGCACTCGTTTGGTTCCTAAGATAAGATTAACCACGATAAGATTTATGAAAACCCTATAATATATGTTGTTGGACCACGGGATGTTCAATAAGTAGTCTCCTAATTAGCCATGATTGGAGCCATTTTTTCCACAATTGCGGGTCGGTCCGAAAAATTATTGGACTAAGCAAACATCGAGTAAGGTCCATATTTAATTAATCATGGCTAATCTTACCAACCAAACGAGTATTGGAAGCGATAATCATAAAACCTAGGAATTTCTTCATGAGAAGTGATCTTGAATTTTGATCATACCTTTGAAAGAAAACCACGGTATGCAAGTAAGTAGTTGCTGTCTTCATGATCAAGAGGAACCACTCTCTCGTCAACCCAAAATATCAGCCATTTCGACCAATCCACAGAATCCTTGTATGGAAACTCTACTAGTTTCCTACATCATTGTAAAAGTCACAATTACAGCACAAAAAAATTAAGGATATTAAATCAAAGCACAAGGAAGTTTCGCTATCAAACAGTTGTTAATGCATATGTATAGAGTGTACGATCGGTCGCCTTTTGTCGTGATTAAATTCACATCCTACATAACTCAGCAAAATTAATTTTCATTTCTGGTAAAGCATGGGAAATGCTTGAAATTCAGAACACAACAAAGGGCAAATTAAACGACAACACGAAGAAAATCCGCCTGTATGTATATATAAACAATCGGCCCATGTGCTAATCTGCAGATTTTGATAATCAATAGTTATTTTGTATGTGAAGGAAATGCAGTGATTAAGCTCTCGCTCACTTCAACTTAAACGATTCATTTTTTTCTCTTCCAAATACTGAATTCAAACGCTAAAATAATCGAAACTCATTCAATAAAACAACTTCAAAAAAAATCCCCAAAATAACTTTAAAAAAAGGAGAGAGAGAGAGAGAAACAGTAAACGACTGTAGATATATATACCTGAGTGTATCTATTAGGGTGCCGCCGGAGAGAACCACCGAGAAAGAATTCTTTTCCTTGATGTACTTTTCGGAGAGATAGGCGGTGTACTTTGCTAGAGCGACGGCCACATCTTCCTCCGCGTCGAATTTCAGTACTTTTGTTTTGGTTTCGGCCATTGTTGCAGTTTGAGTTGTGAGTTGTCAGCCAGCCAAAATGGATGAATTACAGATTTAGAATACACATTCTGTACTCTTTTGGAATTCTTCGGCCCATTTTTTACAGGCCCATTTGAGTTTCCTAAATTTATTATTATTATTAATTATTTTTTTTTAGAAAGTAGCGGAACGACGTCGTAGGGGCTGCTAACAAGCCCCAAACCCTAGAACACGCTTGGTATATAAAGACAGCCGTCCCCTTAAAACTGAGTTTTGCAAGTGGAAGAATTGTAGCTTAAGTTGGCGGAGTTCCGACGGGGAAAGATGCAGATCTTCGTGAAAACCCTCACCGGAAAAACCATCACGCTCGAGGTCGAATCGAGCGACACCATTGACAATGTCAAAGCTAAGATTCAGGATAAGGAAGGTAATTTATTCGTTTTAAACTGATCGGATCTTTTCGTTTTTGCCATTTTCGTGGAATAAAAAATGTTTTAATTTCGATAATTTGTATATGTTAATTGTCCAGGAATCCCACCGGATCAGCAGCGTTTGATTTTCGCCGGAAAGCAGCTTGAAGATGGCCGAACCCTTGCTGATTACAACATCCAGAAAGGTTTTTTTTTTTTCTTAAGTAATTGTAGTTAAGGTTGTTTCGATTTTCAATTCTCACTCTTTTATCTCATATCTTATGCATCATATATCTTATGCATCATGTTGCAGGAGTCGACTTTGCATTTGGTTTTTGAGGCTTAGGGGTGGAATCATCGAGCCTTCGCTAATGGCTTTGGCTAGGAAATACAACCAAGATAAGACCATTTGCCGAAAGTATGTTTATTCGCTGAGTTTCCGGTTTATTGATTTCGTTGTTTGCCTTTGCATTTTTCCCTTAACATTTATGTTTGCTGCATTCATTTCTTTTGAAATTGTTGTCCAATGATTATGTCATATCCATTAACTGTTTTTATTTCTTTAGCAATTGGAAATTTGTGAAAAATAATGGAAAATTCAGTTAGTTGGAACATAGGCATTCCCTATTACAAGAAACCTTCCTCTTTTTTTCGATGCCTTAGTCAATTTAGTATAGATTGAACCCTTCCCGTTTTTTCAGTACTGACCAAATCCGGTTTAGATGTTACTGAACAGACGAAATGTTCAATTGAAGACCTTACTGAACAAATGAAATGTTCAATTGAATTACTGTACGGATTGTTCTGTTTTCCAATTACGTAAATGCATACGATTTTGGAAATTTGCTACGACCATCTAATATGAATTACATATATTTTTGAAGGGTTTATAATTTATACTTGTTGGTTTTCAGATGTTATGCTCGTCTGCATCCTCGTGCCGTTAACTGCAGGAAGAAGAAGTGTGGACACAGCAATCAGGTTATTATTTATGATGCATTATTTTCTAGATGTTTTCTTAGTAATTGTTCGAATTGATATTTAATATTAACTTTTATAATTTCTATGTTTTGCAGTTGAGGCCAAAGAAGAAGATCAAGTAGACTTGCTGGCTGTACTATTTATCTTTATTTTTCTATTTCAGTTGTTGACAACTAAACACACATAGTTTGGCTTTTCTTATGATAGACATTATTACCTCCTTATAATTGATGTAACGAAAATGGTTTTGTTTTATTCTCGACTTTTTGAATTGTGATTCAGTTTTGTCCATCGGTTTCTTCATTTATCGAGTTTTGATGATAAACTTAGTTTAGGCGCACCCATACAACCATTGCAACACGTTCGATATTGCATTCAAAATGAACCACTCTTTTTCGATAAACATTTAAAGCTCGGGCAAATATAATTTTGTTCGACATGAATCATGTGGGCATATAAGCCGCCAGAGTAAGAGCTTCTCTTCTCTGTTTATCTGTTGTAACACGAAACAAAATTGTTGTCAATTTCCAATGAATAATTATATAAGTACAGTGGAACGCGAGGGCAAATCATATTACAATTACCTTGTCTGAAATATGTTTTGAACCATCTTACGTGGAGATTCAGCAGCCGCATATTCCAACTGCAGCAACTCATCTGAACTGAGTTGCCAGCCAAGGGCACCTAAGTTTTCCTCAGCTTGTTTCATTGACTTCACTCCTGGAATTGGAATCGTACCTTTGCTAATGCACCAGTTTATAGCAACCTGTGTACAAGTTTGGATTCATCTCATCCGTTTATTTTCCACATAGCTTGTCACAAAAGGAGAAAACCGAAGTACCTGAGATACGGTTTTTCGCCTTCTTTGCGCAGTTTCTTTGAGAGAATTGAGCAGTGGCTCAAGTCCTGGTAAAATTTGTCGAAATAGAAGACCCCTATAAAAATTACAGAACCATATCCACTGAGATTGTATTTAAAAGAAAAATGATCCGATAATTTCTGGAAAATAGATGAAAAATAAGTCGAGATGATTATTACCGTGGTCCGTTTGGAAGATTGTTAGCACTATATTTTCCAGTAAGCATGCCGAGTCCCAACGGACTGTAAGCAATGACACGAATACCCAAAGAGTCGCATATATTCTTTATCTCTATCTGATCTTTTCCTATGCTCAGCAGTGAAAATTGCACCTAATCGATAATTCTCAACACGATGAGGTTCGCTTCTCAAATACATATACAAAATCTTTTCACTTGTTTTCGAGTTTTTAGCAACAAGCATAACCACTTTTATAAGCACACCAGCATATCGTTTTATCAAAACAAGAAAAAGTGTATTTAAAAATTCGTAATAAACTGAAACATAAATAGCACCTGAGCTGAGCAGAGGGGCACCCCTCGGGCCTTGAGATACTCGTGTACTTTTAGTAGCTGCTTGGGTCCATAATTACTCACTCCAACTGCTTTTACCAATCCCTGTATCACAGCATTTTCTAGGGTAAAAAAAGATGTCAAATAAGTTTGTGAGTGTAATAATTTTGAAACGGAAGAATTATATGACAAGAGATAAAATGATTTTCATTCATGGTAAACCTTGTCATACATTGCCACTAAACCATCCCAAAGAGCTCGTTCCTGCAGAGGAGCGTAATTTGCTGTTGACCAGTGCAGTTGTCCTATTCCGATTTGCTCGATTTGAATCCTATCTAACGATGACCTGAAAGCATTTATTCAATCAAGAAACGAAGACTACATTCACCGATGAAAATATGATCGAGAAAAAAGCATACTCGCAAGCAGCCACAAATTGATTTGGTGTTAATCGCCATGGATATGCAGCAAACTTTGTCGCAATCACAATGTTATCTCGAGCCTGCTTATTTCCTTGGCGTATGGGCAAAATACAATACTCAATCAGCATAACAAATTAAAACAAATTTGTCTGAGCACAGATTATTCCGTGACATAATTTTCCTGCAATAAGTTAACCCTAGATAATGGCAAAAGGAGGGAGAGAGAGAGAGAGAGAGAGAGAGAGAGAGAGAGAGAGGGAACCTTGAAAGTTGCGGATAAACTTGCCGAGAAGCTTCTCGCTTTGTCCGTTCAATTTACCGGTGCCGTAGGAATCAGCCGTATCAAATAAATTGATCCCACTCTCAACGGCGAGATTAAAAATCTGCTGAAGCTCATCGTCCATGGATTCTTCGTAACCCCATAACAGCTGATTACCCCACGCCCAAGTCCCAAACCCCATCGGCGATACATTCATCGGCCCTATTTTTACCTACGAATCACACACACGTACGCCACGGTTTTAAAATCGAAATAAACATGCCTACAAAGTATTCCAACTCCAGATTGATCATAAGAAAAATTAGATCGACCAATGAAAATTAGAGGAACGCTTACCTTTTGCCATGGCCAGAAACGAGGGAATTTTAGGTTTTTTAGAAGGGGCGGGGAGGAAATTGAGGAGTTCCGGGAAGCGGCGGAGCAGCTAATGTACGCCGTAGTAGGTGCTGAATGTGAAATTAAGAGCGCCATTGCTGCTTCTAGAGTTGTACTCTGCGGTCTGAGGCAGAGAGAGAGAGAGAAGCTAGCTACTTCTACTTGTACATATTTGAAGATTGGATAAGAGATACAAGGAGCCTAAAACGTCATTAAAAAAACATGTGTAGTATTAAAAACTTCATATACTGCACACTTGCTATACAATGATATACATACAGTTGTAATTAACATACGTTACATGCTAATCACATGCTTAATAAATATCTCCGTAATATTTTCTATTAATTAATCTCATGATCGACCAAACATCTTACGAACACCTACTATTTTGAATTGCATAGTTCAATGATGGGCTCCAAATTTTGTCCATCTGGAATTGGTCAGGATCCAAGTAATCCAAATTTAATTAAATACTTCGGATACCCATATTTTACGGGCCGATTGTAAGGCCCAGTAATTACAATTGGGCCTAGATTTTGTCTATCTTAAACCCAGTTCAATTCAATTTGGGGGTTCTAATCAAATCATGTCATATGAAAATTGACAATACTTCCAAAAAAAATAAATTTAATTTAGATTTAGAGAAATGGAAAGGCAAAGTAAGCGTGTGGTCAATGGTCATGTCCGAATATTAATATTTGGTAGCCAGCTTTATGTGTAGGCCCTACTAATTTACGTTTTCTTCTCTACTAAATATATATATATATATATATATATATATACATATATTAGCTTGTTTCTCTCTCTTGGTAATTTCTCACGTAGAATCGAATCATTATTTTCATCATATTCTGAATGATTGCGCAAACTCTTACAGAAAAATAAAAAAGAAAGAAGAAAATTAAAGCAGAGAAAATATATAGATACAACTCTGGCCTCATTCAAATATTCTACACAGGCATATATGTTTGAGAGAAATGTTGTCTGGTTCGATGAAACCAACTCCATCAAGCTTATACATTTTTTTGTATATATGTGTGTATATATATATATAGAGAGAGAGAGAGAGAGAGCTTGTTGGTTTCGTCGGACCAGGCTTCATTCCCCCCAAACTATAAGTGCTTTTGTGTTCTCTTCTATAAATGATACTACTCCAGCGCAGAATTAAGGTGGGTTTTAGACTTAATTAGTTTACTATACATGTATGTATATATTTATGTGTGTGTGTGTGTGTGTGTGTGTGTGTGTGTGTAATGTTAATGTATGCCGTGAATCTTTTGGTTTATGTGTGTCTTCACTCTTCAGTGTATGTAATTAAATTGCCTTCTGATCTTATTTATTCAAGAATATTTTTTCTGTGTATGCAATATAAGTGAAAAGAGGTATATATAATAATATATATGGTGAAAAAAAGTCAGGGTTTGCAGTGGAAGGAAATTGAAGAATTGTTTTTGCAAGGTTATTTTAACGCATGAATTAATATTACCCAGCCATCTCAAAAGAATTAATTACAAAAATATATCCATTAGCCCAGTAATATTTTTACATTATTCTAAATATTTTTTTTGAGTGTGTACAGTTCTTTTAAATGTTTGTTATTAATAATTTAATAGCATGGTATGAGTTTTTGACGATGTAATTAACATTTATAAATATTTATTATTAGGATAATAATAAATGTATTTTTCCATGGAGATGGGATTAATATTGCATTTCTCTGTGTATATAATCTATATATAAGGAATCTTCTTTATTTACAGAAATACAATCTACAGCTTGGATTTTATTCCCCCACCGAACATTAATATTTACCCATCAATTTTTCAGATTCCATTACACATATATATTTCACATATTAACTATCAATAAATATAGGGGAAATTTGGGATAACCCCCTAGTTTTGAAAATATATTAGAGGAGATCCCTGCCTTTTTTCACTCTTTTGATCAAAACCCAAGTTTTTGATCTTAATTTGGTACACCCCCCTGGACAACTTGAAGTACCAAAATTACCCTTGAAGAATTAATTATTAAATCATAACGTTGCAACTCATCGTTTGTCGTTTTCTCTCCAATTCCCTTCCCCCGGGCAAACCCTAGACCCTCTTTTCTCTCTTCGTCTTCCTCTTCGCTTTTCCTACCGCCGCTCCGCTCCCTATCTTCTTCCACCATCGGCGTTGTCTTCCTCCGCCTTCCACCACCGTCGTCGACGCCCACGCCACCATCAAATCGTCGCGAGTGCTCGAGACTGGATTTGCTGGCCCTAATTGCATCACCAGATCTAACACACCGTGTTTCTCCGACGTAGTTTTGGTGGCTTCTGGCTCGAAGACCTCTGATGGTTTGCATTGCATTTTTCATTGATTCGGCCGACCGTGTTGTACTGGTATTCCTATTTAACTTTTTTCATTCTATTTTTTTTTTCTAAAAATACAATTTTCCTACAATTCATTATTATACGAATTAAATATTTGGGATTTGGTCATTTTAATATTAATCCAGTTATGGATTGGATGATTGGGTGGTTTTGCCCAAATTTTCTCTAGGTTAATTTTTTCATTTTATTTGTTCGTATTTTCTTCATTTTTGCCACCGTTTGGTTTTCCCCTTTTCAACTTTTTTTTTCTTCTCTTTGGGAATTGAGAATTGATTTAATGTGGTTTTTGATTCAAATGGCAGCAACGAAGGAAGTATGTTGAGCTATTTTACTTTTTATAAAAATGTTATTATTTATAGGTTTATGATTATGAAGATAAGGACAAATTGAGTAAGAGCTTTTAATCTCATAAAGAGGTTCAATTTTGATGGATTGACGACTGAAAATTTCTGATATAAATTAGAGTCGAATAACAACTAATGCTAGACACCTCGTGTATGGTTCCGTATATTTTGAATATATATGAAGATTTAACTATAGATAATTATAGTCATATATAGTCACATGTAGTCACATGTAGTAAGATATAGTAATATATAGTGACATGTAGTAACATATGCACACGATTGTGTATTTCCTCTGCATTTGTTGGTTGTGAGTTGATTTATAATGTAAATATTTAAATTGAACTTGATTTTCTGTCACAGGTTTGGTGTTTGCACAACTTATATGCACCAAGTTTTTGCCGAGAGGACATGGTGTTCTTCAATTCGAAACAACTCTTTTGCATTCGATAGATCGGAGCTGTTGTCGGGTTGAAATGTGGGATTTGAAGATATAAATCCAAATTACACTATATACGACTATACTCATATTTACTCAAAAATAAGAAAAAGACTATACTCATATAGTTAGTCATATGTAGGTATATATATAGTCACATATGGTCATATACATGTAGTCATATGTAGTTATATATAGTCACATATGGTCATATACATGTAGTCATATGTAGTTATATATAGTCACATATGGTCATATACATGTAGTCATATGTAGTCATATATAGTCACGTATAGTCATATACATGTAGTCATATATAGTCACGTGTAGTCATATACATGTCATATACATGTAGTCATATATAGTCACGTGTAGTCATATACATGTAGTCATATATAGTCATGTGCAGTCATATATAGTCACGTGTAGTCATATATAGTCATGTGTAGTCATATATAGTCACGTGTAGTAACTCGTAGTAATATATTGTTATATATAAGCTATATAAGTTATGTGTTTTTTCTGATGTACAGTGATGTTGATGATTGTGTTTTTCCAATTTTTTGTTGGGTATTAATTGATTTATAATATCAAGATTAAATTGTGAATTTTTACTTTTGGTGTAGATGAAGTTTTTTTTATATAATCATATGTAATATATATACAAGAGTCATGTCTACTCAATTTCAATACAGTAAATTTATCAAAAAATTGAAACAAAATTAAAAATTTAAAATTTAAAAATTTAAAATTTTTAAAAAAATATTAAAATTAAAAAATTTTAAAAAAAATATTAAAATTAAAAATTACAAAAAATTAAGCAATTTTAAAAAATTAAAAAAATAAAAAAAATAAAAAAATAAAAAATACAACAGAGGTATATATAAAAATAATAATAAAATAAACATTTATAATTTTTTATTAAAAAAATCTGACAATGTGATAAATGCAGGTCTGAATGTTAATTGCAGTTGACCATAATGCTGAATGCAGTTAGCAAAAATGCTGAATGCAGTTGAAGAAAAATTAGATATAAGGGCACAATAGTACTTTTGCCTCTCCAGGGGGTTATCTCAAAGAAAGAATTTTAGGGGTGGACCTATCCCTATATATTTTTCATATTAAGGGTGTATATCAAATGGACCCATAAATATATCAGACAATTTGAATTGTAGTAGGAAAAAGAAAAAAAATATATTACATCACTAAAAAAAATTCCATTACACCAATGGCAAGAGCCATGTTGCATGAACTTTCTATTTCAATAATTTGCAAAAAAAAAAAAAAACAACTATTATTCATTATATTCAGAAAAGGAAAATTGCAACAAATAATATTAATTGTCATGTTAAAAACAGAAAAGGAAAAAAGGAACTGTTACAAGCATAATTTCAGAGGTGTATGTAAGCATATATATCTTTTTAAGTTATTAAAATTATTAATTATACGTATATACACACGTGGCATGAGAATTACTGAGAGTTGACGTCAGTAAAAGTTAATTGTAGAAGCAAAAAAGAATGCTGAAAAGGGGGAGTTGAAATATAAAATGTTAGTAAAAAGTGATGAACAAGGAAATGAAAATGAGTAATTTCATGTTACACACTGTATTTTTGCCTGATTTCAGAATCAGAGTGTTTTCAGTACCTGGGAACAAACGCACAGATAGAAAGCTGAATGGACAACACCTCTCTATATATATATGTGTGTGTGTGTGTGTGTGTGTGAAATACTGTGTGTCAGCTGAGTTGATGGGATATTTTAATTTAATTTATTATATTAGATAAGTATATGTATATCATGTTAATCTAGTAGCCCTTCTTGCTGGATTTTATTGGTTTAATTACCTTGTGATATATACTATTAAATATTAAAAGAAAATAAGTCTAGCATTATATATGTATGTATATATATATATGGTTGTGTGTGTATGTATTTTAGCTGTAAATGGAAAAAGTTTGAAAAGAAGAAGAAAGTCTCGAACTTCGAAATGTACCCATTTTCATGATACGCCAATTCAGATTACTTGTCTAGCAGTTGTACCCGCATTTATTTATATTTTATTCATCAACCAAACTTACTTCTCTCCTCTACTTCACAGTTCACACAAATATTATTATATATACATTTGCGAAATATTATTCTTATTATTTATTTAAAAAAAGAAAAAGAATAAATCTAGCCCAGCAGCAAACTGGATTAAATTCCTGTGGCCCAACGTAAATGGGCAATTAATTGGGCTTTTTAATATTTAAACCCACAACAAGGCTACGAGTTACTTGTCGGGTCGGGTACATAGAAAAACCCGCGAAAATAGGGGGTTCAGATTAATTGGTTTATGTAAATTGAATTTGAAAATTCGGCGGCACAAATAATGAGTTGTTTGTTTGATTATCCTCAACGAAAAACAGCAGTTCCGAAATCCATGGAGCCACCACGATTTGAAGGAATTCCACATTTTCCACCACCTCTCTCTTTCTCTCTCTATCTCTATCAACTTACTTTCTCTCTCTTCGCCCAATACAAAGTTTTTTTCCAATTGGTTTCTCCTCCTGTAGGAGCACAGCAAAGGGGAGGGAAGAAAGAAAGAAACCTAGATTGATATGTAGTTATTTCCCCCTTTCTCTCTCCTCAACCCTCTTAAATCATGCCATCCTTTATATCTCCGCCGCCGTGATTCTATTTTTATAACCCGCCTCCGCCACCGCGACGGTAGACGATTTAATTTTATCCACCTCCTCATGATAGACCCAGCCAGCCTGGCATCGCCGCCGTATATTTCCCCGTCTCCGTCTCCATATCCGCCGCCGCTCAATTCAGACACCGTTGCTTCAGATCTAAGCATTCTCTTCAATTCATTCCCCGTACCGAAACTCGTTTTCGATATAGTGACGCTTTCGTTCATCGCCGGCCTCCTCCTCCTCTGCCTCATCGCCTCCGCCTTCATAATCCAAATCCAAATTAAATCGCGCCGGGCCCACCACTTGCAGGAGTTCAATTCCCTCTGGATTCTCCGATCACTCCTCGTCTCCTTAGCCTCGCTTTGGGCGGTCAACGAAATCCTGCGTCTGCCGTTGCTAGGGAAAAGACACATTTACCCCTTTCTCCCTTCCATAACGTTGCAGCAGCAGGACAATTTCTGTAAAATCCACGCCGTTCTCTCTCTAGGGTTCTTCGAACCGGGTTTCTTAATCACCCTCCTTTTTTTGGTCAACGTTTCGATAAAGAAGAGAAACCCCCGTCAAACGAGGTCTCTCGTAACTGTATTTATCCTTTCCTCTCCGATGATGTTGTCGAATATATTTTTCGTGTACTTCTCTCCGTTCGAGGCGCAGATGCCGAAATTCATGCATGGGAGCTCCGTTCTCTCGGCGGATAAATTGGGCAACAGGATGGTGCTCTGCACGTACCCGTTTTTCAGCTTCCTGATATTTGCGGCGTTCACGGCGGTCTACGCGGTGGCTTTCCTGTTTTCGTGCTGGCGGGTGATGGCGGTGGTGATCAATAAGCAGATTGGGAACCGGATCAACGCGCTGGCCTCCGCCGTGATGGTGGCGCTGCCGGTGCAGATCGTCTGCCTCAGCCTGTCGTGGCTGTGGATGCCTGAGAACGTTGTGTACGGGTGCCTGGTGCTCGCCGTTTTCCTCTGCATCGCAGGTTCCATGGCGGTCGGGATTTTTCTCTTGGTGGTTAAGCCCATCAGGGAGGCGCTGGAGACCGGCGGAAATTGTTGCCGGTGGAATTTGAACGGTTCCTTGCGGCGGCCGGCGGGAGACGGGGAAGAGGGAGCCGGTATTCAGTAATCAGGGACGCGGGTTTACTTTCCATTGTCGTGTTTCCTTTCCTCCTTTATTGTCTGAGGGTGTTTTGGTCATTTCACATCCATCAGTTGTAATTTTAAACAAATTGAAATGGAAAGAATGCAAAAATGGCAAAATCTTGTGGATTATTCTGTAAATTATCTTGTAATTTTTGTATGTCTCGTCAGCATTACGTCAGAAGAGTATAGATTATTAATTTTGTATAGGTAGGTATTGTGAATTCTGTACGAATTCCTTAATTAGAGAATACAAAGAAAAAACGAATTGAAATCTTATTTGAAAATATCTTAATTATATATTATTTAAATCATAGTAGGCCATCAAACTTTGAATAATCTCTTTTCACGCGTTATTTTGTTGGGAACTCACTTTAAGTGATCATATATGGTTAATCAATATCTTAATTAACACCACTTATTTTCGTTAATTGCATAAAGGTCCAGTGTCTGAAATCTAAGGTATATGTTGGGTCCACGTTAAGTTCCAAGTCTGGATGTCATTGATTCTCACGCATACTAATTTCAGAAGGTTAAATTGCATTTTGCACCCCATAAATAACATAGATGAGTGACTTGCACTCCGAATTTCTTAATTTGACGAAGTACACTGTACACCCTCAAATCATTTATCTCATGGCAACTTGGACTCCATATATATTTTTGGTAAGTTTTGAATCATTAAATCTCGTGATATTTTGATTGATTTTAAAAGTCAAATTTATCTAGACAATTCAAAAAATAAAAAAAAAATATATTCATCTGCAAATTTTTGCACGCACAAAATATTTTGCATCTCCTTACGTAAACATTTCAAGATTATATTTACAACATTTATTTTTTTATTTTTTGGTCCGAAAAGTCAACAGAACGCAAGGCCATGATTGAATAGCACGTGATTGACCTTTCATCACGTGGGAGTTGCAAAATCGGCCCTCTCTTATCTGGGCTCTGGCCCGTATAAGCGTGTCCAGTGGCCCAATTTAGATTTCTCAATCTTCTAATTTATTTTTGCAAATACACGCTGGAAGCCTACTATTGGCTTTGCTTCAACTGCTTACGTCATGTGACATCATATGGTTTGATCCTAATCCTACTTACATGTACCACATTTTATTATTATTTATTTCCTTGAGGCAGCTTAATGGTTCATATTTAAGTTTGACTAAATTCTTTTAATATTTTTTAAATTAAAATATAAATTTCCTAACGCTACAACATTGGGTCAATAACTAATTTAATGAAAAAAAAAAGATTGCTTGCTTTGTACTTTATTTGTCATTAACTTGACAACAAATCAACTTTATGAAAGTTGTTTCTGATTCTTTTTATATTTAACGTCTAAATACATTACTTTTAACATTTAAATACATTATCATAATCCAATTACTAATAAAAATATAAAAAAAGAATTCAATAAAATAAAAAAGTCATGTGTCACGGATTGGGACATTAATCTGACCACACTAGTACTACTGTTGGTCACGATGCTGTTGATGATTTAATTTATTGCTTTTATTAAATACATTTATAAAAAAAGATTGCCCTTTAATATAGTCAAATAGGCAATGTTACATTCCACCAAAAATTAATGAAAATCTACTATCTGGCAGCTTGCCTTATTGCTTTTGCAATGTATAATAATATGTATTCAACTTGTATCTCTTTGTATAAAACGTAATGAGAATAAGTAATAACATTCAAAATTAAGTATTATATAATTCATAATGACGTCATATTTGATTGTTCCCAATTCACCCGCACCAGCCCATAATACCTAATGCCCAATGCGCCTCAGGCCGTCTAGAAAAAGCCCACCAAATAAAATAAAATCCAAATAAATAAATAAATAAATTTCTCTCTCTCTCTCTCTCTCTCTTTCTCTCTCTACTCTCTATCTATATAAGCACAGCAAATCCTTGCATTTTCATAAACGAAATCTCTCTTCAAAATAGAAAAATATTCATATGCGTTAGAGTGAAGTATAATGAGCAATATTCCTACATCGCTTACCGATTCGGCCTTCACGCTTTTCAAACTCGCCATCTCCACATCGGATCCTTGGCCCTTCTCTCTCCTCCTCTTCTAGCATCAACTAAAACCCTAATTTCTCCTCCTCTAATTTGTACATACACATTGATTGCAATCTGTACATATATATATACACATACACATACACACGAATTTGTCCAGTAAGGCGGAGAGCGGATCGGAGGTAGAATTTCCGGTGGTTGTGTGATTAATTTACATCTGCGCATGCCGCTCGGTCATTTCCATTTCCTCCACCACCACCACGGCGGTGGCGGCGGACGGGAGGCGATGAGCATTCCTAAAGGATGCCTTGCGATAACCGTGGGGCAAGGAGCGGAGCAGCAGCGGGTTGTGATTCCGGTGATCTACATCAACCACCCGTTGTTCAAGCAGCTGCTGAAGGAGGCGGAGGAGGAGTACGGATTCCATCAGATGGGACCCGTCAGAATCCCCTGCCGCGTGGAGGAATTTGCTCACGTCAAAGGTCTGATCGATAAGGAGATGACTTCGCACCACCACCATCACGGCCACCACCACCACCACCACCACCATCACGGTCACCACGGCCACCACCACCACCACCACCAGTTTCTCTGCTTCAAGGCTTGAGTTATTGACGTTTTTGTGTAATCGGTGTTGTTGACTTTTGTTTTGGTGATTTAAGTTTGACCGCGGTGTGAAAATTGATTCGTGCTGTTTTGTGTGTTTGAATTTGTTACAGTTTCATTTTTTTTTTCGTTATTCCTTTTTTTATATTTGATTAATCGATCAAAGTTCAATTTTTTAGCTTTATAATTTGCTTCATCTTATTCAGTTGATTAATCATAAAGCTTTAATTTGTTTTCTTCACGTAATTGTGTAATTAGACTTTTATGTGGATGTTAAAACATTTGATTTTTTCTACACTGCACATAAGATTATGTTTATCTTGTTGCGTAGCTTTTAATTTACTTTATTTCACAATTATATAAATATACAGTATCATAATCGACAACCTTCGATAGCAACTTCATTAATTTTCTTAAGTGTTTGATTTTAGTCCTAAATTTGGTAAGAAGCAAAATCCAATTCTTGATTACTGTCCTAAATTTTGTTACAACTGTTACAACAAACAATTAACGATATATACTGAAGAGGTCAGAGGATTAGGTGCATTAATTAATTATATTTTATATTGAACCAATGAGGTTAGATATTTGGGACCCTTATCAATAATCAAATGTCATCAACTTTTGTCTTTAATTAGTACCATTTTATTATTATATTTTCTCTGTTGCTGTCTGTGTGGGGAAGCATCTGTGAGGTACACTATCACACCTCCGCCTGCTTTTTCCATATCATTAATTAATTGTCAATTGATAAATAATTATAAATATTAAATAGTGAATTTAATAATAATTAAGCTAGTGATTATCTTTTATACTATCATTAGTTATATTTTAATTTATTCTTGGCACCATTGATTTATTTTGAAGATATGGTTTCATTCACATTATTATTATTATCAAAAAGGAATAATTATAATTATAATAAGAACAATTATTTATTTTGGGTAAAATAAAAAGAGAATTAAAAAGTACATAGAATTTGTGACCACTAGGTATTTGATTATATTGGTGCCAGCCATTAAATGAGTTGTATACAACTAGCACATTGCCTCTGTTTCAAATATTTCCTTTTTATTTTCGTCCCCATAAAGTGGGAACCTTTTGTCACAAAGTATATTTATTTCATGGTATCATTAATCATGGCAGGTCTCTAAATCCAGATGGTTATAATGTATATGAATCATGCCTTCTTTATAATAATTAAAAAATAAAATAATAATAATAATAAAAGAGTGGTATTCAATGCAATTTAAATTAATTCAGCCCATGTAGACGAATATTTTTTTTGATAAGATGCATGCAATCGAATTAATATAAAGATGTTTGCAAAAAAAAAGAAAAGATAAAGATAATTAATATTCGTAATTCCATTGTCGGTCCGAATAACTTACTCTTACTGAACCGGGCCCAGCTACATAAATATTTGGGTTTTAGTCAACATAAAAGCCCATCTTCAAAGTGAAATGATTGACAGAAGCCCAGCCCATGTGCTCTCCGCGTTAATATTAAGTTTTGTCAGCCTGTGACGGTCACCATTGTACTTAAGATAATTCAATGCCCCAAAACCGTACATTTACTTTCTGATAGTGATTTAACGGCTGCTGATGCTCTCTTAATCCACACCCACGAAGAACTTCTCGTACGCGAAACAGGGAATAATTTCTCGCCCTTGCGTTATAAACCCACTCACAATCAACTTTACCCGCCTCTTCTCATCCCCGCGGCCCGCCCCATCATCGACGAGTTTTATTATTTCAGTCCCTCCAAAACCCGATAATTCAGAAAAAAACCCTAGATTGGGGGATCAAAGATTTATCTCTGGATTTCAACTCGTATTATTTATCTCTGTAGTTTCTTTCTTTCAATCTTCTCCATTGCTGTTATCACTCTTATTTAATTTTTTTTATTTCACATTCTTGGAGTGAGGGATTTTGTGAGAAATTAGGGTTTCTGCATATAAAGGTGTATTGTAATTTTGAATTAATGGAGGCTGCGCCCGGTGCTACCGCCACCGGGCGAAATGGAGGGGTTTCCCTGCCGGCGATGTCGTTGTCTTCTTCTCAACCTTCTCGTAAGGAGTGGCGAGTCGTCTCTGAGCAATCAGCTCGAAACTCCGGTAACGAGGTAAGGCCACTTGCATTGGGTTTGTTTTTGCTTCAAATTTTCTGATTATAGTTTATTTCTTCGAGAAGTTATATCTAAGAGGGTAACTTTCACTGAAAACTCCACTTGCATTGGCTTTATTCTGATTTAACTCGTCCGGCTGTTGATTTTGTTTTGTCGAAAAAATTATGCTTGGTGTAACATTGCACATTATAATTAGTTTTTTCCCTGCGTTTTTGTCATTTTATTTTGTTTTTTTAACATGCATGTGCACAGGAGATGGAACGTTCAAAACTAGGTCAATCCGATGAGAGACTGATATACGAGGTAATACCGTGGCCTGTTGAGCTGATTTTTTTTTGCTGTGAATATCATCTGGAAGGATTTTAGTTTCTTTCGACAACGTGGGTGAAAATAATAGCAATTTGTATGTCTTATGCAAAGGTACAGCATAGAGGAGAGCCATTTGATGTTGGTTTTTCCTCCATAACTGTTGATGGAGGTTTGGACAATGAAAATTTGCAGCAGAGACTTCATACTGTGGCGAAACAAAGGGAGGAGTTGCAGAACATGGAGATTGAGCTTCGGGCGGATGTCATTGCGAGATCAGAAATTGTGGGTTTGCGGAATACATTCGATGCCCGAGTTAAAGAACATGCAAATGCTACTGTCAAACTTCAGGTTTTTTGCATTTTCTTTGGGTGTTTTTTTTCTATTTTAAGTTCTGATGATCCATGCATGCTAAGATAGATGAGTATGTATTACTCATATTGTTTTCTTGCTGAGACATTCTAAAGTTTTGTTGAATGTGCACTTAGATAAATGGTTGTGTATATGAATTTTTCTCGCTAAAATTAGTATAGTTTTGATTTGTTTGTAGTTAGTACATGTTTCTGCACCCTGCACTAGTTTTATGTTGGTGTTCCTAAATTTCTTAGAGGATGACTGGTTGTTTAGGAGCAACTGCATGAAAAGGAACAGAAGATACATGAGCTGGAGAGAAGGATGGACGAAAAGGAAAGAGAATTGCATGCTGTTAGATTGGATACTGAAGCGGTTAGTTGGAGATATTTTGTTTCCTTGTCTTCAATTTGAATTTTCTGTCATTGGTGCTGGTGAGTACTTTGTTTTTTTAATCCTCTTCCTTTATTTAGCAGGCTTGGGCCAAAGAGGACCTGTTGAGAGAACAAAGCAAAGAGATCCAGAGCTACAGGTAGTCCTTAGCTTTAATGTTTAAAATACTTTATTTAAAACTTGTCATAGTTTATATTTCTGATGTAGAATAGAGGAAGACATGTTTTGCTCCATTATATTATTTTGCCTTCACATGGCTGACTAATTATGGTTTGCTTTCTTTCAAGTTTGTGTTCTCTTACGTGATTATTTTGAAGTTTGATGAGCTTTACCCACTACCAGTGTAATATATACATGGTTAACACTATCTTGATTTATTTACCTGCCTTCCATGTTACCAAATAGATTTTGAATGTTTTGTGATTATAGCTAGGACCTGCATTATTTTGCAGGAGGGATAGGGATAACTCTGAAGCTGAAAGAGCACAACATATCCAACAAATCCTTGATCTTCAGGAACATATGCAAGACAAAGAGCGACAGTTCATTGAGTTGCAGGAACAGGTTCATATGTTTTTCGGTTGCATAGTTGTTTGATTTGTTAGTCTTCCTCTTTGAGAATGATATTTATCATTGTCATAAAAATTGCAGGTTGATCTAGTTAACGTATACTTCTCTGTATTTAGTCATGCGATGTTGATAGTTTTTGGTAGGGCCATATCTAGTTCCCGGATTGAAGTTTTATTGGATTAAATGTTTTAAATAAGGTCTTCATTGTGATAAGCTCTTCATTGGATTCGCCAATGTGAAATCATTTGTTAGCTGGCCCTTTCTATGAATTCATTAGATGTGTTTGTTGGTTGCATTCCTCATTCAGCAAAGAATTGCTCAAGAAACTATACTTTTTAAAGATGAGCAAATAAGAGAAGCACAAGCTTGGATAACTCGTGCTCAGGAAATGGATGTGATGCAATCAACCACTAATCACACTTTACAAGCTGAACTACGAGAACGGACCGAACAGTATAATCAGCTGTGGCTTGGTTGTCAAAGACAGGTGATTTTGAAATTATTCCTACTATTTTGCCAAATAAATTATGTTTGTTAAAGCTATTTAATTTGGATTTCTAAAACTTTCGTGTATTTTTTCCGAATTTTCTCTCTTCTTGAGACATGATTTGTGTGCTACAGTGATAAATGTTTTCACTAAAATACGTTAATCACTTTATTTTTCAAATTCTTCTTTATAAGTACCTTTCTCCCAACACCTTTAGACATGATTTGACTGTAAGTTGTCTCTTTTCAAAATACAAACAAACTTCACTTTTTTCTCTAATACTTCTCCCACAACATATTTCCCCGAAGTAAAAATGGAAATATGGCCCCAAAATGGGTCCAAACATAGCCTAATTTTTTTAGTGTTAAGTAATATGGAGGCTGATTGATGTATGCTCCTGGTCCTGGCAGTTTGGGGAAATGGAAAGGCTTCATGTGCATATACAACAGCTACAGTTTGAAATAGCCGATGCAAGAGAAAAAAGTGGAAGTCGTTCAGAGGAGGCACATCTTGTCCACACAAACACGGATGATGCCTCTCGGCTTGCACAAGTTAATGGCAGCCAGTTGGAGGTGAATGACAATAATTCACCAAGTGCAATCACTGGAAGCCCACAAAATGACAAATCTGAAACTTCTGGAGGGAATTTGGCACAGGTAAAATATGCCCCACTTTATCTTGTTGGTTGTTTATGATGATTGCTGACTGTATGCTCTTAAAGTTTTTCCAATGTCAGTATGAAGCCGTAGGGATATCAGATTATACTTTCAATTTTCAATATATGTATACACCCTGATGACCTTTTCATATAATTTATTTGCACTTTGTTGAGGAATGTTCAGAATAGGGAACCAAGGTCTAAGGCAGATAAAAAGCGTTGTATATGCTCTGTGTGTATATTATGGGCTCAAGTAGATGTATATACCCGAGTAAATACTATATATCAGCCTCTGAACTAGGCACCGATAATGCAGTCCAAATTTATCATAATATAGAATTAGGTAGCCATGAAGTACCTCGCTAACTCTCCTAATCAATCTGTTCACATGTCCATCATGCGAAGCTTGTCACTTAGTCTGTGAAGTCATGTCCGCCGGCTACCCAATCCTCTGAAGCTGTAAATGGTGTAGAAACCTTTTTACAAAGCGACGATCAACATCGATATGCTTTTTCTGTTAATGGAGACCCAACTATGTAGTGCGGACTTATCCCACTATAGAAAATTAGTTAACCCTAAAATGAGTTACTAGCAAGGATCGAGAGAGTATAATTGTTTTTTCTAATTTATTTACTGGAGGTACTTCAGGCAGAGCATACATTGCATTAACTTCTTACATCACTCTTCCATTCTTAATTTCCTTCTCCTGAGGTTTAATTTTGTTTTTACTAGGCTGACCATGAGCATGGTGTATCATTTGCTCCTTCATCCCTGTTTGGAATGCCCACTTATCTGCCAACTGCGTTGCATCCATTTGTAATGCATCAACAAGGTGTACTACACCCATCACATGTCACACAATCTCATTTTCACTCCTTACCTGCAATGTCATCAGTTCAAAATTGGCAAAATCAACAGGTAAATCATCTACTATATTCTGTTGATGCCCAATTTATTTGTTGCAATTGCTTGTTAATTTTTATGTCTTTGCTAAAAAAATTTCAAGGCTCTGTCAGAAGGTGAAAACATGCTCAGACACAACCAATATTCTGAGCAAACTGAGGAAAACTTGATGAGGACAGATATCCATTATGGCTATGAAGCATTAGTAAATGGCCAAGTTCGTACAAATTATAGCGATGCCAAGGTCAGCCCAACAGATGCTGATCCTGTGGTACCATCATTAAATGGAGAGGGGCAGGTTGGCAGATCAAAAATATTATTCTTGTAAAACTTGCCTTCTGCAACTTGTTTACTTCTTTACATATCCTTACCTCTCTTTGCTGTTATGTAAAATTTTCAGCTGCACTATTCCATAGATGAAAGCAATGGCAATGCCACATCTCTGCAGGATCTGCTGCAAATTTCTTCCCAGTTTCATGATGCTCTTAGATTGGATCCTCTTGAACGTGGCAATGACACTAAGGTTTAATTATTGTTTGCTTCCAAATGTTCACTGGAATTTATGGTCTTTTGGTTGAGTCGAGTCTGCTTTTATGGTTGTTATATTGAAAGCTCATATTAAGTTAATATTGCACACAGCTAAAAAATGACAACCCAGTCATTGATCATAGACTGGAGAACAAAATCACTAGCATTGAGAATTCCAGTTTTGTTACCAACGGGTTCTTATCTGAAGTTCCGATCCAGGCTGTAAATTTCAGCGGAGCCTCTTCAAATACTGTATTGAGTGCTGTTTCAGCAAATACCATTCTTTCCACTGGCCAGAAAAGTGATTTGGTTGGAAATCCTGGGGAAAGTTATCTATTGGATGAAAGAGCATTGCTGGCTTCTATAGCTCGAACAATAGGATCAGGCAGCAGAATTAGGATTAGCTCAACCGTGAGTTAATTGATTTGTCTGTATTATAGATAAGTAGTTTTAATGAACTAAAAGTGAAGTGATGATGCTTGACCATTTTGTGCTATGTGTTTGAACAGCTAGCAAATAGACTTGGAAAAATGATTGCCCCTCTACACTGGCATGACTATAAAAAGAAGTATGGGAAGCTTGATGATTTTGTGGCCAGTCATCCTGATGTATGTCCTCTTTTCCCCCTATATGCTATGTTTCGACTTATTGAGAGATGTTGATATTTACCAAGTGTGCTTTTTTTGTTCCAGTTATTTCTGATCGAGGGCGACTACATTCAGCTACGGGGAGGTGCACAGCAAATAATAGCCGCCACAACAGCTGTTGCTAAAGTGGCTGCTGCTGCTGCAGCAGCACCGCCTTCATACTCGTCAGTGATGCCTTCTGTAGCAATGACTCCCATGGCACAGTCTAACAGGTTTAAAAAGGTCTCCTCTCTTGAATCCTCATACATGGATGCTGACAAGGCCAGCTTTAATCAAGTTGCAGTACCTAGACCTTCAAATACCGTCGACATATTCAGCAAATCCAACGATCATATGGAATTGAATGGGTCCGAAAGTAGGCCTGGCTGGTCCGCACAGCCGACAGTTGGAAACGGGACAAACTCTAACCGAAATGATTTTTCTCAAAGCAAGGGTGCTTCTCATGGGAGGCCTGGCTCTAGTTTAGTTGGAAAACAACATAGCAGCAGGTCTGATTGACTAGAATTAAGTAGAACTTTCTGATATTCTTTCTTTCTGCTTATAAATTGAATCTTATTGTTGTACTGAACTGTTTTTCAGGCCAATGGGTGCTGCACCAAGTCCAAGAAGATAGTAAGTTCACTCAAAGTATTATGAAGGAGAATTTATTTATGTTGATTATATCTTCTGATTCATCATATGAAATTGTATTGTATTTGTAGGGTAATTATCGGATAAGTATGCGAAAACTCGCGGCTAAGCATCAAGTAGCTGGAGATTGGTGACTGGGGGGAGGCTGTAAAATCTGAAGTTAAATTCTCCAGTTTTATTTATCTCATAGAAAATCTCAATCAGAAGACTGACAGATAGGGGCAACATCACATTTTGTTAAATTTAACTAACTGAATTTTTTAATTTGTATTTTAGCATGGTGCTGAACAAGCATCTAATTTGCCCGCCCTTTCTTCTGTTGTTGATCAACTTGCAGCATTGGAATTTTTAAATTATGGGGAAACTGGTGATAATTTAGGTGATGAACATAATTGTTAACCTTGAAATTTCATCCTTTAGTAAACATCATATCTACACTAGTTGGATCTAAGGTCGATGATGTTTATGAACCCAAAACAATGTGCTCAAGGGGCAACCATGTCATTTTATAGTTTTTCGTTTCTTTTGAAATTTAAAATCCTTTTAATGTAATTGCGCGCGCACAATAATAAACAAACGTCGGAATTTATTTCGGTGGGCAGCAATTTCCGGTATTCTGTGGGTTTGAAAACAATATGGACAAATCGAAGGGGCGAAGAGAAGATAAAAGGATAACTATAAACACGTGACGTGACACGTGACTTGTGAGGGGAAGAAAAGAAAGTGGTGGTACTAGACTCTTCCAACCAAATTCAGTTCCGAACTTCTTTTATCCCAATTTCTCTTCAATTTCACCATACTTTCAGATGTTTTCTTCCTCTCATTTTCCTATCACATCTCCCGGAATATATACCACAGCCGGCGCCGGCGCCATTAGAACCACAACTCGATTTATCATAGTCCGGTACAATACTCCTCAAAATTTCCTCAACAGACCTTTAGCAGCATCAGTTTCCGGAAATCGTAGCGTGAATGCTGACCAACCATCTGTAGTTCTAGACAGCCTCAGAGTTTTGCAATGGGATAAGCTCTGTGATTCCGTCGCTTCCTTCGCCGGCACTTCACTCGGCAGACAAGCCACCAAGGTATTTTCTCACCACCCTCGTTATATATATTTTATAATATTTTTTATGTATGTATGCTTACATTCCGTCAGTTTATAATTGATACCAACTCTCCGTCTATAATTGAATGCCAATTCCATCATTTTTTTTAAATTATGTCATGATGATTGATGCTGTTGTTGCTAGTCGATTAGTCAAATTCCGCCACATGAGGCTCAGTGATTACGGACATACGGGGAGTATATATCCATTTATGAATTGGTTGGCGGATATATAATTTTATATTGACTCTCTTGTGCACCCTTGAACTATGCACAGCTTGATTATGTTTAGTACTTGAATTTGTAACGTATGTCCTGTTGTAGTTGGTGTCATGCTCAGCGAATTTCTTTCTTTTTTTTTTCTTTTTTTAATTTATATATTCCGAACTGCATTAGAGAGGGCATTACATTATACTCAAATTAATCAACATATGTAAGTTTCTACAGTCAATATTTTGTTATTTCAAAAATCTATAGTTCTTAAGTTAAAAGAACATAGCATATATTTCATTTATTTTTTTGCGTCATTGTGAGTTGTTACTTTTTGCCTGTGCAGGAGCAATTATGGAATTTGGATAAAGCGTATGAAGATAGTGTTAGGCTACTGGAAGAGACTAAAGCAGCTGTGGAGATGAACAAATACGGCGCCATGATGGATTTTACAGGCATTGATGTTGCAATGGTAGGATGAATATCCTAGTTTTTCCTTGTGTGAACTTGCAGAAATACAATTGTGATAGATGTTTATTAACTGATAATTCCGCTTCATCTCTTTTTTCATGATTCTCAATTATAACCAATCCTTTTACAAACTAGGTACTTTTTTGGTTCAGAAGGAAGATGTCATATCTATTCCATTTCAGTTTACTCATAGTAAATAATAGATCCAGTAGATGGTTAATAAAACTGATCCTGTCTTTTATTGAAGGTCGAAACTGGCATAATACGTGCTCGGAAGGGAGTTCCTGTGACTGGGAGTGAAGCAATGGCACTCTCAGGTCTGCTAAAATTTGCAGAAGCACTGCAAGTAAATGTCAAAGCTGCAATAAAGGCTGATTCAGATTGGTTTATGAGGTTTATGCCTCTTTCGGAATTGGTATCGTGGTTATTGGGAAAACTTGTAGTAGCAGTTCCTGTAATTGTCTATTGGTCTGCCAACATTACTTACTCTTAACTAATTTAATTGCAGGTTATGGAATTAGTTATCTGTCAGCCTTTGATTAAGTTCATTGAGCAACTTGTAGATGAGGATGGTTCAGTAAAAGATTCTGCGGTTGGTTCTTAAACTTATCAATGTATTTACAGATTTTGTTTTGGTATATTCAAGTTTACCTTCAATTCATTCATTTACTTGTCATGTTCAGAGTTCAACCTTGCGAAATGCACGTGAGCAAGTGCGATATCTTGAGAGAAAGGTAAAAATGATGCTAATTTACTGAGACTACTATAACTATTAATTTTGGTGGAAAAGTCGGGGAAGTCGGATTTTGGCAACAAAATTTGGGAGATTTGGTTGGCTCTATGTATATTCATATGAAGTTGGCTCTCATTTAGATGTTTGCAGGGTCTGTTTTGCCGTGCCTAATGACAGCACTTTTACTCTTTATTATTCAGCTATACCAGTTGATGGAAAGCATGATTAGAAGTGGTTCAGATGAAATAGCAACTATGGTAAGCAATCCCCCTTCGATCAATATATTTATAGAAATTTTCTATTATTAATCTCTGAATTATTTCCTGTTTTTACAATCATGAAAGTAAAGTCTAAGTTCATTTATGGTTATTTATTGTATTAGTATTGATTTTTTTTGTTCTTTTTCACTGCACAGGAAATATTTAATAATGATGGGAGATGGTGTATAAACTCACGTGCTGATGTGCCCCCAACTTTTGAGGGACTCTTGTTAGCAAGGTGCATCAAATTCTTCCGATTTTTCATTTCATTGTGCACACAATGGGAAGTTGGGTCCCTATATTGCCAATCCACTGTGCATGCTTTATTTTCCTTTTTATTAATTTCCTTTTCATGGCGATGATAGTGCAAATTTTGCAGTGAAGATACCAACTCAATTAGAGTTATGCAATTCTTAAACACATTCTTTTGGAGGAAGTAGTTGACTTTCAAGTTGCATTTAAGTAATCGCATCTACGTCGTTTCCTTCTGTTAACTTCAAACTACTCATGAAGTTTCAATACAACACTGTAAGACATCTTCACACATTCAGTTGAAGTGCCATTGCAGTGTTACGTGGAGACACGGGTTTTAAATCTTTTCAACATTTGGTGCATCATATTTTACGCAGCAGTTCATTTCAGTTTCATGTTCAACTGGACAACCATTTTCTACTCTGACCATTATAGAACTTATGGCTGTATATGCATTTCTCTATTACTCTGGCGTACTGTTTACTATATCAATATACTTTGCAATGAGAGATTCAAGATAAATTATTTGAACTCATGCAACTCTTTTAATCTGCTATGTTCTTCTACTGCATATTGTTCTGAGAGAAATAATACTTCTCCTATAGTGGTTCAGGTGCAGGAAGCCTTATTGAACCACTCTCTGCTGTTCCTCTAAATGATGAGCTGCAACGGGCAAGGCAATTGGTGGCGAAAGCGGAGGAAGAGGTGCTTCTAAGGATAACAAAGAAGGTTTGACAACTTTTTTTGAGCTATTGCACTTTGCTGCAAACTGAACTTCAATTAGTTATGGAGTTTTACTTTCTATTTCTTGTACAGATGCAAATGGAATTGAATGACATCGAAAACTTATTCAACAGTATGATTCAGATGGACACGGTACACATCAAGGACCTCAGTTCTGAGTCCTAACTTACATTTTTCTGGGTGTTAATGACTAACTGTAGTATGACTTGATGAAACTGGCAAATTGACACTGTCATCTGCAACTGATATACTTGAAATGGTGTTGTTTGAAAAGTTACGTTGGTCAACTGGCTGCAGGATTTATTTTTATTGCTATGTTTTGCAACATATGTTACCATTAAATCTTGTTTTGGATGTTTATCTTAACTAAAGTTGTGCCCATTTCACCTTAATTTTTTTTAGGCAATCAATCATTCTCTTTGGATTCATATTATTTTCAATGTGATACAGATCAATGCTAGGGCACGATATAGCCTTTCCTTCGAGGGTGCATGGCCTGAATTGTATTTGCCACAAGATATTGATAGCATTAAAGCTGATACATCAGCAGAAGATAAAATCTCGTCATTATCACAACTTAATCAGAAGAAGTGGAATTTATATTTGCCCAAAGCTTATCACCCACTATTGCTTCAACAACATCGTCACAATCTGGAAAGGGCCATGAAGGATCTCAGAATAGCAAATGCTGTGAGTTGGGCTTCATTTATATCGACTTTTGGCAGTAATTCAAGATATAATAAGAATTGAACAAATGAACCTGAAAATTTCACAGGAAATGAGGAGAAAACAACAAGATGGGTCTGCGAAGGGGAAGAAAGAAAAAAATTTAAATATATCATCTCTGGAGATGCGGGTAATATTTTCGGTTAAAAATGTCGTGTTAGGAGTATCATACCGGCTCGTATGCCTAGAAATGGTTATAATTTTTGGTCTATGTTTTATTCCAGGTTGCTAAGTTGAAACAAGAACTTCCGATCCCCTTTGACATATATATAGCTCAGAATACTAGAGTTCTTGTTATAACTGGCCCAAATACTGGAGGCAAAACCATTTGCCTGAAAACAGTTGGGTTGGCTGCCATGATGGCAAAGTCAGGTTAACTACGTAACTTATGTTTTATGTTGTTATTCTGAATAACTTGTGGTCACACACACACAGACACACACTGTTGTTATTATTATTGCATTATAGTTATTCAACTCGTGGTTGCGCGCCCGCCCGCCCGCGCACACACACTCACTGTTGTACTTGTGCCATGTGCATAGTGAAAATATGTTCTAAGCATCCCCTGTAAATATATTCTATCCACAATTTTGATGGAAAAAGATTGCAGGACTATACATATTGGCTTCAGAACCAGCAAGGATTCCCTGGTTTGATTTTGTACTTGCTGACATTGGTGATGAACAATCTTTATCTCAGTCATTATCTACCTTTTCTGGCCATCTAAAACAAATCAGCGTAAGTTGATACGATGCTGCTTTTTGTGTCATGCAATTGGATCCTTAAAAGAGACTTAATCATATACGTACAGTTGTACTGTAAAATGATGAGGTAGCATTAAGGATTTTTGTTTTTCCTTTTACACGATATATATGGTTTTCCTTCTCATTTGTTTTTGCTGATTCATTCACTTGTTGAGAATCATAGTTTGATGTTTCTTCTCTAAACCGTGCAGGAAATCAGGTCTCTTTCGACGAGTCTGTCATTGGTGCTCCTAGATGAAGTATGGAATTTTGAGTTTTATACTCTGCAGTTTAATTTGTTGACATGTACTTCCATCGAAAACTTTGATGTATTATTTATACCGCAAAAGATACATAATTCTTTGCATTTGATATAGTAAAATGGGAACTTATGGAAAGAAAATGTAGTGATATGATACCAATCAATTAGTAACCCTTATCAACATTTGAAATAAAGAATGGTAAATTATGGAAAGAAAATCTGGTGATACCATACCACTTAATCATAATTAGTAATCTCTATAAATACTTTTAGGTAGGTGCAGGAACAAATCCTCTAGAAGGAGCTGCCCTAGGGATGTCGTTGCTGGAATCTTTTGCTGACGCTGGTGCCTTGTTGACAATAGCTACTACACATCATGGAGAACTCAAAGCTCTTAAGTACAGGTAGCTTATATAGAGATGAAGTATTAAAATAAACATGAGTTTATACAAATAACACAAGGTTTTATTACTTCAACTTAATAGAAACGGTGCCTTTGAAAATGCTTGTATGGAGTTTGATGAAGTGAACTTGAAGCCTACTTACAGGATCCTTTGGGGAGTACCAGGTTCTTGTTGCTAACTACTTGACTGCTGGATATATTAAATTTTCTGCTCGAAATTGATTTTGAACATATATCACTATTAAATAGTTTTTTGTGTATTCCTCATTAAGGAGCATTTTTAGACATCCTTTACCCACTTCTTTCTCTACCTGTCGTAAATTTTTTGTTTTCAGGCACTGATTGTTCGAATTCTGGCCTTCTACATTTCATTTTGAAGATCTAATTGCTAAGGGTGTGTTTTTTTCCCTTCTAACTTTAGGGCGTTCAAATGCAATCAATATTGCTGAGAGGCTTGGACTGCCTGTAGAAATTTTGGATAACGCACGTGATCTATATGGAGCTGCTAGTGCAGAAATCAATGAGGTAACTCGAATTGATTGTATGTGCATTTCAAGATTGGTTTCCCATAAATATTGCTGAGAGGCTTGGACTGCCTGTAGAATTGATTTTTTTCCAAATGAAGAACTCGTTAATTTTCTCAAAAGATATTATTAATTCGTCGCACCAAATTAGACGAGAAATAATTGCTTACGACTTCTATATTCTAATAGGTTAGTAGTTGATGGGTCAGAGTGTTCAGCTTCAAGTAAATTATCTGTATATATGATCACTTTTCCATATTCCATTTTGTCAAACACATCCAACTTTAGTATGACAAATTCCTTGGCAACTTAGTGCAGGTGATAGTTGATATGGAGAGATTCAAACAAGATTATCATGCAAAACTCCATGAATCGCAGCAGTACCTGAGGTGAGAATCTTTTTTGCTTTGACATAATACACCCGAGGTTTGGGTTCATTATTATCCTTTTGACAGACAAAATTTATCGAAGATAATAAAGATAGTCGTATGGTGATTTAAGCAAGTTTAGTAGAACCATTTGACATGAGCTAATAGTTTATCTTCGTTTTCAGGCTCTCAAAGAAACTTCATAAGAGTCTACTCTTGACCAGAAAGAGAGTAACGGAACATAGCGTGAAGGAAAAATCCAGAAGGATGCAAGAAATAACGAAGCTAGGAGCTTCAGCACGTTCCATCATTCATAAGAAAGTGCGGGAGTATCGATCACTTCCTACTCAAAAACCCAAACAAATAAAAGCAGATACAGATATCTCTACTTCAACATCCATTCATCTTCATGCGACTATAGAAGAAAATGCATCTGTGGTGACTGAAACTGCATCCACAGATATTAAATCAATTACAGGTAGCTAAATTCTGAACGGAAGACTAATATTATTTTAGTAAAATCACCACTTCTTTTAGTATTATACTATTGCATTTCATCGCTTTTCGATTTTGCACATTGCAGAGAACAAACCTGAACTTCCAAAGATTGGTGACGTGGTGAATATTCCTTCTCTCAACAAGAAAGCAACAGTTGTGAAATTGGATCGATCTAAAGAACAAGTGGTGGTTCAAGCTGGTAACTTGAAGTTGAAGTTAAATCTGGCTGATATTTTGACCTGATTTAGCATGTGTACCTCCTCGGGTGCAGAAGATTCTACGCTCTAAATTAATACAGTTAGATTTCTTTTTCTGATTTAATTTTTAATTTTTTTGTAAATCACTCCTCACTTGTCAGCATATTTTAATTATATTGGAAATATGATATTTGCTTGTCTAATTGCATCTAAGTTTTTGTTGGAACTTGAAATTAGGAAGAGATCGATCCCATCTGGAACCATTTACAGTGCATTGTAAATCAGAATTGCTTCTTGTTGACCCTCTTTGTCCCAGTACTGGATTTCTTCACTCAAGCAACCGAAAACAATCAGCGGAAATTTGCCAAATCTTCCTCACCCAAGATACAATATGTAAGCCTTCATCAAAACTGAGATCCACAGGTAAATTTTTTCCAAATACTAATTCTTGAAATGCATATTTGTCTGTGTATACGCATGTATATGTGTGTGATGTGTCTTTCTGAATACATACATAATATTAATGCATATTAGAAAATTGGAACTTCAGACATGCACATTCGGAAAACGAAAGTAAGCTGGGTTATGAAGCATGAATCCCCGATATACACCGTTATGGGTGCAATGAAATTAAAATAGTAGTAGCTCAACTTCTTTCAAAACCCTATCCACGCTAGGGCAAGTAAGGCTGGTCGTTACCATAGAACCCGGTGGAATCCTAATTTGATTGTAATAATCTGTTTGAGACGGTGAACAAATGACGTGCTAGAATAAATTATTAGATTCAATTCCATTTTGTGTAAGTAGTCTCCCTTCCTAATCCATCATTAGGGTAAATTTGGATAAAATAATGTATTATTCATTGACATTGTAGCATCACATAATAAATATAATTTTCTTGCTGATGTGTAGGAGTACTATTATATATTTGTATGGGTAGTGTAGAGAGTGGTTGTTTCCTCGGGGGTGGTAGCTTTGGGATCAGAGAACGAATCCACAGTGGGGTGGTCTCCATTTTGTAATTATTCTCTTGTTCCTTCCCTGGAGGCACACCCCACCCCCACCCCCTCTCTCTCTATGTCACAGAAAAGGATAATTTTTTTTACTATTGAATTCAAAACTTAAAACGTCAGCAAAACTTTGGATATTTCTTTTTTCCTCGTCGCTGTAGATTTTATTATTTTAGAATAAGATCTCAATATTTGAATTGGCAGGACATTTTCTTTCTAAAAACATCCTCTTAATTTCAAATTGGTAATATGATATGAATTTTTATTATTATTCAAAAAAAAAAAAATAGATAAAATGTTGGAGGAAGGGTACACAGTTTTGGGATAGTTGAGCATATGATGGGGACTTGCCATCTATTCTATCTTGTTCCACAGCTGTCAAACCCGCCTCCCTCCCTCCATTTATTAATGTGTGTCCCACTCTTTACTACCACCATCCCTACTAGTATAGTACTACTGCCATTTTTATTTTTGGATATCCTTTTACCATCATTTCCTCATCATCCATTGGTTTGGGTTTTTTTCGTAATACATACTTCAATTAATAAGTTTGAATCATATATTAATTATAGTTAATTTTAAATATAAGGTGATTTTGCTTTACTTGGTCCAAATTTAGGAGAAATTATTTTGACTAATTATGAATTCAATTCTTCATTGCTATATATTCACGTGAGCTATGTATACGACTTTTTCTGATTTTGTTTGAACATAATATATTTTTGTGTGTTAAAAAGATTAAAAAAATATTCAGCTGTTATTAACAAAAAAATGTGTTATAGTATACGAATTTTGTGGTACAAGTCAAAAATTCGTGAAACCAATTTTAAATGAACTATTTCTTTGTTAATTATGAATTGATATCTTTATTGCTACTACACATTGGAGTATTAAAAACTGTTAAAAAAATAATATGACCATTTTAGCTATTATTAATATGCATTTTTACACTCTCTCTGCCTGTATGTACCATAAAAATTAAAAACCAAACACAACTCATAATGGTCTCAAGCCCAAAAATGTTAACACTAAAACAACTATTTATGCAGGAACTAATCATGAAAATTTTGGTTGGAAAAAAAAAAAAGAATAAGAAAAAGAAAAAGAAAGAAAAAATAGGAGCTCCAAATTAGTTGAATAATGGTTAGCAAAATGAGAAAGAACGAGGAGGATCCATCCAGGTGACACTTTTAGCCCTTATCTTCAACTCATCCCAATATTCAGAAATCCATTATTATAGAAAATATGAGTAGAATAATGCTATTCTTTTCCTTTGTCATTTCAAGACTAGTTTCATCGTCTTGTCAACATCACATTAATTAATTAATGAATTTAATATTTCTTCAAAGAAATATTAATATTTCAAGAATGTATGCATGAGACAGGCTCTCATGGTTTTGATGACTTTTTTGTTATACCAAGTAAATTATTTAATTAGCATTCAAAATTTCTTGTAACAGTATGTTTGGGGTTTGTCTTTTTGTGATGCACCCAAAAGTTAAGAGGTTGTGTTTCCTTCCTTGTTCAGGTATGAATTTACCACACAGTCCTTTTAATCCAAAATTATATAGTACTACTACTACTACTACATGGTATTATCCTCTCCAATATATATATATATATATATGTAAATTAAATAATAATGTAATGTAATGGAGAGGCAGTACGGTTGTCAAGCTTTATCATTGCAGAAAACGATAGATATCTTATTGATAATAATTACTATTATTAATATTATTTAAAATATTTGTTTTTTCTCACGGTGCGAATGTTGGAAGCATGGAAGCAAAGCAGAGGCCGAGAATGGCGGCAAAACAATTACTACTAAATTCCAACCTCAACCCCACATCCATTCCTCTTTAAAATTAAATTAAATATTTTTTCCTTTTAGTTTTTTCACACACACACACAACACACAGCACTCTCAAGCACAGTAGATTTTTCTGTACAAGTACTTTCTTTCAAGGGGGGGGTTTCCTGTTTTTCTTTTTATTAATTTTTGTTTTGGTTCCCCATAATAAATCGTGGGACTCCGTGTTTTTTGATTTTGCTGTTTGGTTGATTAGTTCGAGAGAGAGAAAAAGAAAGGGTGTATTTCCATATAAGGAAAGGGGTGCCGCAGCTCTATGGAAAAGGGAGCTACCGTGAGGACTAATGGGTTTAACATTTCCGACAATAAATTACTGCTGTCTTCCAACAGTGATGAAATTGTTAGATTGATGAAGCAGAAGCTACACCACCCCCACCCCCACCCCCACCCCCACCACCACAGTAGTGATGAAGAAGTATTCCCCTCCAAGATTTGGATGGACCTCCACCGTCACCGTCCAGTCGACGCCGGCGGAGCTAACGAGGCGGCGGCGGTGGGCCGTGATGACCCATCATCTTCTTATTCCACCACCACCACCGCCCCACCCTACAAATCCCTAGGTAAAAAAACATAACTACTTTTTCTTGTTTCTCTTTCCTCTTTGAATGATATTGGAATATACAAAAAAGATTTTTGGAGTAAATGAGTGAAAGAGAAAGGTCATTGCATATTTGACTCTTTCTTTTTTTTATTTTTCCTTATCTCCTCTTTGCTTTTTCTTTCATGTGTGAAAACGGAGACAGGTGGAGGAGGTATGGCGGCGGCGTTTCCATTCACATGTGCACAGTGGAAAGAGCTGGAAAGACAAGCCATGATTTATAAGTACATGATTTCCTCTGTACCGGTGCCCCCCAATCTTCTCTTCCCACTCTCAAGAACTGATAACTATTCTCCTTCCTCCTGTAAAATTAAACTCTTACTCCTCTTTTCTTGATTTTCCATTTTTTTTAATTTAAAAAAAAGAAAAAGAAAAAAAAACTAAGTTGTTTGTGATTAATTTGATTATTGAAGTGGTGTACAATGGTGGAGGGTATTCGAAAAACGGAGATCTGGAGCCCGGTAGATGCAAGAGGACAGATGGCAAGAAATGGAGGTGTTCTAGAGAGGTGGCTCCCGGCCACAAGTACTGCGAGCGCCACCTTCACAGGGGCCGCCCCCGTTCAAGAAAGCCTGTGGAACTTGCTAAAAACGACGCCGTCCTTCTTCCTAACAAGAAAACACGCCTCCAACACCAACATCTCCCAATCTCCACTCCCACTACTTCCCTACACTTAGCTGCTGCTTCTGCAACAACAACAACTACTACACTTCCTAAATCAGATCCCACCATTTCTTCTTACAAGGGTTTCAATAGGTTTGTTTATTTTCAGCTTGAGCTTATATTAATTTTCTTGGGTTCTTTTTCATTAATTATTTATTCAAAATTATTCATTATTAAAAGGGATATGGGGTTTGGATTTGCAAACGAGGGGTCTTCAATTTACGGCTCGACTCCCATTTTCCATCAAGATTACTACATGGATCAACTCCAACTGAATATGCTTCCTTATAATCCAACCATGGAAATCGGGCCCCAAGCAACCGGTTTCATCGATGCTTGGTCAACTGACAATCTCAATACCAACAACCAAAACAACAATGGCAGCAACGAATACTCGTTATCTTGGATGAACCGTGGAGATTTCTCCCCTTCGCTCGATTTATCCATAGCCATGGCTGCCGGGAACTTCATAGACTCCGAAATGGGGAATGTCCGAATGGGGGCCGATCACGAAGAGAACACCATCAAGGATTCGGATTCGAGTATGCCGAGCCCTGTTTTTTGGGAGCCGTTTGGGAGAGGTGGGCCGCTTGCGGAGGCTCTGCAGGTAACTTCCCCTCGTGAATGTTCTATCGGCACGCCAGCTACTACTGTTTCATCGCCTTCCGGGGTTGTTTATAATAATAATAATAATAGTAATAGTAGAACTGATCATGGTAGTGTTTGCAATAGCCCTACTTTCCACAGGTTCAGTTAGTTTTACATTAGAAGATAAGCATTCTCTGTTTTTATTTTTTTAACTGTTTTGTTAGAGGGAATACAATTACAGTAAGTTGAGCTTTAATGTTGAAAAGCTGTGTTTGGATGAGAGGACATATTAATTTTGTATCCCCACCACCAACTATGGTCATCTTCTTGATTTATTTATCACCGGGCCAGTTTTAATTTTTTTTTTTTTGTCGGCAAATATCTGTTCATTACTCTGTTTATATTTGGTATTTATGATTGATGACTGCGATCAAATTGTGCAAGAATGCAAGTATTTATGGTGCCGCCATTACCCTGTTTCGAAGAGCTTACTCTATAGCCTGATAAGTCCAGATTCGTCTTTCGGGCCCATTGTAATTGTTCTTCTTTCTAAGTCTTGGGCTTCTAATACATGGGCCTGACTCATCGTTCGGGCCCATTTTAATTGTTCTTCTTTCTTAAGTCTTGTGCTATTTTTGCAGCCCGTTAAAAAACCCAAAAGTTAAAGAGAAAAAAGCGCATACTACCAAAGTAAAAGCATTCATTCAGATGAACATGTTTTTGCATCAGAACAAGATTAGCTAGCTTGGTGACAAAAATCTTATTCCGTGTAATAACATGTAACATTAGACCTTTGCCCTTGGCCAAATTGGTCAGAACGAAAGCCCTTGTACGTTTGGATATTCGGTTTATCATCCGCATTAATATAGGCATGTTCCGGAACAGGGAAAGATAGTCGTTTCTTTGCTGATGAACCCGTTTGATCTCCTCTTCTTGGGCTCAAATTAGGCCTCTGCCTCGGTGTACTAAGTGACCTAACTCTAGCTATGGCTGATGCAGTGGCAGCCATGTAGCTTGGCTGAGGCAACGAGCAAGAACTCTCGCTCATACTCATTCTGTGTAAGTAGATCGAGCGTGAAGTTGGCGTTTCAGCTGTTTGATAGTTTGTTTCCCTTGCTCGATGACGCGGGCTGCAAGAATGAACTTTAACGGACTCTATCTTTGACGAGGATGGAGTTCTGGGTGAGGTGTATAAGTAGGGTGAAGAGGTGTCGATTTCAACGGTCTTTATTGGATCCGTTCGAACACACAAGTTCCGATCCTTTCTAACAACCCCTGTTTCTGGATGGTTTGTTTTCCAGCTGCCTGAAAATCTCTTGTTTTCTTCTTCTTCGAATTCTTGATAGTTGTTGTATGGAAATTGATCCTCGTCGCCGAGTGTCCGAATCTATAAAACCGAGCATAATAAATGAGAAAAATAGCAATAGATACACACGCAGAAAAGAAACAAGAATAAGGATAGAGATGAAAGAAAGAAAAAGAACCTGGTTCGACAAGATATGAGCGAGTGTGTTTCTCTGTCTGAGCGAACATTCTTCGGCTTTGTCTATCAGAGTTTGAATCTCGTCAAGCGAATGCGGATTACACGAAAGTCTATTCGTATTTCTAGACTGCCATACCAAAAATAAATTGTTGTGTAAAGCCATTTACAAATTAGAATCAACACATAAAAATAAATAATCAAAATATTATATACAAGAAGTACTCACAACGGAATTTGCTTCACAGGAAAGCCGCCTGCGTTGATCGCATACGAGAGATTGAACACGGACGAGAGATTGGATACATTGGAGAGTCATCTTTGCTCGCTTACGCACATTGTATCCTCTTACTAGAGCTTGCAATTTCACAACGCCTTTCAATGCCAACAGAGCTCTCCTTGCCTTAAAACAAGACAGCAAATTAACCTTACTTTTCTAGAAAATTCTTGTGTACAAATATGTCTAGATATGTATAATAATACGTTAAGATTATTACTAGGTATCCTCTGAAGATGGCCTGTATACGAACAGCAGCACGGCGTTCTTCGACACAAATGGATGATCGTCTAAGACGAATAGTATCTACTGCAGCTTCTTGTGCAGTTTCAACTGCGCGTCTTTGATCAGATACACAAGAGTTTTCCACCAAATTTGCTTCTCTGTCTTGTGTGTTTGCGCTAACAATAACGGTACAAGAATTTGAACCTTTGGCTACATTGTGCTGTATAGTAGTTTCGAGAGGGGAATTCTTACGGAATATCCATCTCCTCTTTCCTCTCTTCTGCACAAAAAAAAAAAAAGAAAAACTCACACAGTCAATTCATCGAACACTATACGATCAAAGTTTATTATTATATGTATAAATATACCTTTTCTTCTTCCTCGTGGTCATTGTCATCTCTTCTTCTACTGATGCTCCTCTTCTCACCATCGTTGGCAGGGGATCTAAAAGCCTTCTTCACTGCATTTAACCAAGAATTTCCATTGTTCTTTCCCAATCCCATTTGAAGAAGGGTTCTTCCTAATTTACTAATATTTCTTTTACTTTTCTTATTTTGGTAAATAGAAAACTCAGCCGAGAGGTGTGATCCTTATAGTAACCAAAGGGAGGCTGCTTCTTATAAAAATGGTAAAGAAGACGTAAATAATGTATGTATAAACAAATAAAGAAAAAAATGATAATGTCAGAGATGTTTGCAGACAAAGCATGAAACGAATATATATTTCTTTTTACCCTTTCTTCTTTCTCGAGACTGCTGAAAGCTGCGGAAAGAAAAATGCGAGGAGGGATTTCTTTTCTTCTTTATCCTTTATTTCTGGAATTTGTAGGAACAATTTCTGATGGAATCACATGTTACCTCATGATTTTGGCAGAGAAAAGCAATCCAACAACTACTGTTCTTCTGGGGATCAGAGATGAAGAATTATGAATTACGATTACTGTTTATTATAGCCCATGTTCAACAATGATTCACTCTATTTTGTAAACTATTGAAAATTGAAATACATATTTTTACTTTTCCAATTTTGCTTGATGATTGGATAAAATGAATTGAATTTACCGGAATTTATTCAAATTGAGGTGAAAGTTGGATGGATGAATTAAAGTTAGCCAACGTAGAAAAAATTTCACACTCATTTTATGGGCCCATTATAATATACATCGAAATTATAGGCAAGCCCAATAAGAAAGCCCTAATGACAAACTGGATAGAAAGATGTTATTTTACATAAGGGCCGATTAAATCAGGCCCAGTGAAATGATCATTCGCGAATAATCTAATTATGTAAGTTTTCAACCGTTCATTCGATTAAATAATCACCCACTAAGTACACAAAAACATCGGTGTTTGTGATTGTTTATAGATTTACGGTTGGATTTTATACGTTGTTAATAACCAGATGTAACATCTAACTCCCCAATTACCCGTACGAGGTTCTTCTTTTGATTGTATACTAAATCGATACACACAAGTTGAAACTAATATACTCGATCGCGTTTATTGAACTGTTTAACTAATTAATGACACTAAACTGATTATGATTTATGAGAGAAAAATTCAAAATCAGTCTAGTGTCACATGCATACATACACCATATATATATTTACCTTATTTCTATAGCTAAAAATTATTCAAACTCATTTTCTTCAGGAATTGGCGCAAGGCGAGGCTTCAAACAGTTACGATTCGTTGAAGCGCCAACCGAAGAAGAACACGTTTTATCGACCCCCAAGATAATTTTTTCAAAAGACGTCTTGTTTGACAGCAACTCTTGAAGTTGCTTCTTTGTAATCACAACTTTAATCCTCTTGACAGAAGACACACCGTTTGGCTCGGGTTCGGGTTCGGGCTTGGGCTCGGGCTCGGGCTCGGCGGCTTTCACATCAGTTGTAACATGATCGGTAGCTTTATTACAAGGATGAAGATAGTATGTTTTGCCCAGTTGTAACTCAAAATTTGGAGGAAGATTATTATTGTCTGAAAATTTTCTTGATGACGTCACCACAAACCGGCTTTCAAACTTCGTCAGCAGTTCCTTCACCGGAAGTGGAGCTGTGAATTCTACAATTTTGCCATCCGATATTTGAAAAATATTTATGCTTCTTCTGTTTCTTGATAATCTAACACATGGCTTTTTTATTAGTGTACGGAGAGAAATCAAATTCCCCATATTTTTGCAGAAATAATTTTATCTAGGAAGTAAGAACAAATCTGCCATCCTATATGTATATATATATATAAGATATATAGTATATACGGTAGTCAAAGAAAGATACTACTTTTTTGCATGCCCGTGAAGAAAGAGGGGGCAAAGTGTAATTAAATTAATTGAGACTTCAATTTTCAACACGCATGCAAGGGGGGGTTTCAGTTAGTGGATGGTCAGCCTTTTTGCTTCAAATGTACAAGCACCTAAAGCACAGTGTACTAGTTGATGGTCCTACAAATAATAAGAATTAGTGAAAAAAAGAGAAGCAGATATTTCTTTTTTATTTTTTAGCAGAAGCTTAGGTATTATTAATGAAGTGGTGGAGACCTAATTTTGCTATTATATAGTATTTAATAAAAATTATATCTAACTTATGTCCCAATTAAAACGTTTTCTAGAAACAATTATTTACATGTACAAAGACAAGTTTGATAGGTGTACTAATGGAAGCTAAGGAATTGTGTCACCACCTCTTTTCTTTTCTTTTTTTAATCCACATTCTTAATTGAATATTGGAGATATATATAAATATCAAATAATTTAAATATTTAAAACTTTTAGATGAATAAGCAAATTATTACCAGCTAATTAATTTCAAGAAAATATATAATTAATTACTTATATTAAGACATGTTACCTAATAATAACATGATCTTTTGTTGGGCTGGTTCCAAGCTGAGGTTTAAATGATATTTGTGGTTTAGGTTGAAATAGGAATGAAGGATCGGTTGGCAAAATAATAAGTATGTAGAATTAATTAATAGTTATTAATTATATATATTGCCAAAAAAATTGGTGAAATATTAATATAATTTTTTTTAAATTGTAGTTGTTTGTTATTAATTAGGTGTTTCTAGGTAGGTAGGTACATATATTACTAGGGTTCCTCAGACAAGACAGCAATCATTACCTTTAAGAGACAAAGATTTTTCCATTCACTTTGTTACGTTTGCAAGAGAGTGGTTTAGGAGACCAAACTCCACTAGTTGATATTCTTTTTCTTTTTCTTTTTTCACTAAACACAATTACTTTTCATATTAATTAAATAATTAAATTAGATTTAACACTTGTTCTTGTTTATAGGGGAAAATGGAAATTATCGCATATAAATTCCACTCACCATCTTCAATGGAGAAGGCCCTAGTACATATATATACATATATATAATACAGAAGTATAAAGCAGAAAATAGTTTTTTCGATACGGCAACGAGAAACGAGCATTCATATTTTTTAACCACGAATCAACGGAAAAAACGAGACATGAATTTTCGAATTCTTTCAACTTTGAAGTTGAAAAGGCATGAAATGGTATTAGTGTTTAGAGAAAAAGATACTGCCTAATAAACTCAACATAATATAATATGCAGCATAATGAAGCCACAGCTTAAGCCTCGAAATCGATCATACTCTACGAGTTTAACAGCCAACCATACATCTCGTGTGGGTGAAAATACCGGCCGAGACACCATAACGGAAGGGGAAAAAAAAGAAAAAAATATATATAACTAAATAAAACATAGATAACATGTACTTATAGAAAGTATCAGTTTCTATGCATATATAGATATATAAAAGAGAGGTGGTGTCCATAACAAGATCAGCCACATGAGAGAGTAACTCATCCAACGGTTTCAGTGCACAGAGATTTAGCGCGGTGAACGGGGTCGGACTGGAGTCTTTGATGGGCTTACCCTGTATTTATGGGATTAAAAATGAAAATTATTTTTTTACGAGAAAATAAAGTTTTATTACAGGAACAAATGCAATAGGATGAAAATGGAAATCGAACCTTATAGGCAGTGATCCTAAGACAGCTCCGCTGCAGTTCAGAGCTCCTATTGCACTCTCAGCCTGCCAAACCGGAAAACAAATGTTTTAGTGCGGCATTCGTTTGTTGCACGTCCAAACTCCAAAATGGACAGCATAAATAACATCGATAGTGGAGTTACGAAAATACCCCACAAAAACTCAAGAACTCGAACTACAAGTATCAACCTAATGATCGAGTTCGCTAAGTTTCGCAGATCAAATATCACCACAGGAAAAGGGCAGCATCAAATTAAGGTTGCTGATGTCAGGTAAATTTGTTTACTAAATTAGCCGAACTTTAGGTGATGGGTTAGGAAACGACTGACATTAAAGGCAAGAGCTGCTAGTGAATCGTTATCCCGAAACAACCGTTTAAACGGAACTCTAACATAAGCATTCACGAAGCATTTCTTCACTACCATTCACATCTGCTTATATGCTCCGATACAGACAATTTAGAAACATAATAGCTAACATATACAACCTTCAGTGCATCCAAACTCTAATAGGTTGTCTCCAGCTCAAGTTGAAAAGAGAGACGATCTTCAGTAATAATGATAATATCAGTTGTGAGGTCAACTACATATACGATAACTTGTCTAACAACGAAAAGGGTGGAAAGCGTAAATCTTTATTTCTCATGTGACTAAATATGGATTGTCTTCAGCTCAAGTGAGGCTAACCGTAATAATCACTTGCATAAAGACAAAACAGTCCCATACAGATTCTCAGACAAGAAATAGATCAGCACAAAACTAATTTGGCAAGAAATTAAGGATTTTATTGAGAGCGACTACGCAGAAAGAAAATTTTAGAAAAAAATTAATAAATAATGAATGAGAAACCTGTGACTCTTACCACAACGAACTCCACGAAAGCTATGCGTGTTGAATGATGAAAATCACCAAGCAACCTCAAACGAAGAACCTGAGTCAACAGATGCATTCCATGAAATTATCAAGATTTCAAGAAATGATTTTTATTTTTTTCAATAGCTATCATAGCAGCAGCTACAAACCTCTCCGCAAATAGACTCAAAGAAGAGCTTGACATCTGCTTGAGTGACCTGCATCGGAAATACAAACAATTAAACAAATCAATCAATACATGTCTAACTCGAGCGATATGCCAAGAGAGGATAATAGTGAATCCCGAAAGATACCTTTTTGTCGATGTTTGTACAATAAATAGTTCTTGCACACATCTCCCTTTCATCCTCGGACTAGTGCGACAGAACGACAAAATTAGTTTTTTCATTATAAAAAAGCAAATAACATTTGAACTTCGAACTTCGAACACGTGTTGCAAAATTAAAATTTGAGAAAGGTAGCAAATTTCTCACCTTTGGCAAGAAAGTTGGATTTACAGGTGCAATTGCAGTCTTGGAAGGTAGTACTCTCACCGGATAAAACCCAAGCATAGTTCCCGCCAAACTTAAAGCATTCATCGCCCCTTCTGCAAAGTTAAACGAGACACACAGTGATGTAGTAGTAGAAGAAATTGGTGAAATACATAACTTGATGATCGGAACTGACAATCAACATACCCTCGTTAGTGAATTCAACAAAGGCGAAACGAAGTACAGAATTGGGGTCACCACAAATTCGACAATCCACAACCTTCATTATGAACAGCAAAATGAAAAAACGAGACCATACTCCATACTTGTAAATTCTAACTTGGGAATTGAGATTGAAATACAGCTGTAACACATATATTTATACCTGTCCACAACTAATAAAAAGCGCTGCAAGATGCTCCTCCGTAACCTGCATTCACATCAAAAAGATAGGACAAACTATTATACACGGTCGCCATTTTCGAAAATAAAACGATAAAGAATTAATGAAACACAATCATAAAAGCCTCTCTTTTACCTGTTGATCAATGTCGGAAACATACACTGTCCTCCTAATCACATCTTCTCTTTGAGCCATGCTCGTTCGGCTATTCATCCTCTGCTTTCCATTAGTATAGCCATTTTTCTTCTGTAAGACCATGAAAATAACTAATTAGCCTCCCCATATACTAAACAGGCAGGAAAAATAGAAAAAGAAAACAGCAAAAAGGATTCTTTAAGCAGAAACTAACCCTTCTAAAAGAATTCCCAGTAGTCGGAAGGCCTGGGCTAACATGCTGCTGCATAAGAAACCCATTACCATTATACCCAAATTGCCCCGCCACAGCTGCAGCCATAGCTGCGGCGGCTTGTGGAGACACAACCAAAATTCTATGACCACCACCACCACCAATGGCGGTGTGAGAAGGCGGCACAAATTCTTTGGCCATGGGGTTCAACTTGGAAAGCATCTCCTCTAAATCCCTCATCTCCTTCTTAAACCCATCTCCTCCATCATCGTCCACGTCAGCTTTCTTTTCCATCGGGGCTCCATTTCCGTTGATCGGGAACTGCTCGAGCTGCGGATGGTGGCCTTTGGAAACCTTCTGCTGCAACATATGGAAATTCTGATCAGTGGGCTTAGTTGACTTTTGGTTGTTCCCGGCTGCTTTCGTCGACTGCTGGTGGTGGTGGTGGTGATGGTGATCCGCCGCGAAATCGTTGAGTGGGGCGTCGCCGTTCGATGACGTCATCGTGTCCGCCCCGGCATTCTCCACCACCGCCATGATCAAAGAAACCTTCCGCGGCTCTCTCGCTTATTAGCACTTCTTCCTTTTCTGTCTGTATATTTCTTTTTTATTTATTTATCTGCACGGGTCCTGTCAGAAAACAACAAAAAGATCAAAACCCAAAAAATTAAATTCTCAGTTCGAACGGATCAAAGCTTAAAATTTCTGACTTTAAAATGAGTTTTAAAAAATGTAATAAAAATAAAAATAAAAATAGAGCCTTTTTACCTCCTGATGTAAGTTCTAAATGGTGTCCATTTACCCAATAAACTGGAAGATCGTGAGTAAGGTATCAAGGAAGATGATTGCAAAATAAAGGATGAGCCAATAACAGAACAAACTTTTTCTTCTTTTTTTCCGCTGATTTTTATACTATTTCCAAGAATATTTTACTGAGATTGAGTCTGCAAGGAGAAGATATATGTATATAGAAGGAAGGAATTGTACACTGTACATGTATGTATAGAGAGAGAGAGATGAGAGAGAAAACAGAGCTATGGATTTTTCTTCGGATCTTCTGTTTAAGCTTTTATTATTATTAGTATTCACTTTTTAGTTTATTTATTTATTATACTTTATTGTTAAGCTTGTTGGACTGGTTCAGAAACGCCCAAAAATATATGATGAAAACTGGTCAGGAGAGAAGGACCCTACCTACTGTGTGACATATTATAATTCAGAATAATTTTAGTTTTCTTATTTTAAAATAATTAAAAAATTTAATCTTTTTTTATGTTTGTAATATAATTAATGAGGAATCATGGTTACATGATTGAGGATCATCTCATCTCATGTGATCCATGCCATTCATGTAAGTTTGATGTGTATGGTAATCATGTTATGTATGATGGATGGTACGTGCATCTTTTAATGTTAGAAAAAGACTTAAATCTTGTTGGTTTAATTTGGTATTTTATATTTTATATGAGAATTACTATATACTTTTTTCTAACTCTCTTTTCATACTACTTCCAAAAGACCCGTTACATGCTGTTACACAAAAAAAAAAAGACACGGTATACTCAACGCCGTTAAGGATTTATCTAGTTTCATTAACTACCAAATATTTAGAATGCGAGTTTTTTGTACCAAAAAAAAAGAGTAATAAAACGACAAAATATGACCTAATATTCTCAAATTAATAAAATATTGGGGGGCAAATGAATTTCACTAATCCCAAAGTGAATTCTTAAAAATAAGAAATGGATGAGTAGGTTGATGAATTATTTATAGTGGGAACTGTACTATACTAAACTATTTTCCGCGTGGTGGCAAACGTCAGCAGGAGCTGCCACGTGTATCATGCCATTTTTTACAATCAGTCTTTATCCGCAGAGCAGTGTACAATCAGTCTTCTTGAAAAGTAAATAAAGAATTTACTCCAACATACATATACGGCGTCGTTCCATAAAATCAATTAAAAATAAAAATAAAAATTTGTCTCATTATCTAGAAGCCTCGTTTTCTGGTATTTGTTGTCGTTTAATTGGTAGGTGGCAACCTTACCTTAATGACTCGCGTGTGTGCACCCTTTTCTAATGGGATTTTTATACTATATTTACCTCTCACAAGTCACATCAATATAATGTTAATTTCAGTCAAATATTAAAAATTGCATTTCAATAAATATAATATATAATAAATAAAATGAAGAGAGAAAAAAAGAATCACGTTTTTGTAGGCTAGGGAAGTAGGGCAAGGGGAGGTTAAATGAACATATATCATGTATTAGGGTTTTAGGTAGTATAACTAACTGCATAAGACAGACTTCTAATTAAAGAAAGTTGGACATCACCAAACAAAGCCTTAACCTTGTTTAGCTGTTACTGAGTTGTTTTTCTCTATTTTTGTGTTTGCCCTTACTAGCATAATTTAATGCCTACAAAGATTCGTCTTATCCTCAATTTAATTTCGTTTCATTACTATTAATTTTGCCTACTCAAATCCAATTCTGGTAATTAATATATATTAAATTAAGCAAATAATAGCCATGAAAAAGACGAATGCAGAACAAATCACGCATACTTTATATGGAGTATTATAAATGTATAGTATATGGTAAGCTTTAAAGTAGTTTTTATTAGAAATTGATATCTTAGTATAATTATATTTATATCCACCAAGCTTATAACTTAAGAGATACATAATTTTTTAATTCAAACGGTATGTTCCACGACTTTATAATTCATGTGTCTTGTGCAGTCTTACGTAGTATAATCGAAGCATTTCAATAAAATATCGAATCAAACAAGGACCCAACTACGGCATGAAGAAAACAAACTAACTTTTGCATTTATTTAAATTTACAAATATTTAGCACTTACCGGTAAAATTGGAGATAGTATGTCGGGGTGTACGAGTGGAGTTCCAGAAAACTCCATTGCAGGCTTTAAATCTCAACCAAACATATGTACGAGATTGGCGAAACCAATTCAGCTTCATAATAAATGGTGGTTCAGAATTCGGCCCACTTGGCTCTCACATGTTATAACTCATGAGCACCATGCATATGTACCTGCCAAAAAGTACATATTTTCATATCAACTACTTGCCAACTATCTCAAGAAAAAGAATGAACAACAAATTCAATCAAATAATTCATCCACATCTAACTTATAATGAAAACTACTTCGGCTGATTTGCCACAAAATAACCAATTATAATTAGAAACAAGAGGAAAGAAAGTTTCATGTATCAACATAGAAGTTTACCATAACCATGTTTTACCACCACCGAATCCGCAAACGAATTTCCTTCTGCAACATGGCCGTATGAGAAGTACTCGCAGACCCAGCAGTGTCTTTGTAAACTTACCGAATAGCAGTCATGAAGTTCAATCTGAAAATGTTAAGACATACAAATGTGAGTTTAGAATCTGTATATCCTACAACTACAATTACGAAGTCGAGTAGAAGTCAACAGTGAGATCCAAAATGAGTGTCCTGCAATAGCAGTTAAAGAGTTGAAAATCTGATCAACGTACCTAAGTTCATTTGCCAATGACAGCTGGAGGTGTCCCTTACTTAACGCGGTTTTGCACGAACTGCGTTCTATAGATAGGAGTGTTTGCCATTAACCCATGAGCAGATAAATAATTGGGCTTCCTTTTTTTTCCATAAATTAACAAATTTTGGTAACCAAAATGTTGATCTGCTATAGAATTACTAGTTAGGAGGAAGTCTCTGGTTTATACTGGTAATGGTGACAGAGAGTGTTCTGGCTGTGATCTTTGTAAAAGTATCCCACAAAAGGGACAACATGGTGTTGAGGAGTCCTTGTACGGAGAAGACTTTAGATAAGATTTAAAATCCGAAGGATACTTGGGCATTGTGAATAAAATGCTAGGAGCTAATTTTCTAGCCCGTCTTAGACAGCACATACAATACCAGGAGGGTTTGGTCGGGAGAACACGCATAGTAACTGCACACCTTTCTAGCTTATGTCTCTGACTAACTCCATTACCATAGTTCATTCCTGAGCACATTGCATCTTCCTTTGATTCAAATGGCACAGCTGCTGAACAGAAATTGCATTGCTCGTTCACTTCATACCCCAAAATATCTTGTAATCTCCTGCGCAGAAAATTATAAATGCAAATCTTTTAACGAAGTGAAAGCTGAAAGTGTAGTGCATGGGGAGGGAAATTGGCAAACAGCAACAATGATAAAAGCAGTTCAAATGGGGGAAACTGCGAGGGATTACCTCTTCTCAACTTTTCTAACTTCTGCTGCAAGAAATTCAGAATGACCCTTTACATTTTCTCGATTATGTGAAACCCACTGCGCCATTTGTAGGAATCCATCAGGACTCCAGGAACCATTTTTTAGAACATCCATCGATGAATTGGACAGCAGACCTAAAATCGCAGAAAAACTAATACCCACAAGCCTTTCCAAGAGTTCGTTTTCACTGCCCAAAAACAACTCCGTCCATAAAGTTACCTGTTCTTCTTCGGCACCACTTAACCCTTCTAGGTCCGGCTCTTTGCTGCTCATAATGGCTGCTTTATAATCTTTAAGCATTACATGCCTGCTGATAATGTTGATGAGATGTAACTGCCGGGATGAAAGCTTCGGCAGAAATTCAAAGATGTCAGACAGCAATGTGATAGAAATGTCAAACTGGGACCTTAGGTAAGATTTCAGCCATTTGAGTAGGACATGCCCTACATACTCAGGTGCAGATTGCTTGAAGGCCAGGAGAGCTGCCACAATATCCCAAATGTTCAGAAGCCTGTTGAGATTTTCATACTGATTCAAGGACCATAAGATGTTAGTTTCCCAACAAAACAGTTCTTTCTCAGGGAATCCAGGAAAATATTCACTGTTAATATCTGGAGATGTGGAGGAAATGCCCAGTTGCTGCCCTCCAATCCAAAGGAACTCGACAGCAGCTTTATGAGTTCTGAAAATTTTACAAGGTTTATACATTATTGCAGAATAGGTAAATAGACATTGAGCTATTACACTTCAAAACTGCAGTTAAAGTTCATCCGTCAGTTTTTCCCAAGGGTCATGTTAACAACTACGATTTGCAGACTCATCTTGTCAACAATCTTTGACAACATGATGCATAAAAGTAAGGGGGGTCATAAGGTGCACTTGAAAGGGCGGCGGGTGAGATTAGCATGGCATGCATGTATGATGTAACAACAATAAGCTACCAGCAGATAGAAGTCTTGAAATTTACCTTGCCTGGTACATGGGATGTAAAAGATCAGCATCAAATTTGCGAGCCTGCAAAGAGGCACAAATTTTTAGGACTATTATATGTAAGACAGCTATAACGCCATCTATTCTGCATAAGGCTAAGCCTGATTTTTCTCTTTTCTTTTTGCTTTCACTGTGTCACATGGAAGCATACTAGAATTGGCTTCGAGTAAAATTTAGTGTATAACTGATAAGAATCGGACTAGTAACTCAATAGGGTGGAATTAATACAATTTCCTACTAGAAGAGAGATGGAAAGATACAATACAATACCATGGCAATTGCCAAGTTTCCAGGGGATACCGCCAGACCAAAGCAAGAGTCAAATACGTAAGGAGCCTGTACAAAGTATTAGTATTAGTTGGCAAACAAATATGTAAATAACGAAACTAGGCAAATAAATTCATGCCATACATCGGGTGAGTACTTCAAACCAGGACTAGTGGAGGGCATGGGCACTTCCGAGAGAGAATTCCCAACGAAAATCCAGCTCTTCATGGAGTTATCCTGAAATCAATCAAAACAAGTGATAGACGAACTGATGAGATTATGGCTTTATCAATCACATGAGATTCCTCTTGAATGAAGTATTTTTATAAGTAGCATTGACTGACGATGAGACAAATAAAACTCTGGTTTCTAATATCTACTGATGCGAACTACTAAGCAGAACACATTTAGCGTTCAGGCATCAAAAAATGCCACGTAGCACCATCAAAATTAAATATTGTACCTGGCTGCAGCTGTACAAACAACGCCCATCAAAAGCCCAAGCTAAACCAGTAACCTGATGTTTATTTTTGGAAATACATTAATGGCCATTCCAGAGGAAAAAATCAAAATACCAGTAGGGAGAACTTACAATGCGGTCATGTGCATCATAACAACCATTTTTTTCAAATTTTCTGGTGGCCATCTCAAGCATCCACACTTCAAATGAACCAGAGCCTTTGCCAATAGCCAAGAGCAACTTCCCCGGTGAATGTGAGGGTACAGTAAGTGAAAGTACAGAGATTGTTGCAGAATCGACAGTCATAACCTAATTACATGAATAATCACCAATTTGAAGAGAGAGGATTTGATCAGAATTTCTGGTATATCTATTTAAAAGGATAAGCAACCCAAACAGTGACATGGCATGCTGACCTCCTTCAACAAAGAAAATGAATCATAGATAACTTCTGATGAATTCAACAGTTTCTCACCATTTTCCAGCCAGATTTTCACTCTATAAAAAAAGGAGGGGGGGCAAATAATCAAGTTAGTCATCACATTTACATAAATACAAGGTCAAATTCTAAACTAGTCTTGTTCAGAATCTTGGACTATTACAGAGTATATTTAACAGTAATTGTTAATTGTTTATTTATACTGTTGTTTAATTTTATTCAAATAGGATTTCCATGAGGCTTCCTATGTGGATATCGCATGGTATTACTTGGATAGCTATAAATTCTGTTTTATTTTAGAGATGAGACATTGATTATCATTGATTAGCATATTCATTCACCTGCCATCAGAACTTCCAGTAGCCAATACAAATTGGGGTTTTGAAATATTAGGCTCGTACAATGCCCAACTGATTGCTGTAATCCAAGTCTCATGTGCCTTGAGAAGGCCGACAAGCGATACTTTACTTGAATATCTAATGTTATCAGTGGAATAGCTATCAGGTGCATGAATTCTCCACAACGAAATTCTACCACACTTCCCTCCAACAGCAAGAATAGAGCAGCAATTAGAAGAGTTGTGAGGAAGAGCAACACCATTCCCCAATGTCCCCAGGATTGGAGACCAAGCAACAGTAAGTGACATCAGCATTTCACTGCGAGAGGCATACTGCTGTATGGTTACTAATGGGAGATTGCAGTCTTCACTAGCTTTCTTCTGAGGCTTCCCTTTACCAGAAGAGACCCGAACAATTTGTGACATGTTAGTTCCTCCTAAATCGTCTGGATCTTTTGCAGCTACCTGATGAAATAAAAATTAACAGAAGCAACTGTGTAAATGAAGTTTTAAAATCAGAAATCAGTATGAAGAGAATTTCCAACTGGGAAAATTAGATAAATCATAAGTCAATGAACAGAGAGCATTACACTAGCTGTATTTCGTCTCCTTCTTTTGGAACCCTTTCTTAAACTAGAGACAATCAGGTCACCGGCAGATTCATGATCTGCATTATCTCTTTTCGGTATTGCCTGAACAAAGAGAGAGACCAAATCAAACTTCGACTATCTATGAGAGTAAAGGGACACCATCAAGATCATATCATCTGGAGAGTGTGTCAGAAATCTAAACTTACATCTAAATTTTCTGAGGATACAATTTGATACTCCTCGAAACTGGTACTCTTGAAATAATTATACAGCATTTCAGATATGTCCAAAACCTATGCAATTCAAAGTGAAGAAAAACTTGAAAATGTTAGTATCCACTAACATTAGAACGCAAACTAATCATAATTTCAAGTATGCTTGAGAAACTTGTACAACGTGTTAAGTATCCTTCAGCAGGAAAATATGCATACACACTGCTTCAAAGATGGAATGAGGCATAAGTAAATACGTAGAACTATAACGGGAAATCATCATACACTAGTATCCTTTCTAAAAAACTCATTTATTGCATACCTCTATCCATTCAACTGAAAACTCACAAGAAGGAAGTCGGTAAAGCTTTACATTCCCCCCAGTGGTGCAAACAGCAAGCAAACAACTGCATAATTCAAAATTATGCTATAATCAGCTCCATGGATGCAAGTAGTGTGCCACAATAAAAAAAATTAAAACAGGTAAAATAGATTATACTAGTACCCAGCGTTGTTAGCCAGACCCACAGGCGACCAAGAAATTGACCTAACAGAGGGACGAGCGTCCCGTGATAACTGACATGGTAGCAAGCACCCATTTAGCAAATCTGCACCTATTGCGGATGAAAAAAGAAAAAAATAAATACCACACCTCTTCAAACTCGAAACACATATGTTAATGCTAGAACCACAAAAGCTAAAAAAAATTGAAACCACAAATTTAGCTGAGATTAGACTTGTATCTGATTGGAAAAGTATACCTTCACAATCAATCACACCAATTGGAAAAGTCTTGGTTGATGGAATGGTAATTATACCTCGAACTCCAGGATTACCAGGATTCTAAACAAGCGGACAATATGATTAGCAAACAGTAAAAGCTGCCGATTCAAAAAACTAATTAAACAATATCTCGAATGACTATAATTCATCGCTAAAACTAAACAACAGCAAAAACATATAAATAAAACCATAAATTCTAAACAAGTGAAAAACAGGTATATAGCAGAACGATCAACCAATTTACTGACGGATTTGAAATTAACTAAGGAGAAGTGCAAAGTTTACCATAACTATAACACTGGTGCCGCAGGCCACAGCCACCAAGTTTTCTTCAGACCAAACGACGGCATTTGGATAAACGAGCGATGATCCGAGCACAGCGGATTGTAAGCGGGAAGACATTGTTGAAATTCGAAACGAATAATTGAAATTGAAGAACGAAATTGCTCAATAAATAAATAAGATTTAGTAATGGCGGGCAAAAGGAGATTTTGGCGGAGAAGAGTGCCGCAGTTAAGATTTCTATACAGTTTTATTTTGGGTGTGGTGCGGATTCGATGCGGCGACCTATTTCAAGGGGGTGTTCAATCTTCACGGTATCAGGGCTTAGGTTTAAATACCTTGAAGTTTAGAGGGCAAATAGTGTAAATACTGGGAAGATAAAGCGCTTTATGTGCAATTTATTTAGGACTACAATCACAACCTCCGCTTTATGTGAAATTTAGCCCATTAGTAATTGGGCCCTTTTCCGGCCCATTAATAATAGGGCCTTTGGTAAAAAAATTAAATAATGGAAAACTCTTAATTTATTGACTTTAGACTAAAGTCCGATTCAGGTCAAACAAGCCTGCCATTGAAGCCTTCTTTGCCATTGACTTGACTTCTGTAATTTTCTCCAGACGAATTATATATTATTACCCCTTTTCATTTATTCATTGACATTTTACGAAAAAGAAGAAAAAAAAAAAAAAAAAGCTAGATTAGGAGAATCTTTTTATGAAATTATTTGGAATTTATTGAAATTTCGCCATGCATATATAATATAAATAAATTACAACACCTTTTTTTTTTTAATTAAATAAAGGAGTTAGGCGAATTACGGCACGCTATTACGCGTAAGATATAGAGACACGTAAGGAGAAAGATGACACGTCATCAAATTGCTTATCTCCGTCCACACGTCAAAGTTAGGAAAATAAAATAATATTATTATATTCCTATTTGACGACGGAGAAACTTCCTTTGCCAATTCGATTAAACTTCCAGACCTTTCCATACAATTTCCCTTCTCGCTATAAATATTCCCCCCCTTTAAATATTTCCTAATCATCAACAAGTTCTTTATATAATAATACTTTGATCGGAAGAACAAAAAAAAAAAATTAAATTCACAGATATTAATAATATTTTTGTAGAAAATAAAAAAATTCAGCTATGTGGATGTCGATGTTCAGCTCATTCGAAGCGTTTGGCGCCGAGTCTTTAAGCCAGCGAGTCGCCCTTTCCCGGTCTCCGGCTTCGGCTTCTAATAATATGAAGCAAGAGCCTGCGGCTGCAGCCGTAAAAATTGATGATCTGAAAAAGGGCGAGGAAGTAAATTCATCTTCTCCGCCGCCGAAGAAGCCGGAAAATCGGCAGATGATAAGAGCGCCGAGGTTCGCTCCGGAGTTTGATGGGATTTATTGCTTCGAAACTATTATTCCCTATTGAAATTCGTTGGCTTTTCTTTTAATTTTTTTTTTATTTTTAATTTTTATTTTTGGGATTGATTATAATGAGTTTGGTAGTGGTATACGATTCTACTCTGTATATATTACTCGATTTAATATACGTATTCTTTTCCCTGTCAAAATTTGCTTTTCTATATCAATGATTTTTATTTTTATTTTAATAATTGTCGATTGATTTCTTGATTAAAACATCATGAATTATTAAAACAGTCTGAATTCACGTTAACACACCTTTTACACGTTTGCTGGATTTCCTGTCAAAATTAGATATGGGTGACTTGGCGGAATATTCGGCGAATTGGGTGTTGCACCTGATTATTTACGCCGGTGAATTAATTTAAATTGTAGGTTGTAACATCTAAATTCCCGAATATTCTCTGCAGTGTTTAAAATTAAGCGAATCCAACTCCGTATGATCAATAATGATGTAACAATTACGTAACAATTCGACAATAGTAATATAAGCAATACTCTTCTTTCATGTCAATGTCGAACTCAAAGTGTTCCTGGACAATAGTTTTCATCAAAAGAATTCACATGTAAGTGGAGTCCCTACAAGCATTCACATGTTATTATTATTAGCAATAGGTGGCAAATTCGAGACCGATAAGTCGTAAATACCCATGGGTAACCTTAGTATTTTCCTCGATAATGTTCGTCCCGATTGGTGTAGCTTTATCGTAAAGGAATTTTTCTGGGGGCTTTGTTGAAGGACACATGACCACAATTTAAATGATTTTGCCCTGTAACTTTTTTTTTCTGCAATAATAGTGTATATATGCACTATTGCTAGCTAGCACTCATCTACATCACTTGATGTGTAACGAATCTCTTGTAAGCTGTACTATGTATACTAATACATGCTATAAATTACATCGTACATCGTTTCATTTGTACGAAAATACAGAATACCACAATACATTATACATCTAAACTGCTATATATAGCCGTTGGGATGTTATAATATATATACATATATATATCGATAAGAATGAGAGGTGTTACGTGGTTTTTGGTATCTGCAGTACTACTTCTGCTCACTGCAAGTCTTAATGCTGTGGCGAATCGAGACGATGATACAAAAGTTAGTACTTTGTATCTATTGTTTTTCCTTAAGTAGTTATAATTAAACATCGTATATGTTTGATTAATTTAATTTCGGTGAAATGTTCGTTCATTGATTAATTTAATGATTGATGGTAATTAGAGAGAGGCTTATATTGTGTACATGGGAGAACGGAAGCACAGTGATGTGGAGCAACTCACCAAGTCCCACCATCAAATGCTTGCCTCTGTTCTTGGAAGGTATATATATTTATTTAAATTATTTTAATAAATATTAAATTGCTGCTCAAGTAAAATAAAACCCGATTCTCTCTGCATGTAAACGCAGCAAAGAAGCAACAACCGGTTCTATGATATATAGTTACCGACATGGATTCTCCGGTTTTGCAGCCAAGATGACGCGCTCTCAAGCCAATTACATTGAAGGTGTATAAGTACAACAAACTAAAGTACTGATCACAGAGCTGGAGATATAAATATTAAATGATTTATTTCACTAACAACGTAATTTATCTGGTCGTGTTCTTGTAGGATAATCGGGAGTTGTACAAGTCTTCCCGAATCGAATATACAAGTTGCACACCACAAGGAGTTGGGATTACCTTGGCCTCTCTACTTATTCCACAACAAATCTTCTTCATGACACCAATCAAGGATATAATTGGTGTCTTTGATACAGGTAATTAATTGTCACTCATTCATATCTTGTTTTTTTTCTTCTTTCACATAACATATTTTAAAAAATTCTGTTTGAAAATTTATTAATATTAGGAGTTTGGCCTGAATCGGAATCGTTCAACGACAAAGGCCTAGGCCCAATCCCACCAAATGGAAGGGCTACTGTCAATCGGGCCACCTTTTCAACGCCTCGAGACACTGCAACAAGAAACTCGTCGGGGCCCGCTACTTCATCGACGGGTTCCTCGCCTCACTAGGGGAACCATTCAATGCAACCGAAAACAACGAATTCATCTCACCGAGAGACTCAGATGGGCATGGGACCCACTGCGCTAGCACCGCGGGCGGCTCCCCCGTCAGCAACGTCAGCTATGACGGGCTGGCCCGCGGTACGGCCCGGGGTGGTGCCCCGGGGGCCCGCCTGGCAGTCTACAAGGTAGGCTGGCTAGGTGGGGTAGTTTCGTCTTCGGACATTCTTAAAGCCTTCGATGAGGCCATCCATGATGGAGTGGATGTGTTGTCTATATCCTTGGGGATTGATTTACCACTTTACCCCGAAGTTGATAAGAGGGATATAATCTACTACGGCTCGTTTCATGCGGTGGCTAATGGGGTAACGGTGGTTTGTTCGGCTGGGAATTCCGGGCCGGGATATCAGACGGTGGAAGATGTGGCGCCGTGGGTCGTAACCGTTGCCGCTAGTACTATAGACAGGTTGTATCCTACTCCAATTATGCTCGGTAATAATCAGACTTTCGCGGTAAATTTCAATGCATCTTGCACGTGTTAAACACAAACCCCGTATTTTTTTTTTTAAATTTTCTTTTTGGGGCAGGGTCAATCAATGTATGTGGGAAAAGATACAGGCTATGTTGAATTATTCTTTTACAGCGAACGAGAGCCAATCTCCGCACAGCAGTACGTAAAACCGAACAAATAATAACAATCAGCTCGTATCCCAACTTTGAAGAGTTGATGCTATATGACTTACACGTGGTCAATTGATCGTTTTTTTGCAGGTATTGTGAAGATATAACTGCCAACGACACGCAGGTAGTCGGAAAAGTAGTTATCTGCTTCACTGCAACAGGAACTGAGAGCAATATACTCACAGCTGCAGCTATTGTCCGAATGATCGGCGGATTAGGTCTTATTGCAACCAAGAAAACGTTTCAGGCCACCTCAAATTATTACAGTCCTTCATTCCCTTGCATTTTGGTCACCTACGATGTCGGGAGTCAGATTGTTGCTTACTTTCGTTCCACAAAGTCAGTGTACTATATATGTGTGTGTGTGTGCGCGAGCGTTTATTAACTTGATAATAATTCTAACACACTTTTACTACATTAATAAAAAGGGATCCGAAGGTACGATTAAAGCCGACAAAGACTTACATCGGCAAACAAGCTTCGAGCTACATTGCATCCTTCTCGTCTCGAGGTCCTAATTCTCTCTCCCCAGCAGTACTTAAGGTAATTAACACATATAACTTATATACAACTCCATTAATTAAAAAAAAACGAAATCTTACTCGGTCGAGGAAGATTACAAGGTGTTTTAAACAGTCGTAATTAATTAAATAACATACAGCCGGATATAGCAGCACCAGGAGTCGACATATTAGGAGCGTACATTCCGACTACATCAAACCCTAGCGGTTACTTATTCGAGTCTGGTACATCGATGGCGGCCCCACATATTGCCGGTATAGCTGCTTTGCTCAAATCTTTGCACCCAAATTGGTCTCCAGCTGCCATTAAATCAGCAATTGTCACAACAGGTTATTTATTTTAATTTAATTACAACTTTGTAGCAATATATATATATATATTTTCTGTCTCTATAACTTTGTTTTCGATGATCGAAAAAACTATTGCAGCATGGACAACAGATCCGCACTCGGGCGAGCCCATATCCGCAAAAGGAGACATACCCAAATTTGCGGACCCGTTCGATTATGGAGGTGGACTTGTTAATCCTAACGCAGCAAGAAATCCGGGGCTCGTTTACGATATGGGTACTCAAGATTACGTAAACTACTTGTGTGCAATAGGTTATACTAAATCTGCAATCGGTCAACTCACGGGTCAAACAAAGCCTTGTCTGAAATCGGGCAACTCAATTCTAGATGTGAATCTTCCTTCCATTACAGTTCCGAATCTTAAAGAACCTGTTACGATAACAAGAACAGTAACAAATGTCGGAGATCGAAATTCTAAGTACAGAGCTGTTGTTGTTCCTCCTTAAGGCGTTGTTGTGAAAGTGAATCCTACGTATTTGGTCTTTAACGCTAAGGTCAAGAAAACGAGCTTCACTGTCACGATTACTACACTGCATAAGGCGAGTACGGAGTACTTCTTCGGAAGCCTGACGTGGACTGACGTGGTGCACGAGGTGAAGATTCCTATATCTGTCAGAACCGAGTTTCCGCAGGTTTACGGTGATTAATTTTTTTCGTGACGAAACGAAATAAATAAATAAATAAATAAATAAGAACTTATTGCTGAAATCGATGTTGTTATTATTATGATTTGCTGCCCTCAATGTTTAAAGAACAGCTAGTTATTACAGTGGGAATTTTTTTAATTTTACAAAGCTGATTCAGTTATTACCGCGGGTTCCACTGTATCCGTTTCTCCGTTTCCTTTCGGAATAATAACCCCATAGCCACCGGCTTTTCTTCGGTAAACTATGTTAACCTCACCTGTAAAATAAAGACACATTAATATATATAAAAAATAAAAAAATATATATATAAAAAATAAATCGAAATGCACGTATATATACCAGTTTCCTCGTTCCGAAAACCATAGAAGTCGTGATCCAGATTCTCCAACTGCTCAACCGCCTCACTAACAGTCAAAGGCGGCATATCAAAGTACTTTGTCCTAACAATCTCAGCGATCACGGTATCTTCGTCTTCATCGGGAATCGCTTCTAAATCCTCTGCAGCCGGTAATTCAGTAGGTTCGGTTACATTATTAAAACCTTTGATATGGCGGCCGTGGTCGGAGTCTTTCTCCTTGATCTTTCTCAATTTTCGTTGAATCATAGACGAAACCAAATCGATACTACCGTAAAGCGACTCTGCATCCTCTTCTGCTCGAATAACTCCGTGTTTGTTCGTGAACAGAGTCACCTGTAATTTATTATTACGGACTCGATTGAGATAACATACTAATTCAATACATAAAAGAAAAATTAAAAAAACACGGAAAAACGCACTTCACATCTTCGTAGTTTTGGACCTTTACCGACTTCTCCGCCACGAATAGACAACCTGACATCTACTTCCCTTACTAAATGGCTGTGCTTTTGAACTGCCTTACCCAACTTCTCTTCCACGTGGCTCTTCACCGCGGGACTCAACTGTAAAATCCATAAAACTTCTCATTTTTTTTTTAATTGAGCCTATACAATAAGGCCCCGTTTGGCTGGCAAGATAAGATTAAATAATCTAATGAGACCCAATTATTTTATTGGAGCTTGAAATGTATCCAACAACAAAAAAACTCATTAGAAGGCAAGATAAGCCAAGATAAGCCATGATTATATAATTTTGGCTTGTCGACCCGGCAATTTATTGAGGATACCAAACATCAAATTAAGTCCAACTATTTAGTTAATCATGGCTTATCTTGGCAACCAAACGGAGCATAAACCTACAAACAAATTGCATGTCCCAGAATACAATTAAAACAAATTGAGTTATTCCGTAGTATAATCAAAGAGCAGCAACAAAAAAAAAAAAAGTCAAGAATTAAAGTGACAGCTAGCCCTAGCTAGTCCTAATTCAGGCATTCTTGATATCATGATTTAATTACGTTTAGGGAAACAATTAAGCAAAAAAGACAGCATTTTTAGGGAAAGGGTACCTCGAGATTTTTGCCTTGAAGAATTAATTTGACTGAAGAGAGAGAAGCATCCCATGACATTTGAATCCCAGACGATGATGATGATGATGATGATGATGATCTTTTCAAGAGAGTGGCCGATTTGAAAGGTAAACCCATAAAAGTGGAGTTTTGCGACGAAAATGAAAAGGGGTGGTGCTTGGGTGGTAGTAATAAACCAGCAGGTGACGAAGTGGAACAAGTAACATGGTGCTGCAGGTGATTGATGACGACGCTCTTCTGTATAATACTTGTCGGTGCTGCAAATAGTGTTGCCATTTTCTTTCTTGATACTGTACTGTGTAGCTTGAGGAAACAAAAACAAAGGCGAGAAATCGAGTTTTTGGATTGGATTGGATTGTTTATCCGGATTCAAATAATGGGAGACACGTGACAGTACTACAATAAGATAATTATTATTTGTCGGAATGGCCCTCATTTTTGCTGTTATATATATGGGCCAATTTTGGAAGGCCCACTCTCCATCAGAATTGGATAACTATGCTTTTGATTTTTTTGTCATTCTAGATATGCATTGCGTTTTTTAATAATTCAAATCAATTTTTTTTATTTTTTTTAAAGAAAATAAATAGAAGCGTATAAATTTAATATAGTTAAAAATTATATAATTTAGGGTAAATTACACCCTCACCCCTGAGGTATACTTAAATAACTTTAAGATCCTTGTGGTATCGATAATTACACTCACCCTCTTGAAACGTAGTTATAAACTCTAATGGTATAATGCATTGGATACGTTATTACGATAGAGTTCTAACGAACTATTGGTTTCAGGAAGTGGTGAAGACAACAAAGAGTTATGAGTGATTTAAGAAATATTGGGGGAGCCATGTCACCCCATAACTCCCCATAACTCTATGTTATCTCCATAACTAGCTAAAAGTAATAGTCCATTAGAACCCTATCGGAATAATGTATCTAATGCATTATCCTGTTAGAGTTTTTAACTACCTTTCAGGGGGGTGAGTGTAATTATCGATACCACAGGGACCTTACAGTTATTTAAGCATACCTCAGGGGTGTCGGTGTAATTTACCCTATAATTTATCTCAGAGATAAAGTTTATTGAAATAATAATTTAATCACCCTTTTTTTTTTCTTATGGGACGAACGCGATGAAAATGTCATCCATCCACGTCAGCAATGAAGTGTATGAACACCATAATATTATGATCAAAAAAAGAAAAATAAATGTGCGTTTTCTAATACATATTAGTCGAGATTTTTCTCAATATTTAAAGCATAAACCTTTCATTTTCAATATATATTAATTATTAAGATTTAAACCATAAAGTTAAAACATGATCTCCCAGAACTAATTAAATGTTGGTATATGGAAAATGAGAACCACATAATTTAATGTAACATGTTCATCATTTCAAACCTAATATTCGTTCAGAAAATAATTATTGCATGCATGCTGTACGTTGACCTAATTATTGAATGCTAATCTCCTTGCTTGATTGGTTATGTTGAATTAGGTCTTCCTTCAGTTTGATCGTCCCAAATGTTTGGGTTATGTAATTTGGCCATATTAAAGTTTGTCAAATTTGCATAAACACTAGTATTTCACCCGTGCGTTGCACGGATGTCAGTTTTGAATTGAGACAATAATAATAATACGAAAACAACTATCTCTTTATAAAACACGAATGCAAGTAAAACAAAATGGAAGGAAATAAAAAAAACATAAACTTTATCCCTTAATTTTGAGTTGTAACATGTGAAATTTAATTAAATATTACAAAGAAGAAAACGCGGAGCGCGCAAAACACGATATGAAGATTAAGTGAAATTATTTTAAACAGATGGTATAAATCTATTTCGTGGAATGCAATCTACTACACCATGTCAATCTTCTACAAAATAACTAACTTAACAACAAACACGGTAGCAGAGAAGTAACACAATAGATATTCAAATTAAATAACCTGCAAGTTTATTACAAATGACGTTAAATTAGTGATGCACATTACTCAAACAACAATACAACTTATAAATATTACAAAAGAGATACGATGTATACGTCATTATTGATACCAATGCTGATACCAATACGGATACCAATACTGATACCAATATTGATACTAATATCGATACTAATACTGATACTAATTAATATCGATACTAATACTAATACTAATACAAATAGTAATACTAATACTAATACTAATATACTGATACCAATACTATTACTAATCGTAATCCTACAAATACTAATACGAATACCAATACTAATGATACCAATATTAATATTAATATTAATACTAATGCTAATGCTAATACTAATACTAATACTAATACTAATACTAATACTAATACTAATACTAATACTAATATTAATATTAATATTAATACTGATATTGATCCTGATATTCGTACTGATACTAATACTCATACTTATATTGATACTGATATTAATATTAATAGTAATACTAATACTAATACTGACACTAAGACTAATATAATACCAATACTCATACCCATACTGATACTACTGCTAATACTAACAATAAGACTAATATTAATATTAATACTAATAATATTTCTAATACTAATACTAATACAAATACTAATACTAATATCAATACTAATGTTAATAATGATACATACTAATATCAATGCTAATGCTAATACTAATACTAATATTGATATTGATACCGATATTCGTACTGATACTCGTACTAATACTCATACTCATACTGTGATATTATACTAATACTAATACTAATACTTATACCCTTACTAATACTAATACTAATACTAATACTAATACTAATACTAATACTAATACTAATACTAATACTAATACTAATACTAATACTAATACTAATACTAATACTAATACTAATACTAATACTAATACTAATACTAATACTAATACTAATACTATTACTAATACTAATAGTAATACCAATACTAATACTAATACTAATACTAATACTAATACTAATACTAATACTAATACTAATATTAATACTAATACCAATACCAATACCAATAATAATACTAATACCAATACCAATAATACTACTAATAATAGTACTAATAATAATACTAATAATAATATTGATACTGATACTGATACTGATACTGATACTGATACTTATACTGATACTGATATTAGTACTAATAGTGGTGCTAGTACTAATACTAATACTAATACGCATACTAATACTGATACTCCTATAAATATAAATGCTATTACCAATACTATGTTAAT